GCATAACTTTCATTTCTGCTTTGATTTCTTCTTCATTTTCTCCATCTCCGCCAACTTCTCGCAAAACGTGAGTTGCTTCTTCGATACGACCTTGACCGATTAGCCAACGTGGAGATTCAGGCAAGTAGAGCATTCCGAAGAATACTGCAACGGCAAATACGATTTGGAATGCGACAGGGAAACGCCATGAGAAAGAAGATTCATCGTAACTGCATCCGAAATCGATCCAGTATGCAACAAAGGTACCAACAGCAATAACTGAACCTTCAAAGCTGACCAATAAACCACGGTTATGAGCTTTGGATAATTCGGATTGCCAAACTGGAATTGTGGCAGTGTTCATTCCGTTACCGAGACCACTGATTACACGACCGATAACGAATTGACCCAAACCGAAATGAGGACCGAAAGCAAAGATTGAGATAAATGTACCGATAGTCAACAAAACTGAACCGACAAGAACGATTGGACGACGACCAGTTTTGTCACCACAGAATAAAGCGCCAACTGCACCAAAGAAGCAACCGATTTCATAACAAGCAGTTACTGCACCTTGAACGACTGTTGCATGTTGATCTTTACCTGCAACGCTTGGAAATTCTTTCCAAAATTGAGGAGCGGTAATAATACCGGACATCAAACCTTGATCGTAACCGAACAAGGAGAAACCTGTAACGGCTGTCAAAGTGATGGCTAATCGTAGCTTTGAGCCACGAAGGCCCATTGTGTTTGTCCTACTTGTGAGCAAAGTCATCTTTTAGGTAAAAAGAGGATGATGGGGAAAATGGATGATTGAATATTATGTGATCTACTATATATAGGTCAATTTCTATTTTCATTCATTTTCACCTTTGTTCTTGTGGTCATGCGCCCGAAAAACGATGCAGAGTGACGAGTGGGGCGTGGGGATTAGAAGGGAGAGAGAGAGAGGAGTACATCGACAGAGAAGCATGAAACCTGAATTTGTAAATCTGCCCTAAAAACTTTTTTTTCCATAAGTTGAATGTATGCAGGGTTAAAGTGGGGGTGGAATAGGAGGAGTGCGGCCTTGAATTGAACGAAACGCATTGAGCTATAGTTGATCCGGCGATGTACGTCACTTCCAACAAAACAATCTGGTACAAGAACACTCTTCTGCATGATCTACCTCTTTTAAACGCCGTGTTCGGTTAAAGATTTCTAATTGAAAATAAAAAGAGACGCGTGTTTTATCGCACACTAAGTCAATGCATGAATAAGCTCCGAGTCAGTCCGTCTCCAGTACATTGTCAGTGTGCTGCAAAGAAAACAAAAAACTTTTAGTCTCAAACGGCGGCAGAGGCGGGAAGAATAAAAAACGGCACTTCCACCGGTAAACGTTCTTCCTCTTTATCCGATTATAAACCAAAAAACTTTTTACGATCTTCTTGGCAAAACTTATTCATCTTACAAGCATGATTTGAAAACCTGATTGGACAAAGACTTACCGAGCTTCCATTCTTTGCTGATATTTTGTAAGACTTTTTATCGTCATTATACATCTTATACTCTATTATCACGTCGGGACCTTGCATAATCCTATAAACACCGTACTTTTAATTCTCCTGTACAGTAAATCAGATGATATGCATGCGATTGATCGACAAAATCCGAGAAACTTCACTTGCATGGCGAAGAGCCGAATTGAAAACTCTTGGCTAAAACACGTGAAGATGAGATTGAATTCATTATAAAGTACAATTCTATATATTCTATCAACGACCAGAAGATTGTTGTGCTTTGATGATACTGATTTCATCAATCGATGCACTTGTACACAATTGTGTAAAGATGCCATTTTGACGGAACAAATTGATCGGATTATCATATTCTGCCACCCTTCCTTGATCCATGACACAAATCGCATCTGATCGTCCAACAACGGTATCCAATCGATGAGCCACTGTGATTACGGTACAATGTTTGAGTGATGTTTGGAGCATTGTTTGAATGTGTGCATCTGTAGCACTATCAACCGATGCAGTAGCTTCATCTAAAACAACAATCTTTGCCTGCTTTACCAGTGCTCTTGCAATAGAAACGAGCGCTCTTTGTCCTTGTGAAAGATTGTTTCCTTCTTCGGTAATGTCCATATCAAGATCCAATCCTTTCCTTGCGCTTGTTTCTTCGATCTTTTCTTCGCTACTGTTTACACTTTTCGTTTGTGTCACTTGATCTTCTTCGAATCCGGCCAACCTGGCAGATTTAAGTGCTTGCCAAAGATGAACGTCATCGTGTTCTTCAAAAGGATCAAGGTTGTAACGCAATGATCCTTTAAACAAAACTGCATCTTGTGAAATAACGGAAATACTCTGTCTCAATAACGAAAGACCGATTTGCGAAATATCTTGATTGTCAATCGAAATACTACCGTTTGTTGCCTCCATCATTCTAAGTAAAGCTGACAATAAAGTCGTCTTTCCTGCGCCCGTTCTTCCAACAACACCAATCTTTTGTCCAGGTTTGATGTCTAGACTGACTTCCTTCAAAGCAGGTGGTAATCCCTCCCGATGACTGGCTGTCAATTGTGCTAGTTGAAGATGTCCTTCTTGTGGCCATTGATCAGCTTTGAGCTTTTCGTCGATTTGTTTGACATTATGTGGCTTCTCTTGTTCGACCGAATTGGCATAATGCAAAACACGTTCGATACTATTCATATTATTCTCAATTTCAGCAGATTGACGAATCATTTGACCAAAAACACTTTGAACGGTGACCATATATGATAAAACAACACCTCCGCTTCCCGGGGAGATTGTACCGCGTAAACCAACGACGAGCATTGCCGTTCCTAAACAAAGGAGTGCACCAAACATATCCAATCGAATATTTAGCCAACGTTGACAAGCGATCGAAAGCCAGTATGCCTTGTTTTCCGAATCTATCCTTCTTCCATTTTCTTGTACAAAGAGTGGCAAAGCATCATACGCTCGTAATGTTGCCAAACCAGATAGTGATTCAGAAAAATGTTCATAAATCTTTGAACGCAAAACATTATTCAACCTTCTCAATTCACGTGAGCTTGGTCGATAAAACATTCCCGTCCAAACGTACGCAATCACCACAACGGCAGCGATGGCAAGAAAGTAAGGCAAAATGATTGCCACCAAGATAATTGATCCAAATGCTTGAACGGTTGTACTGATAAACAATCTCAACGTTTCACCGACCACATTATCGATCGCATCAATATCTTTGCTGAATCTGTGTGTGATTCTGCCTTGAGGAGTGGTATCAAAGAATGCAATCGGTGCAAGCAGGATTCGTTTAGCAGCTTTCGAATGAAGTTCGTTTGAAACATAAAATGCAAACAAAGCAAAAGAAGCGCTCATGCAAAATAATCCAAGACTTTGTCCTATACCAAGAGCAGCATAAACGCCCATATAGGTATCGTTTGAAACTCCTTTCAACGTTCTTCCTTGCCACCAATTTAACCAAAATGGACTCATAATCGTTGTGCCTTGATAAGCAATAATTGAGACAACAAAAAGTGGAACCGTTAAGGGTGCATGTCCGAGTAAAACATAATTGATGTACGTCTTTGCCGTCACTGAACCGACTAAACGTTCTTCCTTTTGCATGATGTCGGCAGTCTTTTCCGGTTTCTTGACAGCATCTTTTTCCACCTCTTTGTTCTCTTTTGCTTCATCTTGGTTTTCCATAATGTGTGTGTCATTGTCGTCACTGGATTCTTCTTCACTTGTTGTTAAGTCTTCCTCTTCTTTGCTACGCGAGCCAGTCTTTGCTCCATGCTGTTGAACTAATTCTGCAAGATATCCGTCTTGCTTTTGCATCAAATCTGAGAAGGTACCTTGCTCCGCAATACGACCTTCGTCCAGATAAAAGATGACATCAGCACGTGGTAAAAGGCTGAGAGAATGGGTGACCAAGATACACGTTGAATCTTCTCCATCTCCGTATCGTCTTGATTGTAGAATTCCCTGTTCAAACACTTCTTTGCCAACATGTGCATCCAAAGCGGAAAAACAATCATCCAATATCTTCAATTTTGTTTCGGAACTATAAAGAGCTCTTGCTAAACTGATTCTTTGCTTTTGCCCTCCGGAGAGTGAAATACCTTTCTCGCCTACAACTGTTTCGTCTCCGTGAGAAAGTGTTGCTAGATCGGCATGCAAAGAGCATCTCTCTAAAACGTCATCATAACGTCTTTGATCAAAATGTCTGCCAAACACGATATTATCACGAACACTCGAACTTAACAGCCAAGCCTGTTGAGGACAATAAGAAATCTTTCCTGCGATTTTTGCTCCCGATCCACCTTCTCCTGCCACTTGCATATCCCCAATCAAAGCACGCAATAACGATGATTTTCCTGATCCAACCGGTCCAACAATGCATGCCAATTGTCCAGCTTTGACGTGAAATGAATCAATGTGTAATCTCGTACTTCTTCCGCCTGTTGGTTTCTCAGTCTTTTCATCGTCATCGTCATCGTGATGTGCAAATGTTGTATGATCGATTGAAACCATATCTCCTTTTTGTGGCATTTCATCTTTTGGTGTGATTTGAGGTCCTGCTACATCGTAAGGCGAACGTAGATCTGCTTGCATGAATGTTTGCAATCGATCAACAGCAGCACGAGCATCGGCCAATGCACTTAAAACGACTGGTAACATCTGCAAAGGCGTTCGTAAGAGCAAAAAGAATGTTAAAGTTGAAAAGATTGGTCCTGCATCAAGTGTGTTGCCAACTGCACTATAACAAACAAAGCTTACAACGGCTGCCAAAGTTGGAGCGGTAAAACTGACTGCCGTATTGACTGCACGCAAGATTAAACGCTTTCGCAAGAATCCCATTTCACTTGCTCTTGCTTTTGAAATACGTGAAAGTACGGCAGGTTCCCATGCATATGTTTTGATTAATCGAATAGAAGCAATTGCTTCAACAACTGCTTTGATTCTTGCATCTGTGTAAACCAAACTTCTACGTCGAAGTTGAAATAATTTGCGTACCATAACATTTTGAAGTGGATATAAAAGTGCAATAAGAGCAAGTCCAGGAAGGGCACTATAACCCAAACTCCAAATGACTAAAGCTGCAACGACGGCTATTTGAAATAAAGAAGTCCAACCCATATGAAAATAACCACAAACGAAATCGATTCTCGAAACATCTGCACTGACTAAACTGACCAATTTACCCGTTCCGAATCCTCCATCACGTACTCTTGCTTTTTCGGATAAGTTTGTCGCCCTTCTATAGACGGTATGAATCAATGCACCACGAAGTGCGATTCCGGTAGAGTATGAACGATAGAACCCGTGTACATTTCCAATGACCGACAGAGCGAGAAGTAAGAACAAACCTACTCCAAGTCCGAACCCTTTGCTCATAGCTTGTTCGGAAGGATCTCCTAGTGTCTCAATAATCGAACGAACCAAGAGTGGACTGGTGATCAAAGACATATCTCCTATGAACTTGAACGCGCCACCCATCCAAAACCAACTGAATGCCACTTCGTTTAAGGACCAAGTAAGACTAGGCTCATAGTGTTTCTTTTTGACAGGTTTGCCACCACGAATCTTTCTCCAAGTGGATGGCAGTGCGTCAAATATAGAATCTTTATGTGGTTGTGCATTTCTTGCTTTTGCTTCTGCTGTTCTCCTTTCCCATGCTTGTTCAAGTCTATCGGCGTATACTTTTGCCCTTCTATGTTGGGGCATAGAATATAATTCATCCGCTTGCAATGGTCTTGTATATCCAATTGACAGAATACGTGAAAGCCATTGAAAGCTAACGAGTGAAAGCCAATTTGCATTCATTTCCGGAAATACTGGATTTGCATAATGTTCTTTATCCGCATCGTTTGTATCATCATCATCAGATCGGTCTAAAGGTTCACATAATCGATCCGTTCTTGGTTTTGCAGGAATGAATGGAACTCTTCTATACCACCTCCTGGGTGGATAACGATCTGTTGTAGTTGAACTCATGTCTATATCATCGTGGATGGTAAATAGGATATGGTATTTGATGTTGTACATGTTACTATTATTCTTCTTATGCAAAACCCTGTCTTAGCAAATCTGATAATCTGTCCAACTTGCATTTCAAATAAAATCTCCACTTAAGCAGTAGCAGCATAGAACATAAACACTGTCAATGGCCTGACTTAAAGAATAAATAGAAGCCGAATTTAAAATAAATCACGCTAGCGTAATCTGAAGCGGAACAACGGTGTCTTTTTTATTCTTCCCGCAAAAGATCATTCGATCAATGACATAAGTGTGATCAAGAATGGAACAGGGTCAAATGGAACGAATATCAAATACGATTCTCATCCCATCACGAAAGAGAAGAAGACGATATAAGATGATGACTACGAATTGGAAATATGATTAAGTGGAACAACAACCTTTGCGCGGGAAAGATGAAAAGCAGGCAAGGGAACGCGCACGCTATTGAGATCTTTAATCTGATAAACATTCACACTTTTCTGATGCCAAGCGATAAAAAAGGTATTGTATACTCAAGCACAAGAAGAACATGCCATTCCCATTCCACAACTGAGTAAAGCTTCACTTCCTCCTCCTTCTTTCAAAACACGTTGAACGGCATCCACATATTCCTGTCTTTCAGCTTGTGCTTCTGTTTGAGAAAGTGTTAATTGTTCACGAGAAGAAGAGCCACGCATAGTTGGTAGATGATCTGAATCAGTCGTGGTTGAAGTGGATATCGTTTGCGTTCCACTGGAAAAGGTAATCTTTGTAGATTCTTTGCTTTCTTTCACCTTCATCGTTTGCATCGCTTCTTCTACTTCATTTAAACATGCATCTCTTTCCGTCCAGGATGTCAATCCTAACGCCTTTTCGATTCGAGATAATCCTTCCAGTAGAGCCTGTCGGCGAAGGGTGAAAGTCATCCTAAACATGCCTAATTGTGGATGATGATAATTACTACCCGGTGTCAAGCAAACGGCATTCTGTAGGAAATGCGTCCAAAGAGCACCTTCTCTGGCAGCTGGATCTTTGAGTGGTTGACCATCAACTTGTTCGGGTAAAAAGCGAGTTAAGTCGATCAGGATGAAGTGACCTGCTGAACATTGAACATGTTTGATCTCATGATGAGTACACCAACGAACAACAATGTCATATGCCTGTGCCATTCTTGCTTGATTGGTTCGAATAAAGTCATTATACACTTCTTTATTATCAATCAACGCACAAAATAGCGCATCAGCAGGACTGGATACCATATAAAGCTTTGCCGTAGCTTTCATCGCTCGTAAAAGTGCAGGGTTACCTTGACTAATCAGTGTTCCCACACGTAAACCATTGATCCCAAAGTCCTTCGAAGCACTCCAAATAACGTGTACTCTTCCGGGATGGCAGCCAGCTTCCTTTTGCCAATCGATCGATAAAGCGGAATGGAATGGTTCAGGATTGTGATTCTCGATTGTTGAGGTATAGGTCGACATTGCAAAGATCTCATCAAAGACTAAATGCAGATTGTGCTCTTCCGCAAATCTTCCATATTCCAACAACGCTTCCCGGTCATAACATCTTCCAACCGGATTATGAGGATTACAAACAATCACTGCTCGAATCACATTTGCGGGATTGTTTGTTTGCCATTCTTGTTTTGCCTTTGCAAATCCACGTAAAGCTGATTTTCCTTCAAAATTACTCGGACCCGTTCCGTCATCTGTTTGACTGAAAACTGGAATGCTTGTCACATCACATCTACATGCGAAATCTGCATCGTATCCGTTATAATATGGAGCAGCAACCAACATTCCATCTCCCGGCTCAGCTAAATGTTCTGCCAATTGATCCAATAAAGGTCCACAACCTGGTCCTGTGATTAGGTGTTGCGGAAGGATCGGTTTGACGGGTTTGAATGTTTCAGAATTGAACAAATTGCACAGCGTTGCAAAAAGCCTATGAGATCCGAATAAGCTTGTTCCGTATGTTAAGTCGGTAGGTTGCATTTGTAAATTTGCTCCAAAATACGTTAGCAATTCAGGTTCAAGAAGATAATTATTACTGATCGCCATATTCACAATCCCATGCGGATTTGTTTCATGACAAAATGCATTTCCGATTATACGATCGAATATATCCCAAAATGCTGTCACATTTCTACCATGCTTTTGACCACGAGCGGAAAGGGCGGGTAAAGAATTGCTGCTTTCAGCGATGGCGTTCTGTTCAGCGACTGGCATATTTGGTAGGAGACGGGGATGGTGATCAACAGAGACATGGGATATCACCCCACACATCATTCATTTATCTCTCTTTCTCTGACTCATACATTGTACCTCATTGAATCTCGGCGCAATTCCTAATTTTCAGCACGGTTCCTTAAAAGAGAGCTTTAATTTGATGCACAAGAAGTCAAGCGGACAATTCAAAATCGGATGCGCGGATATGAAACCGTTGGTGTTACGTTTTGCTGTCTCCAGGCACTGCTTTCTGATTGATAATAATAATAAAATGAGGTAAAGAAAAGTGGGTAAAATTTACATGTGATATGTGAGTATTTATATTTAACAAGTGGGCTAATTATGGCACCAGAACTGTGGTTCGTCAGCCTTTGTGGCGAATCAGGCGTTAAGGCGTGATACGGCGTGATACGGCAAGTGACGCCTGTACACGTGCCAGGCGTACCGTATATTCTACGTCATATCCCAACAGTTGGATTATGTAATGAGATTGCCCACTTGTACAGATTGTAGAATAGCTAAAGCCAGAATTAGGATTTAAGTATGAAGATACTGTCTACAGTCAGTTCTGTTTAGAGCCAAATTCAAGTATGAAACGATGATTGAATCAAGTCTAGCCCGATCAAAGCACTCAGACTACCATCAGCTGCCACAAGTGTTAGTGAGACTATACGGTGTTTTTTCATACGCTCTTCATCGGTGACTAAGCCGACAAATTCATCGTTATATCACCGCTTTCATTGTGATGCTGTAGCCAAGCAATGAATTGAAAGCCCGTTTTAAGTTGACCATCATCAATAACCTTGGCATGGTAGGCTGAATATCACACGTTCCAAGTGAAGCCTTGCTGTTTAATGGTGCAAAGTGCATGCCTGTACTTGGCGAGAAATGAGAATTTCTAAAAGCAGTTAGCGGTGTTTGAATGAATCTACAATCTGGCGCGTATAAGAGATAGAAACGTTGTACGAATGCATGCCAAAGGTTGAAGAACAAAAGCCACAAAAGGGGTTTTACACTTAAGGCATATTTACACTCATTTCTTCTTTTCAAAATTGCCTAATCGGGGGAGATATTCTCTTGTACACTGCAATCATACCTTGCCCAGACAATGTCAAAAAGCCAAGAGGTGTGACATGCGTACATCCACTCAGAAACAATCGGGACCACGGGAGTAGGTAATGAGTGAGATTTGCAGAGGTCTAGAATCATGACAATAAGTATCGCTCCCATTGTTTTGGAGGAAGTTTTTGTCTACCACCTTATAAGCATCATTTGTTTCATCAAAAATAATGATCTCAATCCCTTCAAAGGTCCATAGAGAATATCTGCTATGAGGATAGGATTGATCGTTATCGCCCTTTCGATTTGTCTGCTGGTCAGAGAATCGTTTGAAGCACCAGCGAAATCACCACTTAAAATTTCTATTTCTGTGTCATCATCTTCTGTTCCTACAATCGATACCGCCAAAACATTATCACTTGCTAAATCACTTTCAAGTCATAGTTGGGAATGGGGAACGACAATTCAAGCTTCATTAGAAGTGAACAATCCCGAATTAAGCGTTTTTAGCACAAACGCTTTCCCAAACGGTAAAGTTCCTATTGTCTCGGGAACAGGACAAAAGATTGACGCATTAGCATATGCAAAGCAAAAGATTCAAACAAACGGTCCTGCTTTGGCAGATGGTGCTGGCGCCATTGGAGATCCAGCTTCGTTGGGAGTAGGTGCAATCTTGTTAGGTTCTGCAACTTCAACAAAAAATACTATATATAAATCGGCAGCTCAACGTCAATTAAATACCGTTTTAGCTGCTCCTAAATTTTACAATGGTGCACTTTCTCAACGTGCTAATGTGGCTGAACTATGGGCGGATAATATGTTCATGACTCCACCCTTTCTTGCTTACTCTGCCGTTGCTGGTAATAATGTCACTCTTTTACGTCAGGCTATAAGTCAATGTGCTCTTTACAGACAAGTACTACAAGCAAATACTACTTCAACTTGGAAAGGACTATGGACACATATCGTCGGTCAAGAATCTCAAACGCTGGGTATTTGGGCAACCGGTAACGGATGGGCAGCATTGGGCATGGTACGTGTTTTAGCAACGGTAAAAAATTGGCAAACCAGTTCTTCATGGTCAAGCGAACAAGGACAGCTTATTCAATACATTTTAGAGATCATAAACGGAGCAAAAGCCGTACCTGTTGATCCACAAACAGGCTTTTATCGAAATTATATTGTTGGAGGATCAAATTCACAAAATAACAATACAGTTACTTGGTTTGGTGATGGTGCAGGAACGGCTGCTTTAACGGCTGCTGCTTTACGCTTAGCAGTGATTCGACCGTCTTTAGCACCGCAAATGATCTCTTTTGCCAAGCCTTTGCTGACATCATTGGCAAAGAATACGAACAACGATGGATTGTTGTCCCCAACAGTCAATCCTCTAGACTGGTACACCACAACACCCTTTACTTCAGGCAGTCCAGAGGGTCAAGCTTTTATCAGCATGGCAGGTGCAGCATGGCGTGATTGCGTCAATGCTGGTGTTTGCTCTTCTACCTCTAGGAAAAGCTAACCGTTGACATGAGTCATTCGATGTGCTTGTATTTGCTAATGTATCTTTTACACAGACAGATCGCGAGAGACCTTCACAAAGAGAGATGGTATATGATTATATTCTAGTATGATACATAAGATAAAGCTGACCGGTTGTATAAAAGAGCGTGCCTAGAAAGTATCGTTCATATAACTGCTTCCAAGTGGAGAGAGTGTTCCATTTGCATAGAAGAATGCCAAGTTTGAGTTCAAGTAATTATCCCAACCTGCACCTTGTGCAAAGACAGCAGAAAGTGCCCATGCATACACAACAGGAGAATTATCCAAGAATTGAGCAGACTTTTGCATAAATTCGGTCATTTGTTCGTCTGTTCCACCTCCTGCTTGTGTAAGTCCTAATTCACTTAGAATGATTGGCTTGCCAAATAATTTGTAGAGTGAATTGATCCTTGATTGGATCAATGCGACAGCATTGTCAACACTACCTCCAGCATCTTTGGCCAAATCGATATAAATATGATAGCCAATAGCGCTGATATCACATCCAAGCTTATCGCATGCGTTCATAAAAGGAACTAACCAATTATTCACATTCCAAACAATTGGAGGCGAGATAAGATTTGAGCCTTTTACACCGTAGACTTGAGTGATGTTCGAATAGAATATGTTTGCAGCTGTGATTGGATCCATATTTGCTTGAGAGGTTACATCTGGTTCATTGAAACCAAAAACTGCTCCAGGAACGGAATCACCGATCGTTTGTTCTACCGCTTCCCATTGTGCGGTTTTATTTACACCCCAATACATTGGAATATAAGGAACGTTTGAAGGCATTCCCGGAATAACATTAAGTTCCCAATGATAATATGATCCAATCTTTTTTCCTGCTGCCATCATTGGTGCTTTTCTTTCATCGTATCCCCATGCTAGCATTCGCTTTCGTGTTTGATCGAAAACGGCTGTCAAACTTGGCTTGCCGTATCTGTTAGTAGGTCCGGAAGATGGGTTGGAAATAGGTGTATTGGCTGGAACAGCAGTGGTGGTAGTTGTGGCAGGATTGGATGTAGTGGTGGATGTGCTAACCGCTTTGGGTGTTGTGCTGGTAGTAATTGGCTTTGCTGTGGTGCTGGAAGTGGCAGGCTTGGTTGTAATGCTTGTTGCAGGAGCAGAAGGTAGTTCTTTTGGACCTTGAATGTTTGTGTTTGCATTTGTGGTACTGCAGGTGTAAAGCTGTAACCTTGTACCTGCAGGATATCCAGTTTGATAACCACTTCTAATATTCAAACAAAAATTTGATCCGTTCCATCTGATCTGATTTCCATAACGACCAAAAATTTGATTTTTACTCCTTCCATTACATTGCCAAATCTGTAACGCTTGTCCGTTTGCTCCTCTTCCATGTGGAACATCTAAACAAAAATTATTCGAAGTACGTAAAAGGTGTTTTCCACTTATGCTTGCTGGAACGAATTGCCAAGTTTGTGCTGGTGCTCCTGCAATACAGGGTTGAATCTCTTGTGTTGCTCCATTTACAAGATTGTTGTCTTTTGTTGTTAAACATTTATTTGAGCCTTGTGTTACCAGATTTCCTGCAACACTTGCTTGAGCAAGAGTGACTGTGAAAGATGCCAGCAGAGCTGACAAGAGGATGATGAATTGTAACTTGAAGGACATGTTTGCTAAAAGATGTGGGTTGTCTGACTATCATTTTTTTTTACCACGGTGTCCCGTTGACTTCTTATTTATAGCATGACTTTTCAGGTGTTTAATCTTATCGTATGTATTGATAGCAAATCAAGAACCCCTTCCGGACTCTAGATATGTGTTTTATTTTCATTTCCCGCTCATTTAACCTTTTGCGATATGATGAGAACATCTGACATTTGTTTTTACCTGAATAAGATTCCAGGAACAGTTGTTATTTCTTGCAAACAACCCGCATTCGGGTACCTGAATTTGAAGGGCGTTAAAATGTTCCTGGTTCCTGAACATCTCTTCTCAATTTTGACCATAAATAGATTTGATTGTGTGTGTTAAAGTGCTTTCCCCTTCATGTTGATTTACGCATCCAGTCTGATTAAGATTTGTCAAGCCACAATTCCGTTTCCAGAAGAAAAGTTTACAACGGTGTTTACGCGTGTATAATACACTGGCGCAGTGCTGTTGTGCCTTTTTGACAAACACGCAACGGGAAATCGTTCAGCGAATGATGGCCGCCGCCTCCCTGTGCAGTGTCGGGCATTTCCTTCTCTTCAACACGTTGTATGCCAATAATTCGGAACAGAACTTTCTGAGTATAAAGACTTGCTTACCGATTCTTTACCTGGACTGATCTCACAAATCGGGAAGAACTGGGATCTTATTAGTATATCCACGGATAAAACAACACTTTACCCATATAGCCTAGACAAAGACTATCGGACTGAGTAAGAGGCCGATGAAGTAGCTAAAGGCTAATGTTATTTTCATAAGAATGACTTGTGATCAGGATGGGGACTTTGTTACGCTTAGTGATCGCTGAAGAGTGCAATTTGTCTTAGCTGCGCCTTTTGACGTGCATGAAAGAACGAGAGTGTTTGTTAAGCAGGCGAACGCGTATGGTGTGCTTGTTGTCTTTCAATTCCCACATCTTATACAATGAGTAAAGCACTCCCATTGATATTATGTGGAAGACATGCACATATCAGTAGAGCAGCAAGTGATGCTCTCAAACCTCAATTCGATGGTGAGTCTTTGCGGGGTAGACTGAGACAACTTTGTGCTTAACACATCTTTACCCCTGCTCAAGTGATACATACTTGCTTATCAATAGAATCAGCAAAAGAAGAAATTCCACAATTGCTTCACAAACATTCATCCTTCAACGAGCAAATTGCAGGTGTTGTATTCGGAGGAGGATTTGATCAAAAAAGCTTTGATCGGATAAGAGCATCTGTTTGGAATTATAGCAAAGAACATGTACCTGATGGTAATCTCTTCACTACTTGGCTAAGAAATGACCTAAAGACAAAGTATCATAACAATCCACTAATACCTGAAAAGCAAGAATTATATGGTCAAGAAGTTGGTCAAAGAGCCAAAAAGCGACTTTTAGCTTTACTTGCTTCAGGGCATCTTCAGCCGCCTAAAGATAAAGTGTATTTCTTTTAGAGTGCCATGCTGATCAATGTGACAACGGGTTCCCGTTGGTGGAGAAAAAGGCTTGGCATTCATTATACACAAAACGGGCTGTGTTGTTTGCCTTTATAGTGGCCATTTGCCTCTTGCAATTCTCTCCACTTCATCATTGTACCTTAATCCATAGTAGCCCGTTAGCGTGGTTTTAAGCTGTACAAAGGCGTTGAAGTGCATATGTCACAATGGATAACATGATGAAAAGGATAATGATTTCACCTTTCCAACCATCATCCAAAAGCAAAAATGGGTTTATTCTCTGGAAGTTCAGGCAGAACTGCATTTGGACCTTTACCGCCAGCACCTCATCCGATAGGAGTGAATGGATTTTATACTCAACATACAAACGAACTTGCTTTACGAATTCGTGAACGTAAAACGGCATTTTCAGGAGATGATTTTGCAGTAAAAGATGCAGCAAATGGTCAAACAATCTTTCAAGTTAATGGAAAAGTGATGAGTCTTTCAGGAAAGAAAGATGTAAGAGATGCTCAAGGTGTGGATCTTTTTACAATTCGTAAGAAACACATGGCAATTCGTAAAACATACAAAGGAGATGACGCAAAAACAGGTCAAGAAATCTTTAAAGTTGAATCTTCAGTGTTTGTCATGGGAACCAAACTTAAAATCACATTCAAGAACACCGCAGGTCGTGGAGAAGATCTCACTTTGACACTTCGAGGAGATTTGGTGGGTTGAATAGTGGCATATATGCAGCGGGCCTTTAGACTGACACATACCCCCTCACAGTTTGATCGTAAAGCAGAAATCACCTTGGATTCAGGACAGCCGATTGCCCGTATCAGTCGTGAATTTGCAAATGCCGGTCAAATCTTCTGTAAGTGTGTTTATTTGAGAGATAATGACAAGAAGCTTACATGCTCATTTCTTCCTGTTTCAACAGTTGATAAACAAACATACGTCTTAACTATTGCTCCAGGCGTTGATGCTTCTTTGTTGCTGGCTATTTGTGTCTGTTTGGATGAAGCAGCCAATGATCAAGGTTGATTGTCTCTTGTCATCTTTGGAGCTACTAAATGATACCTGTTTCTCTTGGTGATCGTAAGTGTCTCTCTGTGAATGAATGCACTCCAAAGGGTTTAAGCCTAGCGCCCGCAACAAATACAACGCGCACGGACTAAAGATCTTAATCCCGATACCTTCTTCCTTCTCTCTACCATTACTTGCACAAATACGAAAATGGTGAAAAAGTATGAAAACATCGTATGCCTGGGAAGCTCTTTCGCAGCTGGACCAGGAATACCTCCAATCATTGACGCAAATGCCAGCAGATCAGGCGAAAATTATGCACATCAAATTGCCAAAAAGTTAAACGCTCGTTTGACCGATTTGAGCGTTTCAGGTGCAACACTAGAAAACATACTATCGGAACCACAATCTGTCAATCCATCAAAGACGTTTCCACCACAAATTGAAGGTGTTCCTCAGGATGCAGATTTAATCTTTGTTACGGCAGGTGGAAATGATATGTCATACATCGGAAATATGATCAAACAAGCCATTCAATCAACTTGGATAGGATGGTTTTTGTTTTTGATCTTATCACTATTTCCAATCCCAAAGCCTGTCGAGATCACCCAAGAGCAACTTGTTGAAAGGCTGGAGAGTGTTTTGGACGCAATACACGAACGAGCACCACAAGCACGAGTTCTGCTGGTGGAATATTTGGCCCTTTTGGGCGAAGAAGATGATGAAAACAGTCGATCGGCAGCAAAAGAGATTGGATTTACACCTGAACAAGAGCAAGAGCATAGACAGAAAGCGGAAAGACTAGCAAACGCATATGCACAAGCAGCAAAGTCACGCTCGGTATGGTGTCAAGTTGTTCCCATTCACAAAGAGAGCCAAAAGGAACACCCGATTGGCAGCTCACAACCATGGGTAACTGGATTCAAACTGTACGATGTGGCCATTTTGAGAAAAGTGCCTTTTCACCCTACTTTAGCCGGCATGACCGCTACTGCTGAGCGTATTTCGCAATATCTTGATAGCACAGCGTCATGAACAGCATTTATTCGCACTCTTGCTCATCTGCAAATGCAGGGCTCGGGAATTTCCATCCTTTTAAAAACGTCATCCGTGCGTCACCTGTCCGATCACGAAATGAAATGCTTGCCTTTTTGACAAGATTTGATGACACGGGCACAGCCCGTGCTCTCTAACGTGCCGGCGCCGCTTTTGCCAACACAAGTCACAGACCTGTTCAGCATAAATGTATAAAAGCGTTTCCTTCCCTTCCTTCATCGACGATCAGCCTTGTTGCCATGTCGTTGTTCACCTCAATCGCTGCGACTGTCTCCCTCTTACTTTTAGGCAAACTCGTATTCAGTTTGCTGCAATTTTGGATCGCTCCATATTTGTCCCCTTTACGCAAATTACCTGGACCGCCTGCAAAGCATTGGTATTTCGGATGGACAACGCCAGATGTGATGTTTGGCCTGAGTGCCAACATCTCCCAAAAGCATGAAGAATACGGTACTGTATTCTATGGAAGAGGCATTCATCGTGTGCCAACTTTATATATTGCTGATGAAGTGGCGGCAAATTACGTTTTTCAAAATCAATTCTCCTCAAACAATCCAGAGCTTTTCCGTCAAGTGCCTTTTTTGGTTCGAGCAGCCCGTGCCTACTTTGGCTCAACAATCTTGGGCGTAGAGGAAGATGTTCATCGCAGACAAAGGAGAGCAATGCTACCTGCATTCACTGAATCTTCTGTTCGACAAGCAAGCCCGGTGATGTATGAGGTCACACAAGATTTGATGGATTTGATGCGCAAAGATCTGGCAGGCAAAGCAGAATATACGCAAACTGATGCATTAATCTACGTCAGAGATGCTACGCTCGATATAATGGGAAGAGCAGGATTTGGACGAGATCTTGGTGCATTGAACAAAAAGACGACGAAACTGAACAAAACGTTCCATGGGCTTGTTGCGATGCTCACATCTCCTTCGTACTATGCTTTATTGCGCTTTCGTATTCCTTGGATACGCTATATAGGCAAATATGTCTCCGAAGAGGAAGTAAGATTCCGAGAGTTCCGCAAGGGTATTGAGGATCATGCGGATGATTTGGTCAAGACTGCAGAACATGAAACCAAATCTGGATATGCTGAAGAGGATCGCAATGTTTTGCGTTTGATCAAGCGCAATTCTGCGAATGGTTTCAGTGATAAGGAATTGCGAGAAGCAGTTCCGATTATGCTATTGGCAGGTTATGAGACAAGCGCAACTACGATCGCATGGGCAATTCATGTGTTAAGACGGGATGTTGAAGGTTTAAAGAGGCAAGCAAGACTTCGAGCTGAGCTAAACGCAGACGAATTCCAAGGATGGCAAAGCGACTTCAGTGTTCTTAATGGAATGCCTTATTTGGACGCAGTATGTACGGAAGTTTTGCGCTTGTATCCCGCAATAGCATCCATCAATCGAATTTGCTGGCAAGATACAGTCATTCCGTTGAGTCGTCCGATCACTCTGCGTGACGGTACGACGACAGATAAAGTCCCAATCAAAAAGGGTGAATACATCTACATTAGTGCTGCAAGCGTCAACCGAAATGCATCTGTCTGGGGAAAGAATGCAAATGAATTTCTTCCTGAACGTTGGTTACGTGATGACCACATCTACTTCGATGCAAGTCTTGTATCAAACAACAACAGTCAACTTGGCGGATGGAATCGTTTGATGACTTTTGGACAAGGACTGCGAATGTGTTTGGGATTCCGATTTGCATTAGCAGAATTCAAGATTCTTTTAGCTTATTGTATCGCTAATTTTGACTGGCAAGCTGCGATCGATGCAAAGAGCGGAAAATCTGTTGAGATTGAATCCCGTGGTCAAAATATCAACAAGACGGCAATTAAAGGTGCAGAGAGGAACCAATACTCTCTTCCTGTACTCGTGAAAGAAATTAAATGATTCAAATTCGGCTTATCAAGATGTATTCGGTATTACTTTCGGTGTAAATGTATCCCAACAAATGCCGTACATGTTTTCCTTGTAGCATATACTTTGTCTATCTTTAGATCAATTTGAAAGAACCTTTTTCCATCTATTGACCCCGCAACTTTCACAAATTGATCGCCGCGAATTGGAAGCCCGTTTTTATTCGAGGCAGAATATCAGTATCTTGAACGGTGTCAAGGTACAAGGCACATTTCACTTAGCGCCGAAAGGCTGCATAACAAACAAAGTGTGGGGGCCATGCGAAAAGTTCCCACATAGAACGACGAGACAGATTGGACAGGATATTGAACATTGCTTTTCTGCTCGACTCTTTCTTTTTTCGAAATCGAACGATTCATTGTTGACAGTCAATTCGGTTCCGTATCTGTGTGTATGCAGGCACATTTAGGGTTACAAGCTTATATACTCCGTGAATGTTTGCCGCTAGAATTTAGCTCCAAAGCAAGACGGATGCATGGGAATTTATGCTTAGAGGAGACACAACTGACAGCTCTCAGCAAAAATCAAAGAGAGCATGAAATGATATAAAACCCCTCTTCGGAGGTCGGGCCTGTTCTTTCCTCTTTATCTCAAACCCCATCCCTTTTCTCGCTTGCAAGATGAAGTCCCTTATCTTCTCTTTGATCGCCATCATTCTCATCTCCGCAACAGTGAATGCCAACCCCTCCAAACGACAAGGTACAAAAGTGTATTGCACACCCTCACAATCATGTTGGCCAACACAAAGTGATTGGGCAAGTTTCAATTCAAGTATTAACGGTAATCTTATCAAAGTAACACCTTGGCAAAGTCCATGTTACGTTGAACCAAACGGTTATCAACAACCTGCATGTCAATCTGTTCGATTGAATTATTTCAACGGTGAAATACGTTCAGATCAAATTGGAGCAACTCAATTAGATAATTGGTCACGTTGCGTTACCAATGCAGGCTTGGTAGGACAATGTGAATTGACTGCTTCTACAACCGGACAAATCAATCCTCTCCCGGTCACCGGACAAACTTGTCAATTAGGCAGACTTTCTCCTTATGGTGTTAACGTTCAAACCAATCAAGATGCCGTTCAAGCTTTGCAATTTGCCCAAAAATTCAATATTAAAGTAGTCATCAAGAATACAGGACATGAATATTTGGGTAGAAGTACCGCTTTGGATTCATTGATGATTTGGACGCATAACCTTCAATCAACATCATTCCAACCAAATTGGCAAGGATCAGGAAAAGATGCATTGGCTTTGGGAGCAGGTGTGAGTGCTGATCAAGCTTACACTGCTGCCGGAAATGCAGGTCGTTCTATCACTTTGGGCGCATACAGTAGTGTAGGCGTGGCAGGTGGATATGCCATGGGAGGTGGACATGGACCTTTAGGCCCTAAATATGGTCTTGCGGTTGACAACATTTTGCAATACACAATCGTAACTGCTGACGGTCAAATTCGAAATGCAAATGCAAACTCTAACCAGGATCTTTACTATGCCTTGAGAGGAGGAGGCGGCGGTACATGGGGAGTGGTAACAGAAGTGATCTATCAGGTGCATCCATCGACACCGATGATCTCTGTGGTATACAATGTGACGTTGAGCCCACTATTACTCGCTGCTCCTGAAGCACAACAACAGGCTGCCTATGCAGAACTCGTTAGCAAGATGGCAGAGTATCAATTGAACTGGACTTTGACTGGCTGGTCGGGATACACTTTCCTCTCTACACCCGGTTCAACGTTTGCACAATTTTTGCCAAGCGATGATCTTGTTGCGGCTAAGAACAGTATGGCAGGTATGGTGGAATATTTCGCCACGAGTAAAAACTTTGTTTCCGTTCCAGTTGTACCGTTTGTGCTCTTACCAAATTTCGAAACGTGGAGAGCAACCATTTTGAACACTGGAGCGGGTAACACACCGGTTGCTTATAGTGAACGACTTGCCTCACGTTTGATTCCTTATACTGCCATGAATACCACGTCTGAACAACAAGAATTAGGAAATGTTGTAGCGCAAGCAATGTTTTCAAACAAGGCAGGTAATTTAGGATCACAAAATTCAGCAAGGGTTCAAAGTCCATTACAAATTTATTCTACCTCCGGACCTCCAGCTGCTTTTGGCGGTCCTTCAGGTAATTCGACAGGAGTGAATACTGCTTGGCGTTCATCTTTGTGGGAAGTTGTGATAGCATCAGCATGGACGAATGAATTAAGTCAATCGAACAGAAATTTGTTGGCACAACAAACTAGTCAAGCAGCAAACGGATTAAGAAAGTATGGTACGGGAACTTACTTTAGCGAATCAGATGTTTTGGAACCAAATTGGCAAGAAGCCTTCTTTGGGGGTAATTATGAAAAACTCGTTCAAATTAAACAAAAGTATGACCCTAATAATGTCTTTGTTGTATGGAAAGGAATCGGTTACCAAGGTCAAGAATCGCAAGCGGCGTTTGCATGTTATCAACAGGCTTGATATTGGTTTTAAAAACACCCCTCATACTGCCGCGGCAGAGAATGTTTCCGCCATTTACCGAAATGATATATAGTCAGCTGACCTGAAAATATCGATTTCTAGAATTTAATTATTGGTATTCGAGACATGAGAAACAAGATTATACCGGATGCGAGAAAGAGAATTGATGGTAATTGAGTAGAGTTGATTATGTTTAGCGTATACGATTTGACACACTGATAAGGTAAAACGCGTCTATTGCCATCATCACGGTGGATTATGTCAATTACCTTTAGCGTACCTTGTCACCCAAAACGGAATACATGCTGTTTGTTAGCGTACTTTTTATATCAAAACATGATCATCCTTTCATACAAACTCAAAATGAAGTGCCTGCATATGGTTAGTGTGAATTGATGAAGGGCAATTTGTTAGATCTGGGGTTAGTTCTTTCATGCAAAAGATCTTCTACTAAGAAGCAGACAAACGTAGATCTTGACGATCAAAAACCCTATTTGGATCTAACCATCTCGTAAACATAAAATCGCCGAATGCATGCAGATCTGATCGTAGACAGATATTGTAGGATGCACTGAAGGGATAGGATACAATACCAGTATTCTTTGAAATGACATTCAACTTCCCAAACCAATTCGGGAAAAACATATAAAAAACCCGATCTTTCCCCCAAAAAGTACATTCTTTCTCCCTTCAAAACCCCTACTTCCCATCATCAACCCCATTCCCTTTTTCACCACACAATATGCAAGCATTTTTGAAAGTTTTGGTCTGTGCTGCTCTGAGCGGTGCTCTCGTCTTCCCTCAAGAAGGTGCTGCTTTACCATATGGATTACAAGCACGTCAAATCAGCGGAAGTGCAAGTGGTTCATTGGATGGTAGCTTGAGTGCTGGCTTGCCAGACTTGTCTGACAGCTTGCCAGATTTGAGCTTGCCAACAGACGCCGTACCCACGGATGTAGCCACACCTACAATTCCATCCTTGCCAACCGATGTCCCATCACCAACCATTCCCTCTTTGACAACAAGTCTGCCTGATTTAAGTGGTACTGATGCTCCTCAAGCAAGTGCCGTTTTCAGTTCTTTATCTTCCGCATTGAACGCTTTGCCAACTGGAGATGCAACCGCTCAAACACAAGCCTTTGAAACATTTTTGAAAAACACATTGAACTCGTTTGAAGATGTTATTGGAGGTAACTTTGACAATATCCCAAGCAACCTTGGTGATTCGGGTGATTTGAACACACCTGACTTACCAGAACCTTTGTCAACATTGTACGACGTCTTCAACAATGGTCTACAATCGCTTTTCAGCGCTCTCAATTTGAACGTTCCTTCTCCTGCTTTGGGTGTTGTTTCAACTGACGGTAGCGATGATGATACTCCTGCTACAAACGCAGACAATAGTGCATCTGCCGATCTTACATCTGCCCAAGCAGGAAGTGCATCTGCCGGTCTTAACACCGCCAACGCAAGAGATGTTTCAGCCGATGATCAATTTGCCACGGCCGGAACAGCAGCAGCAGGACCAATCAATGCAATCGCTCGTCGTGATGGATACCAGTTCAACTTTGATTTGAACAACTTACTCAATGAGTTAGCTTCTTCATTCAACAAATTGATCGATTCTTATGGTGTTGATGGATATGAAACCGTCATTCCAACAAACGTTACCGATGCTATCCCATCCACAAACTAAAATGCCTGCCTCTCTCTTTTTTGACTTCTTTTTCTTTGTTGTTTTCATACCCTCTTTTTACTCCCCATCATCAAATGTCAGCCGCGATTCGCGCGATAGATGGTGGAATGATAATTGCATAAAAGTTTATCCAAGATGTCGAATATCTTGTTTTGTTGTGGCTTACTGCAATGATGACGAAGTAACGGTGACCGGTGAGAAGAAGGAGGTAGGACCATAATTGTGGTACTAACGCCTTTGTTTGCATGCATATGCACACACATAAAAATGCTCAGCGCTGCGTTGCGCGTTTTCTTACCTTTATTTTTGTTCGGGCAATTCTGCTTTAAAAGCGGCCTTGATTTTAATTTCCTCCCGCTAATTCCTAATCTGCAGTAGACGTGTGTGCCTGAACTGAGTCAAAAGGCGGACCAAAAGCATAATCGACATTAATTACAGCATCCATACATACATTACCACCAACAAATAATATTTGTGCATACACGAAGAATATGATAGAATTGTAGAGCACCATCATCAACAATGAATCCACCTTTTCATCAATCCGATCGTAGGATTCCTTCTGGCAGCAGTGTGGGAGGAAGTCCAAATCACGTTCAACCACCAAATCAATACAGTAGCTTTTGGCGTATGCATGGTGCACCAAGCAGTCCTACAAGCACAGCTTCTCCTGGTGGCGAAACAAAAGATGGCGATGACAGTTCACATCCTAGAAAGAAACGTGTTCATTATTCCTGCGAAGAATGTCATAGAAGAAAGCAAAAGTGTAACAGACAATGTCCTTGTCAACATTGTTTGGCTAGAGGAATTCCGCAAAGGTGTAAATTCACTGCAAACGTACCTGCTTCTAGTGGACATGGCAATGGAAACGCATCTTCTGAGAGCAATGCAAATGCAGGCCCATCATCGTCAGCAGATGTCTCTGAGCTAAAACAGATTATGCAAGATGGTTTCGCAGACATTCTCTCACGACTTGGGGCGGAGGATCAGATTGCGGCAGCGAACAAACAACGAAAAATACAAGAAGAAGATGAGGACGATCTTGTGATTGTCTCTTCCGCCACCGCCGCCACTTCTCGTGGAAGCAAGTTACTCGATATGATGCAAGTCAATAATGCCGCCGCCGTCATGGATCCGACTTTGAGTCTAGACTCACATACAAGTATCGATCATGCCCTTTATGAACTCAGCTTACGTGACCCAAGAGGGAATGGTCCGTTGAGCAAATCATTGTTGGCATGTCTTCCACCAAAGCATGAAGTTCAGGTATTGTTTGACAGCTATATCGAAGATGTGAGCAATTTGCGATACCCAATCTCCTTGGATACAATCAAACGATCGATGGAAAGGTTACCACAGATGCAACAGCGAGGCTACATCACCACAGATGAGATTGATTCTTTCTCCGTCATCGCGGCCATGCTCAGCCAAGCAGTTTTGCGAACGGAACGATTCGATGTGATCCCAAACGATATCAAAACTGTGTATATGGGTGCTCGCAAACTAGTTTTTGCATGCATGAAATCGTTGTGCATCAGTGACATCTTGGGTCGAAACAGCTTTGAGAAATGCGTAGCCTTGCATTTATCCGCACGATTTTTATTGATGGACAGAAGGATGAATGAAGCATGGACTAATGCGAATAATGCTGTTCGATGTGCGCAGAGTATTGGACTGCATCGTTATGATCCGACCGGAAAGCCAATCAGGGAAGCAGAAGAGATACGATTAATGTGGTGTATTTTGCGGTATGATGAACGGTCATTCTCGATGATGATGGAAAGGCCTACTTCGATCGATGATGACGTTTGCTCCACAACACCTCCGCCAGCATCAGGCAATATTACAGTAGACGATGCAATTTTCATTCAGAGAAGGTTCGACCTTGCTACGTTTCAGGGCAGAATTCTCTCCCTGATCCATAACAAGAATGGTGTCAGAATGCGGGACACACTTGCCCTAGACAAAGAGATTATCGCATTCCGACAATCTCTACCGACAGATTTGAGAGGGCACAGGAAAGGATATATTCAACGATTTATGATGCATTCCCATACCTTGCAAGCTCGAATGGCTCTGTTGCGACCTTTCTTCTTGCGTTGCGTACCTCGGAATGCCTCTGCCTTGACCAGACAAAGACAGATTGCTATCCGATTAGCCTGTGCAGAAGCAGCATGTGAGGATTTGACATTGCGTGAAGAATTGGTGGAGGAAGTTCAAACGGTTTATGGCGGGGAAAAGGTGCCAGGACTTGCACGAAACCATATTAGAACACCACGTTGGTTTACTTCTTTGGTGATTTTGGGATGCTACATGTTAACATTCAATGCGCATACACACGACGGCCAAATTTCTGGCGCAACGGCCGAATCGGAAAGCAATGCAGAACGAGCGCTTGCAATCTTGCCTCAGGCTAGACAGCACCTGAAGATCTTTATTGATCTTGCAGAGAAGAAGCAAAGTGCAGAGACTACTCGAGATGCCGCTTTGGATCGAGAAGTGAGCGTGGTTCGTATGTTCTTGGAAAAGGGTTCGGAAACTACATCAGAACGAGTCAATCATGCAAGTGCAAATGATTCATCCAATCTTACTACCAGTCGAAAGCGAGCTCGAACGTCTGGATCAACGTCTGCACCATCAAATACAGGTCACGAACTCTCTCACAGTGCACCACACAGCATGCAAGCCACGCCGCCAAGTCATCATACGCCCAGTTCGAGTGAAGTAGGATCGCATTCAGGCGCAAATGGTCTGCAAGGGGAAGATTTGCAAGCGATTTTTGATGCTTGGTTCCAATCGGGTATCAATCATGCCAATACAGGACAAGAACTTACACAAATGTTTGATATTCCAAGTACAGAAGCAATGCCACCTCTAACAACATTTGAAGCAGCAATGAGTTTACCCAACAATCAATTTCCATTTAATTCAACTCCAACGAGCAAAAGTGATCCTGCAACGGCTGCTGCTGCAGTTCAATTGGCGTCTATGCAACAAATTCCACAGCCTCCAGTCACTGCTGGGATGACGAGCCAACCAAGTTTATATCCTTCTCCACCTTCTTTTGCAGCTTCAACTCCTCATTCCACTCGAGCTGCCGGTGAAGGTGAATTTTGGCAAGGATTTATCAATATGCTTTCCACACAATCTGGAAAGGTTTAAAGCATTTTGCTGTATTTTTATCATGATTGAAATTGCATTTTTAGAGATCCCTTGGATGACCGTTCTGTTGTCATATTGTAGAATGCCGATGTCATGTGAATTTATCCGACCATGTGCTTCATACATACAACAGCCTCTATTCCACGCTAAGTATCAGACAAGAGTCGAATCCTCTAAAGAGAGCACCGATCATACCACCCTACCATCAACCTACTCTCCTTACAAAGGAAGCAAATCAAGACCTTTTCTTTATAATGAGCGCATTGGACACATACGTTTCATTACTAACAGTTTTGACGCAACCCCCATACGCGCGTACACGCCCTGGAGGGGGGTTGCGTCAAAACCGTTAGTCACCATTACACTGCTCTTGCGTACAAGAACCTAACTGCCCGATCTCTTATGTTAGTCTCTTTTTCAGTACGACCGACGGCTTGGCAAGTTTGTAACATATAAATTGAATTTTAAGTTTCTTTCAATTCACGCACAGGCACTACAACTAAAGGTGCGTGCGTGTGTGTTGAGTTAATTTGAGTTTGTGTTCGTGTGCAACTTAGTCTTCTCATTGTCATCTTCCATACACAACCTAACATTATACCCACACAACACGATCATTGTACATTAACGTCTTCCACTCACATTCACGACTTTGCAAAACAGCTAACGACACTTCACTCACACCCAACAAAGGCTGACTGTGGCCGATCACTTGCCATGAGTCAAAGAAGGTACGGGAAGATTATCAATCAGAATGGCGAAGAAGTCGATGATCCCGAACAAGCAGAATTGATGGAAGAGATGGGTCATCTGAGTGGATCAAATGGAAGGGCAAACGGAGGTCATACAGATGCAAGCAAGAGATTCGGATCTGGTGGTGGAAGGAGAGATTCTACTCGATCAATCATAGCTTCTCGGATAGCACTCGTTGCGATATGGCTCTTCATCATTGCTTCGATTGTTTTTGCTTTGATGACAGGTACTCGTGGAATCGACACTGTCTCGAGAATATCTTCGGCGTGGGGTTTGAGCAAAGAGCAACAATTGACAGCAGATGAACTATGGCTACAGGGAAGCGGAAGGAAAGATCTCAACTTCAATACCACATTCAATCCTGACGATCTAACGATGACCAAAGACGAATGCGACGCATTCTTCCCAAAGCTGTACGACGAGATTGAAAGGAGCAGAAAGTACTACACAGAAAAGGAGGTATGGGATAAGGCATACTTGGAATCTACATGTGATGATGGATGGTGGCCACATGCTCGCTTTGTGATCTACAACAATCGATTGTACATCAAATACCTCAAAAATGCAGGCTTTACAAGAACCGAAGCTGCTGCTGCTCTGCTGCATCAAGCTGTTTCACTGTCCCGAGAAAAGCTACCCAATGTTGAATTCTGTGTAGGAATGCACGACTGGGGAAGCAAGGGTAAATTCAGTCTTGACAGAAGACCGGAACAAGAAGATCTTTGGCTTATGCCTGATTATGGGTATTGGTCTTGGCCAGAGCATGTTGGCATGTACAATGAGATGCGGGAAAAGCTGGCCAAAGTAGATAATGAAGTTGGATGGAAAGGAAAGAAGAATTTGTTGTTCTGGCGCGGATCAATGAAAGTGGGAACGTCGGATCGAGAGGGTTTGATGGAAACGGCAAAGGGCTATCCTTGGAACGAGATGAAAGAGATCGTTTGGGGAGATCCAACCAAAGGACCAATTTCGATGGAAGATCATTGCAGATACAAATTTCACGCATATCCAGAAGGCAACACGTATAGCGGTCGTGTTCGATACTTGCAGAATTGTGCAGTTGTGATCGTCACCCACGAACAAAGATGGATTCAACATTATACGCATTTGTGGAACGGCGAATGGGGACATCCTGATCAAAATATCGTCTACGTTCCCAAGCCACTTGATGATGATCCTGAAAAAGGGATTTTGGTGCACGTTCAAGAATCCGATCAAATGGTACGAAATAGAGCGTGGGAAAGATTACCTGAAGTGATGGATAAACTGTTAAAAGATGATGCAATGGCACAACGGATTGCCAATAATGTTTTGAAAACGTTCCGAGATCGATATGTTACACCTGCAACGGCTCCATGTTACTGGAGAGAAGCCATTCGAGCATATGCAACTGTTCAAAAGTATGAAGTTCAGCTAGATGGAACGGAAACCACATATGAGAACTTCTTATTGCATGGAATACCGAATGCATGAGCTAACGCCAACACACAACTGCTTCATTTCGGAACATTTGTCATTTCATTCGTTGTAAACTACATTCTTTCATTTGCGATATTTGTACAATTTGTGTTCTTTCTTCGAGTTGGTGTTGGATCGCGGTACAGGTGTGCGGTCCCATGTAGGGATGATACTACGCAACAATAAGACGATTTGTTGATCGAGGATATTTGGACTTTCTCCATTTATTTTGCGAGACGTCCAACTTCATCCCTTGCTTTGATGATAGCATCGAGGAGATCTTGATCATTCTCTAAGCTTGCAAGAATATGTAATGTTACTTGTACTGTAGAGCGTTCTATCATTTCATCATCATTGATCCCCTCTTGACGATGATCCGTGAAGTTCATTTGAGGTACCTTACGTAGGATTGAGACTACATCCTCTTTTGAAATGTACTGTGCTTTCTTAGATTTGAATTTCAGCAGATGTCTTCGGTGGATCGGCGGTTTCAAGTATTCGTTGAAGATTTGAAAATGCATTGGCCCAACTATCGTATACGACAAAAGTATACCCTTCGCTGTGTTTGAAAGAACCGATCGTCAACCATGTCCAGATAGGCCACAATTTCTTCTCGAGAAACAATTCAACGTTGTATGGTAGAATAACATTTTTCAGATTAAACTGGATACCGATCTTGCAAAGATTGATGATCTGAATTGCTGTGAATTGGTCCTTCTTGATGTTTTTTGATCTTTCATTGAGGTAATCAAAGTTCGATGAAAAATCTTTTAGATTGAGACCAGGTTGGTTCTCAAAAGACAGCCTGACACATCTTACACATAAAAGAGGTAGTATATCGTAAGTATTAGAACCTAAAGCTTAGGTGGAAATTTGTAAGCTATCGAATCTTAGGCATTCTTGTACGATAGCATCAGCCACTTCCTTTTTTAATATACCTTGTTCAAAATGGAAAAAGAATTGAGTAAGATTCTTGAATGCTTTGAGAAACGAAACAATGAGGGGCGTCAAAGTATCCTGATTCAAATCTTCATCCTCGAAACGATTAACCCTATCGATCTACACTTCGAAACTGTTGACGTGTCTACCATACTGATTTACAAACGTTTCTTCATTTCTACGGTAAAAATCGAGAAGTTTCGTTGCATAGAAGAAATCTTGAGAAGTACGAATCCTGAAATTGCTCCAAATACGTGGTAAAGATGCCGATCGATCTTGATAGGATATACGTGCGAAATTGGTCAATGGATCTGCATTTTGATCAAAAGGTAAAACAGGACCGGGTCCATCACTTTGCGTGAAATCAAATTCTTGACAAAAAAAGTACGCAAAAGGTTTGAGGTCTTCCTGGGAATAGTCCATTTGAAAGATATCGTGACGTTCTGGAGAAACGGTTCTCGACATCGGAGAAACGGTTCTCGACATCGACAATCTTCTATCATGGCGTCTAGGAATCATTCTTTCCATCTTTTATCACTATGATCTTGTTTCTGAGAAGAATGGCAAAAGCAGGATAGGAATTCATGTATTGCCTTCATTTAATTTGCATGAACTCAGCAATTTAACGGAGTCAAACATTCCGTGTTAAGGCGTAAATGTTGTTCAGAGCGTTTTCTATATTTAGTCGCCGTCCGCCGATGGAGAAAGTCGGCCTTTGTTTCTTGCCTTTTCATCAAATATCCAGCCCGACCATTTCGTTTGTATTTTTACCATCCTACTATACCAAATCTATAACTAACACAAGATTGTATGTTATGAAGATTATATAATGATCATATTGGAATATGACGTATGCGGTACGCCTAGCACGTGTACAGGCGTCACTTGCCGTATCACGCCGTATCACGCCGTATCACGCCTTAACGCCTGATTCGCCACGGAGGCTGACGATCCACAGTTTTAGTGCCTAAATTAGCCTATATGTCAAATATAAATACTCAGATATCACATGTATATTTTACCTACTTTTCTTTACCTCAATTTATAGATAAATCAGAAGACAGCGCCTAGAGACAGTAAAACGTAGCAAGAGGATTTACTAATCATTTGTATTCTAGCAAACTGTAAAAGAGCACGTGTTTTACTACTTATGCAGAGCTGTTTTTCACACGTTGGATCATGCTCTCTCACACTCTGGCGAACAATCAGTGCTGCTTGCTCAGCGTTGAGTGACAACGGTACACCTGCATATAGAAAATGTTTAGAAAAAAATTATTGTTTCATACCCCAACCTTGCTTATACTGAAGATATGCTTAGATTTCTTAAGTACAATGCACGAAAACCGTTCTTTATCCAATTAAGCTCCACACTTTTTTTCATCATACGTGGATGGCAATCGAATTATAGCACATGTTTGACTTTTCACGCACTGTATATTTTCACAAAATAAAACAACTGAACCAACTTCCCTCCCACTTTTTTTCCACCATCTCAAAACACCTACCTATAACACATCATGGCTCCAGCTGATGGCGGTGCAGCCCCTCCCTCTGCCACAACGGCAACAAATCCTCAATTAACCACAAAAACGGCAGAAATGAAGAAAGGCAATGCAACTTTTCGATCAACTTGGCATGATGAAGATCGTAAATCACAATGGGGTATTGCATCATGGTTTTTCCATTTGTTAAACATTGATCCAATTCCACCCAATTTCGAAGTTCCAGTTCATGCAAAAACTGATAAAATGCCTTATGTTAGCGAAATGGATTTACACAGATGGATTTTACCAAGAGCTTTGGTTCCTTTTGCAATTCATTGTGGATTATACTACTATGGCGGAATTCAATTACATCCTTTAGCCGCTTTTGCACTTTACACTGTTTGGTTTAAACTTTTCGGTGTCATGCTCTTGCAAATGCTTCGTGCCGTTTCACAACAATGCGGTTTCTTGGATGGCACCCATCCAAGAGATGGTGTACCTGATCAATCCATTAACAAGGTCTTAATGTCGCTAATCTCAACATCAACATATAGACCAATGATGGCAATCATGTTGGCTTATGATCGTAATCAAGCACCTCATATTTCCTTCCCATGGATCTTGGCTTATATTGGATTGTACAATGTTGCTCTAGACTTCTACTTTTTTCATTACCATAAAGCCATGCATGAGGTGCCATGGCTATGGAAGTTCCATTCCACTCATCACAAGACCAAGCATCCTAATCCCGCGCTCACTTTGTTCGCGGATGAAGTTCAAGAAGTTTTCGATATCGCAATCATTCCATTATGCGCTTATCTAACAATGCGTGCACTAACTTCCTTTGACTTTTGTGCATCATTCAACTTTTACGATTGGTGGTTATGCCAAATGTACCAAATGTTCACCGAGCTTGCTGGTCATTCAGGATGTCGTTTGTATGCAACCTCTCCTTCATCATTTGGTCTTTTGCCAAAACTCGGTCTGGATATCGTAATCGAAGACCATGACTTACACCATCGTCAAGGCTATCGCAAATCAGGTAATTACGGCAAGCAATCTCGTGTTTGGGATCACGTCTTTGGAACGACTATCCCACGTGAAGAATGCATTCCATCTCAAATGGAAACCAAGAAACAACCAATTCCATGGTGATCAATTCTTTTCCGACTTCTCCTACTCTTCTCTATTATGCGAACCCTAGTAATGACTCTCTAATACGTAAAATTCCGAACTATTATTTGCTGTACATGAAAATTTGCTGTTATCTGGAATCAATTTGTTATTTATGCAATACCCATCTCTTCTGAGTGCAACCTCTTGATACGAGTGTCTTGTATGTGCCTGCCGATACTACCTCTGAGCGAATCTAGCGGCAGACTCAACGGTCAAGCAGTTTGATAGTAGGTTGCAAACCTATGCCTGATTGCTCAAGCATTCGATCACACGACAAGAATGATGATAGTTCAGTAATTGATTGTGCATTAAAAAGTTCTTGCTATTGAAAAGAAAAAGATTATATACAGTCATAAAGGATGCATTAAAAAATATACGTGAAATCGTGTGACTAATTCCATGTCTTGACTTGATTGACATGATCCAAATTTGATGCAACTGATTCGACACGGTTACGCATCGTTCCACCAAGAGCATCCCACAATCTACTTTGCTTTCCGTAATCACCGGAAGATCTGTAACCTTGTTGATGATGACGATCGTGATCTTCGATTGCTAGATCACATCCAAAGTAACGAAGCCAGAAAGTGGTTGGAACTTGCCAGAATACACGAACACCGGCATGACCTGCAGATTCCGTGTATAGCAAATAACATGTTGCTACCCACCATGTGTAGAAGTCCAAAGGCACGACTAGATATGCAAATAATGGAATTCCCACCATGTCAAACGTCTCCTGAACTTCATCCGCGTAAGCTGATAGAAGAACGTTGGGATGTTTGGTGGTGTGATGAGTCCTGTGGTACTTCCAGAGGAAAGACACCTCATGAAATGAGCGATGGTAAACATAGAAGAAGAAGTCGAGAGCCAATGTGTAGGCAATAACATCGAATGGTGTTTGCCAAGAGAGATTTGGTTTGACGTTGCGGTCGTATACCCAGAAGATTGCAAGGAGAGGACGTAATCCTAGTGTCATAACAAGACTGTTGAGAACCTTCCATCCGTGCACATCAGGCACACCGTCTCGTTCATGTGCTCCATCATAGAATCCATACTTGTTTCCCATTCGCTTGATAACCTGAACGTGTCTTCGTAAAAATTGAATTATGCATGCAAAGTAGAAAATGAATGCGACAACGGGATGTAAGGTCCAACCTGTTAGTTCCATGTATAGCCTATGAACAATCAAAGGTGCTAGAATCCTTGGCAAGATGAAAGCATGTTGACGCCAGACCGAGTAAACGGGAACAGGATCAGTTTTAGGATGAACGGGTGGTTTTGCGGTATTTTTATCTTGTTGCAAAACTCCCAAACCAACGATCATCTTTTGAGCTCCATCCCATTCTTTTGGATCTTTGTGATGCCATGTTGCCTTTTTACCGGCTGGAGCTGTTTGGAATGCCTTGAAATCGGCAGTTTCAGCTGTCATGTTGAGTAGGGATAGTTGATGGTGGGAAATGTAGTGGAAGGTGGGGTGAAGACAATCAGTTTATATACCAGATTTCCAGTGTACCCGCCACCTTGAGCATAAAGCATTAAAGGAAGATGCATGCATATAAACCTAGTTTGAATGCTCAATAATGCAGCAAGAAGAGTGATTGTAACTTGATAGAGGCACTAGACTGGTGCTTGAAGGATGAGTATGATGGTGCCTGAGTCTTAATTCTCAACAAACTTTTGCGAGGATATGCAAGCGAAAAAGAAGATTTGACAAACAGGCACTTTAGCTCAGTCTGATAAAAATTTAAACTTTTTTTTTGCTTGGCTCTTGTGTCAGTAAAACGCGTGGGCAAGATTGAATAGTATCGGATAAGCACTTTTCAACTGAGCAGTGAAAAGTCCCTCTTCCTAAAAATCCGCCATTGTTTGTTTTTACACGCTAAAGTCATGACCACAGCCAATCAAACTTTCGGGGAATAAGCAAGAAGGGGCAATTACACACTTACTCAACCAGACAAAAGCTGTGCGTGTGCATGTGGTAAAGACTGTCATAGAATCACCGAGTGAAAGAACCGTAGCGTTGTAATACCCACCCTCACTCGACATGTGGATTGGGCCTTTCGTTTTGATTAGTGAAATTGCGCCTTTTTATTCGCAAGAACGTAAAGCTGGCCGTATGGTAAAAGAAGCTAATTAGTGTTAGCTTGAAGTCCTATTACGTAAGATCAACGAGGTAAATCAAGCTTTTGGCTTTTGAGTGGTAAGACAGACACACTTCCTTGCATTGGATGTGGACAAGGAAAGTGGACTTCAAGTGTTTGTTATCATATATGTGATGACTAATCTTAGATTCTAAATGATGATCTCGTGCTAAATCCTCACTGTCTATCGAGTTAAGATGGAGATACAATCACACCATAATTTTACCGAAGTTCAAGAACGGAGTTTGTATGATTTTATCGCCATCACCATCGAGAACCCACTGGAGAATACTCCGCAAATCGATATTCTCCTTTGGAAGAGTCAGGTACGTATGAGATTGATGTGGCTTTCAAAAGCATTGAGAATCGTTCGACTTCAAGATAGAGTGGGTGAAATACAGATTGATTTCCTTTTTCGGTAATCCGTTTGCGGCTAAAGATGAGATTATGGTGAAACAGGCTTGAGAAGTCGAGCCTTTATGCCTGTAAATACACACACGCGTAGCGCTGCGCTAAATTGTGTTACTCTTCCTTTTAGGCTCCGCTACTTTTGTCTCAAACTGTCATTCAAACCTTCTTATTTACTCCACTATCATTGACCATGCATACACTCACTCAAAGAAGGCCTAGATGCATCTTTGTTTTATATTTGGCAAGGATGAATTTATAACGTCAAACATCCTCCGAGTTTCCTTCCGTAATGCCATTGTGGAGATGAATAGCCTAATTTGGCCGGAGGGAAAACGGAGTAGCAATTTCTTGGAACCGAGTAACAAAAGGTTGTGGGTATCATGAAACAAAGCACATAGTATGAACAAACAACTTTGGTCATCCCATCCTTTTCACCATCATCCTCCTATAATCAACACCACTCAATCATGGTCGACAAAGCATATTGGCAATCACCAGCCGTTACGGCACACGCTAACGATGTGAACAAGATGCTCAGCTTTATGGCCATCGGGTTCTTCTTCTACGATCTCATCCTGTCCATTCCTTTCGATCGCAAAGTCCTCACCGGTCAAAAGAGCTTGAAATGGGTTCATTTTGCTTATTTCGGAACAAAGATCTCCTTCTTGGGCTTCATTGGTGTGCTGTTGAGCATCTTTTGGGCTCAAAAAGATATGAATTGTACCCTTCAATTTCGAGTTTTGGAATTCTTTATGGGTACAACTGTTTTCACTTCAAGTTCCTTGCTTGCATTCAGAACTCTTTGCGTGTTTCAAGGGAAGTACAGAAATGTGATCAAAGGCATTTTAGCCGTTTTGGGTATCGGAATGTTGGCCGCTTGGATGCAAGGCGTGGACGACGTTTCGGCATTCTGGGATACTAGTCCAGGCTTTGCTCCTTATACTGAAGGTCGCTGTCATTGGACATCAGTCACGAATACATACTGGGTCAAGTACATCATCACAATCATATTCGATGCTACAGTCTTGGGTTTCACAACTATCGGAATCGCACGTATGGCAGGTACATCAAAGCTTGGGATGACTTTGATTCAACAAGGTTTCATTTATTTCTTTTTGACATTTTTGGCAAATTTGATCATTGCAATCTTTACGCTTTTGCAACTTTCGCCGAGTATGTCTTTACTCGTTGCCGTTCCACAATCGGCCATTTGCGTCATTTGTTCATGCAGATTGCATCGTGAATTAGCCGAATCAAACACACGCAGAAATGAAGAGAACGCAAGAGCATTGCCTCCAAACGATTCGGTTACACCTCAATCAGGGATTTCGCTGGGAAAGCGTTTCAAGGTGATCGAAAGATTGGCTGGAACAGATGCGATTGTCGTTCAACCGCTTCCATACGATCAAGGAGCAGTTTCGAGTTTCATCTCTGGTACAACAGCTAATGCGAATTCGGTAAAAAGTCCTCCAATCCTTACGCCAAATGAAGAAGATCTAGAAAAAGGAGGTGGCGGGTACTTTTCTATTGCCCGTGCATCCAATAGACTTTCTCAAGCTCAGAACCTGCTTACATCAAATGAAGTCAGCTTTGCGGACATGTTGCAAGAATCACGTTCTAGACAGAGAGAGGAGCAGCAAAAGTTCATGGAAGAAGCTGCAACGCCAGGACCATGAATGGTGATTGCCATGTATTTATAGCTCGTATCGTTTTGTATTTTAGTGCAACAATTTGATTACCGTTACAGATTTACCTTTACTCGGGATCGTTACCACTTGAAATTAGTACTTCAGAGCAACTCCGTCCATTAATTGTGAGAAAGAAGACAATATTTACAGAATTGCAAAAGAGGTAGATCTCGTTTTAACACGAACAGGGATTGGAGGTTTAACCATTACGAAACAATCTTTGATGGAATTTTTGAATTTTTTAACATCGAAGCCTGATTCGAGATTTGCATCAAACGTTTGAACGAATCTAGCAACGAATGCTCTCATTTCGTGATATGCAACATTTTTGCCGATACATCCCGTTGGTCCATAACCAAAAGCAGCGAATGCTTTGGAATTGAAAATTTCTCCTTTTCCAGGTTTGCGTAGCCATCTCTCTGGAATGAAATCATCCGGATTAGAAAAATTGCGAGGATCACGATGCATGGCATATGTTTGCGTGGAGATGATTGTGTTTCCAGGAATGTAGGTACCGTTGGGCAATGTCATTCCTTCATGTGGTGTGACTCGCTGTAAACCGCTTGCAACGGGCGGCCAAAGACGGAGAGTTTCGTTGATGCAACCATTCAACAAAGGACAATCTTTGTTCAACTTTTCCAAATCATCTGCTAAATGGTCTCCAAATACGTCTTCCACCTCTTGTTGGACACGCTTGTAGTACTCTTCATGTGCCAACATGTTGAACAGGGTTACTGCCATTGCGTTGGAGGAAGTATCGCTACCTGCTACGACCAAAAGTCCAGCGTCAGCGCTAAGCATCGGGAAGCTTGCCTTTTGTCCAGTAGCTTTTTCTTCTCCTAGCAAATGAGAGAATACATCCCTCTCCACGCATCCCGATGAACCTTCTTTGACACGTTTTTCCAACGTTTCAATAATCCATCCTTCGAAAACGGTGATTGGATTGGGCAAGCCAGCAAAGAGTGACATGATATAAGGAACGTTTCCAGAAGCCATGATCAGGATCACACCCGATTCAAGCAATTCGATCGCATGAGCAGTCTTCCCAGTCTTGATCATATCAAATCCACGACCGAAACCCAATTCGCCCATAACATCAAATCCGAACCAGCTGCACCACTGTCCAATATCAATCGATCCTTCTTTTTCACGTTTAGAGATTTGTTCGATTGTCAAGTTGACATTATCCAAAATGTTGGCTTCATATCCTTTAATGGCTTTCATACTGAAACCGGCATCCCAAATCTTTCTTCTTGCATTGTGCTCGGGCATCGTTCGTACAGTTTGCAAATTACGAGCACGCATCTTTGTTGATTCAACAGTGAAATCGTACCATGGACCTCGAGTACATCTTGATCCTGGACCGTTTGCTCCATAAATTGTGGACAAGGCATTAGGATCGATCACGCTGACTTCTCTTGGACCTGCACGAATCACATCTCCATATTTTTTGTGTAAGTCTTGAAACATGTATGGCCTTTGACCTTTCAAATCTGTTCGAATCATGAACCATTTGCTTAATGCCATCCAAGTTGGACCAGGAATCTTGCGTAGTCTATGGAAGAAGATTCGATAGATAAACATGCTCAAAGTGATCGTTATTGACCAAATTCCGGCCATTCTTGTTACCACTCCAATCGCTTCCCCTAGAGGAATTTTCCATTCTTCTCGAATCCATGCTGATAAGGCACCTGCACATGCTAAGAATGAAAGGACAAACACTCTTGCGTCAGGTTCTTTGAATTGAACGGCGAGATGGCTGAGCAGGGCGGTTAAGATGGGAACGTATATGCGTAGTTCTTCATTGCCAGGACGTTTGAGTGTGTCTAATGATAGATCCAGCTGCCATTGATGGGAAGTCATGTTGAAAGTGACTATGTGGTGGTTTGAGAAGAAGGATGATTGAAGGTTGGGCTGACGCTTTTTAAGTGTTCTTGATTGGCTTGCTTGATTGGCCTGCTTGCCTCTTCTTCCTTCCTATCTTGGTACAAATGAAGTGTAATTTCCGTAAATGAATGAAGAACCGGAAGTAAAGGAGTTCACTCGCAAGAATCGTATAACCGTATCGGAAGCCAAGGATCCATTGTTATGTCTTCTCCACACGAAATGAGGTATGAATGAATGAATGAATGTACTTCCATTTGATAAAGAGTCAAAGTACCTCAACCGGCGCCTAATCAATCGTTTGACACTTTAATTTCATTTCAAACCAAATGAGTTTCTTGAAGGGCAGGCACTTTGACAGTACTTTTACCCCACGTTTCTTAAAAAAAGGTTCAAGTTTAAGGTGCAGACCCAGCCCAGCCCAGCCACTCCGCGATTAAATAAAAAGAGAAAACCTTAAAAACCATTCAACTCCGGTAAAGACATTAAGCGGACTGTGGCGAAGCGCGATTGAGGGAAATGCTGACATAAGCAAATCTGAAAGCACGCCTTAATTCGATAAACTTATTTTGACCTGCATAAGCTTGCATTTAGGGTGGATGTCGTGCTTGCCACTTTTTTGAGTCATTAGAGTAAATGCGGGAAGATGTTTCCACTCTACCAACATTTGTATCCTAGTAAGTTGCTATGCTGGAAAAGGACATAGAAGGGAATCCAGGCAATGCTTCAGACGATCCTTTCGATTCACAAAGGGGAAGAAGTACGATTGCAAGAGGTGCAAATAATGAACAGACTTCAGCGGATATTTTAGGAGACGACGATAGTGATGAACGAACATGTAGAAATGACAGCAGAAGCAAATCACGTTCCAGACCACAAAAGTTTCGCAACGAACTACGAAGAGTCACCTTGCACTTCACACCCAGTTGGTTCAGCGTAAATATGGGAACAGGAATAACGTCCATTTTGCTACATGAATTACCCTATCAATTCAAAGGATTACGGATTATTGCAGATATTATATTCGGACTCAATGTCGTTCTCTTCCTCCTGTTCCTCGGGATCAGCATCGCACGTTACACAGTCTGGCCACAAATGGGACCTTTGATGCTCTTTCATCCTTCTCAATCATTATTCTTGGGCACGTTTGCAATGGGTATGACAACGATTGTGAGCATGTGTGCAATCGCAGCTGCACCTGCTTGGGGTAATGGATTCGTGATTTTCACTTGGGTTTTATGGTGGATCACTGTTGTTTTGGCTGTCGTAATCTGCACAGGTCTCCCGTTCATTCAGTTCACTCGACACGTTCAATCCCTCGAGCAAATGTCTGCCATCTGGCTTTTGCCTCTCGTCACACCCGTTGTCACCGCTTCTAGTGGTGGAATTGTTGCCGATATCTTGCCACCCTCGCACGCTCGTCTCACCCTTACTGTCTCGTATATCATCTGGGGAATGGGTTTCGGAACGGCGTATTTGGTCATGTCGATCTATTATGCCCGTCAAGCGATTCACAAGATTCCACCTGCAGCGATCATCGTTTCTGTATTTTTACCCCTTGGACCATGCGGACAGGGGGCTTTTGGATTGCTGAAAATGTCTTCAGTTTTGTACAAACTTGCACGACTAGATGGTCAAGTGTTGGGATCCGTTAATGCAATTTCACCTTCTGATATCTTTTCAACACAAGCAGAAGCACAAATTATGGCTTCGGCAATCTATGCTGTCAGCATTCCGATCGCGCTGGTGTTGTGGGGTTTGGGGTTGTTTTGGTTGATTCTGGCGGTATCAACGTTAATTGACCTGGCAAAGGTGTCGAAACTGCAGTTCAACTTGGGTTGGTGGGGTTTCACGTTTCCGATCGGTGTTTTCAGCTCGGCAGCCGTTCAATTCGGTAAAGAATTGGATTCAGGATTCTTTCGAATCTTTGGAACTGTTCTCTCACTTATAGAAGTCGCTCTTTGGCTTACCGTTTCTTCTTTCACCGTCCTTCGTGTTATTGAAGGACATATACCCTTCTCGCCTTGTTTGGCCGAACAAGGTGGTGAACCTCCTCGTACTTTAGCACCTTCACGCAAGTATACTTATCAACCTAGGGAAACTACCGTTCCTACTAGTACTTAATAGATTGTATAATATAATAGAATTGTTTAATCAAAACATGAAAACAGGTATCTCAAAAAAAGCAAAAACGAACAATGATGGTACGAAGGGATCATTTGTAGTACGCTCTCAAAGATCCGTCCACCCACAACCAACGAACTGGAACGCCGCGATGCATCAAACTGCGATTAATTTCCTCGAGGGGAGCTTCTAATTGCTTGCGTAATCTCTTGTTTCCAACAGCTCGTTGAGCAACGAGTAAATAACCAATGATACCGCAACAAAAGATACACGAAGTCCAAAGAGCGATTTTATTTGTGTTACTTTTTGATTTTAATGCTCTTACTTGAGTGATGACAGCAGAATATTCACTTTCTGTAATACCACGAGATGATAATTCGGTTGGAATTTGTTTTTCCACACTCAACTTCGGAATTGTGATATATTGTGCGTATGACATTCGAACTGCATCGTAGGAGATTGCATTATCGGCAATGACTGCAGTATTGATTAAGCCTTGTTGCATTTGAGGAACGGGTTGTTGACCTGGTTGTAAGAATGCTAAAGGTTCTTTTTCATTACTATTGTTTGTTTGAGCGGGAACCATGAATGGTTGTGCTACTGCAGGTTGAACGGGTTGAGTAGGTAACGTCCTTTCATGTTCATATGTAGGAGGACCATTACCGTTTTGCGGTTGAATCTGATCAGCTGTTTGAGCAGGAGCTGGTGTTGTTTGAACGGTAGCCATTGTTTGTGAGGATGTGTTGGTAAGGGGGAGAGAATGACTTTGGTACATTGTATGTACTTTATATTTACACAAAGAACAATATTTTGCATTGAAACATCCTAACGGTACTGGACAGGTGCTCGTAGACCCTAGCACATGTCTTGGCCGATGTCACATTTTCCCATGCCGAAAATCATTTGACCGTGATGATAATGCATTCGGATTGTCGGTGATTAACGGGCTCTCCAATCTAAAATGAAAATGATATACGCTGAGTTCCGCATGTACCTGATTGACCTGCATTTTTGTGGGACCCCTTTGTGTTGTGAATGTGTGGAACGGCCAAGCCACAAAAAAAAAACATGACACGTCGTCTACTAGCCAAAACGGCCAACTTGATTCAAAAGAAAGTCTTGTGTGTGCAGAGCAAACGACGGCACATAGCTTTTTAATCTAACCTTGGATTTCCGTTTACTAGCGTGGGCTAAATAAATGAAAAAGTGAGTGAGTGCGGATTGAGGATCGGTTAAACTTCACATCGGCCAATTTTATTGCTAAGAAGTGGATAATATACAGATAAGAATCGTCCCGCAAATTAAATTCTAGACCTTTTGCAATCGAATAGGTAATTGAGTACCTAACTCTTCTTGTCCTACAACACGTGGACGAACAACAATCCCTTGCTTCCTTTCAATTTCCCATCCCGCAGAATCATAATCGAATGATCGCAAAAATGTACAAATGATCGCTTTGAATTCGGCAATGGCAAATCTGTTTCCAATACATCCTCTTGGCCCTTCGATAAAACTCAAGATGTGTGATGGGAATCCAGTCTCTTTTGCCATCTTTGGAATCTCATCCCAACGATCAGGTTCAAATTCATCAGCTGTAGGACCCCAAATATTCTTTGATCGATTGATGAGTTGAATAGGGATAAAGATTAATTGATCCTTCTTTACTACGATTGAATTGAATGTAGATTTTCCATCTTTCGTCTTGTAAGACTTGCTCAATGGGATCACGTCATCGTGTACTGCAGTCCTTTCTGTATTGACGACCGGACTCACAAGACGTAAAACTTCTTTTGTGCAGTTGTCAAGGTAGGGCATCGCCATCAAAGCATCATAATCCAATTCATCCCTTCCAGCGAAATGTTCTTCGATTTCAGCGCGTAATTTTGTGATGACATGCTTGTTTTCCGGTAATGGCGTCAAGTGAACGAACCAAGTCAGCAATGTGGACGTTGTTTCATGGCCAGCTGTCAAAAGAGTTGTAATTTGTCCCAGCAATTCGGCATCACTCATTCGTTCACTGTCCCGCACGCCTGGAGCCATGTTTGCTTTCATCATAAGATAAAGTAAATCCTTTGCTTTTCCTTTAATCTCTTCTTGTTCGTCAAAGAATGCTTTTTCGTTGTATGTTCCATCGCTATTCTTTGCTTCTTGCATTTCTGCTTGGATTTCCCGCCTCTTTGTTTCAATGATTGATTTACCAATTTGATCCAAAGAAGCACGAGCGTTAAAGATTACTCGACGACGAGTTGTTGGAATGTTTGCCGTCCATGCAAACCCTTTAATTCTTCTAAGATTGATCAATAAAATCTCCGTAATTGAAATAGATGTAACCATTTTCATCAATGAACGAAAAGAAGAAACGATTGAATCGTGCTGTTCGTCGATAGGTAACTTGACTGCATCGAATCTATGATCGAATCCCGCATCTCCGATGATGTCCAAAGTTAGTCGAGCGAACCAATGAGAAATGTCGAATACCGGTTTCTTGGCTTGTGATTCACGAACAGATTGAACACTTTGTCCTTCAATCACTGGTTCTTCAGCGGGTCCTTTTGTGTCATCAACCAATTGTGCAAGTTTGGCAACGAATGCGTTTGAATGACGAAAGAATAATGGTGTGAAAGCGCGCATAGCAGAAACGTTGAAAGCAGGTTGAATGACTTTCCTTTGTCTGCGATGAATATCACCTTCAGCTACCAATAAACCGTTTCCCAAAAGATTATCCAAGAATTGTCTAGTTTGCTCCGGCTTTGGGAAGTTATAGCTGTTTTGCTGACCTAAGATATAATTCATCGCTTTTGTATCGGCCATAATTAATCTTGGTATATAGAATATTGCTCTGTACACATACACTTCTGAATTCAATTCTCTTGCCCATGCAATATGCGCTTCAGCGGGTGGTGCATGACGAATTTGTGGTAAATCTCCCAAAAGTGGCCACCATTTTGATGTATGTTGAGGTTGTGGAATATGATCGTATCCGTCATTATGTAGAACGTATGCTTTTACGATTCGCCATGCTGCTGTTGCTAAAAAGTATCCTATCAATGCAAGGAATAGAGTGATTGATAAAACAAACAATCCAACGGGTGCTTGTACGATATAGGGTAAGTTGGTAAACCAAACCGGTAGGCTTGGAGGCCAAATCTCTTGCTCGTATGATAGCATCTTGTGTGATGATGAAGATCAAGACGGGAATGTTTGCGATTAATAACGAATCTATTTATACAACGATCAGGAATGTGTACCATGCATTTATAAGCCGAAGTTAAAAAGCCGACAACGTACCAAGGAATTAATAATCAAAGCCGAACATGCACTTTAACCGTTGACTTAAAACCGTTGAGATCTTGCATGCGTTGCGCTGTGGAGTATTTTTAGTCTTCCCGCTTTCCGTTTTCCTTTTCACTGCCTTCTGGCTGTGCTGAGCGTAATCAAAGGTACGCATGTTCGCTCGGCATCGAATTGACTTATGGATTATCATCAACCCTTCCATGGATGTCCGGGAAGATGGAAAGATGGGGAAGATGAATAGCATTATTCGTTCATACCGATACATGCGAAACAAAAGAATAGAAATTATAAAGAAGACGAAAGAAGGGTATGCATTAATCAAAAGAGGAAGTTTTCAGCGTTATCGTTCAAGTATTGCATTTGAGGACGACGGAAATCATCATTGATCAGATCAACTTTGGATTCGGTAAAGTGCAAAAGTTGTTCTTCTCCTGCTGCAGGTTGACCCCATTTGTATTGTGGCCAGTTTGGAATCTCTTTCATGCCGTGTGTGTTTGGATTAAGATCATGAGCGAAAGCGATCAAAGTGCTCATAATGTGAAGACTGTTCTTTGAAACAGCAGGAGGAATAGTACCGAAAGCATGCAAGACAACATCAGCGATATGGAAAGACCCTAATTGTGGAACCTTGGTAAGCTTGAAACGCTCGAGTATAGGTCCCACGACTGGGATTCTTGATAGAAGTGGAAGATCGATTTCGATTTGGTAAGACCACATGTTACGAATGTGACTGACTTTTTCGTTTGCTAGACGACGTTGTCTCTCAAAAGTAGAATCACCAGTCAAAGCAGCGATACGTTTATATTGCGGCGTCAAACTGTTGGCAACACCGGTATCGAAAGGTGATCCACGAGTGATATCATCAGGATAAAGTTCGGTTAAACGTTGGAAATTTTCATCGGTTGCCGTTTCGCCCCAGTAAATGCCACGGAACAATGTAATGAAATCTTCTGTTGTTGTGACGTTCAATTGATTAACTTGAGAGAATAATGTTCCTTCATCTTTCATATCACCGATAACCATTGGGATATCTGCAATATCTCCTCTTGACCATGCCAAATGAGGAGATTCTGTGAACAAGCTGGATGAGGCAACTGGGCGAGGGTACCATGGTACTTCGGTGGAAGTGTAACCTAAGAAGTTTGGTGTCCGTTGAATTTTACGGTAGATTTCATCATAAGGAGCCTTCTTCAAGCAAGCCAAAGTATCTTGACCTTCGCATCCTAATTCACGTACAAAGTCATCATAAACACGTTGAACTCTTTCCGGTCCTGCCAAACTCATTGGGCCACCGCTGAACATCCAAGCACCTTTAATGAGATCTTCAGTCTCTCTTGGTTTCATCATCAAATGACATCCTAAAGACATTGCTCCTGCACTTTCACCAAAAGCGACAACGTGGTCTGGATCACCACCAAATTCAGCAATGTAATTTTTGACCCATTTCATGAACAGCCTTTGATCTTTGAGGTAGAGATTATCGGCACCTGCATCAGACATTTCCTTACTTGCAAGAGTGCCAAAGAAGTTCAAACGATGATTTGCAGAAACGAAAACCATTGGTTTGTTCATCTCAACACTGCGTTTGACCAAACTACCACCTTGGTAGATCAAATTTGGAACAGCAGTGAGCTCAGAACCGATTGCATTGGCTGCACCCAGCTCATAGCCACCGCCATGAATCCACATGATGACTGGGAGCTTATCACCTTTCTTGACACCTTTTGGTACTTGAACGTTTACGTGTAAGCAATCTTCTGATTGACCTTGAACCAAACCAGGAGGAGCAACTATTTGTTGAGCTGCTGTGAAACCTTCTGCCAAATCTGCAGTACCGAAATTGACTGGATTACCGGCAACTTGAACTTGCGGGCAGGCGTCGCCGTATCTGTCAGCGTCAATGATTTCGCCAGTCTTTTCTGAAGCGGGAATGAATTCGGATTCCTCTGCAAGGGTAAAACATTTCACGGTGGTTAGAGGCGGAACATAATTTTTTGGTTCAGTGCTACTCACCAAGTCTGTTTGCTTTTGCGAATTTCATTCCAAGGAAATCTTGTGTGCTGTATTGTGGATTTGTGACACCACGATAATTTGCATAATCGAGTTCAACAACGGGTTTTTCACCTGGGAACAAAGCGCCCAAACTTCCGGCAACATTGCCTAAAAGAGATTGACGCTTTTGCACTGGGACCATACTGGCCATTGCCACGGCAGCAAGGTTAGCAAGAATGATTGTCTTCATTGTGAGGAAAACTTAGGGAACAGGGAAAGGGGAAATTGGAGATGATCGAGAAGGGACAAGTTGTTTTACGATAATGATCACTCTTATATGCTTAGAAATTGAGCTGCCTTGCATTTGTATTTACAAACCTAGCCTGTTTGCAACGATCGTCATGGGGAAATGAATACATTAATTGAACGAGATCAAAACTCACCTCCGATGCTGCCATCAGGGTTTTCCCGGAACAATGTGCTTATTCTAGTTTAATAAACACCATTGAGGGGATCCAATGGGGTTTTACCGAATACATCTGCACAGAAGCACGGATAAACAACCTCTAAACAAACGATTGTGGGGTTGCCTCATGCCATGCACATTTTAAAACACAATCAGAAAAGCGTAGAAGTTTCTTCGTCCTCGTGCAAATTGAGAAAAAAAAAGGCAAAGAAGTCTTTCTAGTCAAAAGGGATCTCAACGTTCCCGCCTACTTTCCGATCAGTGAGGTGAAGGACAATCGGGTCTAATGCTTGGCATGGCGATCTAAGTACCTGCGGCCAGACACTTGTCGAGGGAAGACTACATAAATCAAGGACAACTTTCTGCAATTTGTTTCTAGCGTGATGAAAGCGCATAATGATCAATTGAGGCATTACACGGTGTCTTTTTCCTCAAACAACAACCAAATGGTCAAAAGAACAGTATCACATCAACATTTATTTATGCAAGTCACCCTATCAAGATAGAACAATGGAAAGAGACAGACACACTAAGTATAGCCCAGAAAAACAATCATCATTTTAAGCATCTTAGCGTCGGGAATGAGAAGTAAGCGTGGGTATTCTTACTTCCGATAAACCATTCGGAGGACAGAATACTGCATCCTGTCACGGTCATGTGTGTTTGAAATCAAAGACAAACGTTCGTTTTCGCTAATACAGCTCATCTGCCCTGATCTAATGATTCTCTTACCACCCCTTTTCATGTTGTAATACGGCGCTTGCTCCGTTTCCCCGCAAATAGAATCATCATGCTTCCGACAACGGTTCGGAGAATCATTTTATGCGCAGCGCGTATGACAGAAAGTCTTGGCATTGGCTAACGGACAAGCGTAATGCACGATTGCCAAGAGCCCTGATCGTGGGGTCTAAACATGTGAGAAGAATCTGATTGAAATAAAGGGAAAAATGAGAGAGATGTACAATTGTGTGTTATAGAAACTAGTCTTCCTTGACGAGAGGGACGGTTGGTAAAGTGAAATAAGAGCTATCTTTTGTTAACATGCTTGTAAGACCCAAATACCAAGCAATGATACCGGTAATAATACCGAAAGCGCCTGTTGCTTGAGAAAGAGGTGAAGAACGATCTAAAGGGTCTCTGAAATAATCAACCATGAGTAAAATGAAAAAAACTTCAACACTAGTCAAGAATGCCAACAGAAAGGCCGATTGACGTGTTGCAACGATCAATAACAAAAAATTGATAATCACAAACGTACTAATCCAAAGACCTTGAGCAGAAGCAAGTTGATCGCTCAACATTGCGCTGTATGGATTGGGCATTTGACCGTCATATGTGCCAGTCAGACCGAACCATCCGACAGCCATGATTGAGTAACCCATAAAGAATCCCGCGTAAACACCGAACAGAGTTGCGGGGAATGTTCGTCCCGAGATAAATCTAGAGAGAAGAAAGGTAGACAGGTTAGCAGATGCTCTCTTTATTGCAAGAAGCTGCCACACTCACTCTAATATAACGGCAATCGTAAGTGTGATGCTTCCTAAGCACAAAGCTCCAGCAACGGAAGATTCTGGAATATCAAGACCTCTTGCACCAAGCAAGTTCACACCATAAAGTGAAAATGTAACACCCAAAGCAAGCCAAGCAAAAGCTGAAGGATCTGCAAATTTTCTGTGAAAATCAGGAAAAGCAGGTTGTTCACTGAACGTTGCTACATGACCACCTCCGGTAAATTGTTGTGAAATATCTTGACCTCCTTGGAAGCCTTCTGATTTTGGCTTTTCGTCTGCGGCGGTAGCCATCTTTGTGAGGAGTTTTGAGAGTTGGGATGGATTGTTGATGATTAAAAAGGGGGATTATTGTTTTCTCATTTGTATCTATTTCGATCTGAATATCATACCAACGTCATTTTCCGATATTTCCGTCCCACCTGGTCGAAATTTTGACAGTTTTTCCGCTGTGTTCTGTCACTCCATGATTCTTTTGACGTGGTACCTGTTGTTTGACAGATATCCTGCTTTGGATTTATACTTCGATCGAAACTTAAACAAGACCGGCGAATGAAATTTTAGTTATTAATACGCTAAATCGGCAGGAATGCTAGGACCTCTCCCCACAACTGCCAACGTTTCCCCGCATTTTATAAACACTAGTGTTGTTCCATGACAGACTCAAGAACACAATTTATGTACATGATCGTCATTATAGTACTCTTAGACCTCTGTCGTACGAAATCAGCCAATTCTTCTTTCCGGTCAATGAACGGTGATGATTGTTCTTTTTCCGATCATTAAAAACAAAGTGTGGGAAAGGAGGAGGTCCGATCTGAGGATTGAAATTAACATAAATCTTGGCAAAATGGTATGAAATTCTCTCTTATTTGAATCAATCTCCCTTCTGAACACGATCAGTCAACCCAAAATGCCATCTTCATCAACAACGCTCCCAATGAATATCAGCGAAGAACGTTTCTTAAAGCTGGAAAGACAAGTGACAGCAAACGGTCATGCTCTTTCCACTTTACAGCCTAGCTTTCCAAGCGGTGGTTCTCACATGGTTCACAGAAAACTCGCTTTACCAATCCCATTAGCCTCTTATGCTATTGGTGCAACGACTTGGTTACTAGGTCTTCTTGTATTGCATGTGAGTGGGAGAGTGACTTGTTCCCCGCTATGAGCGGTACTAACCATGGTCTTCTTCATTTCAGGTTCGCAATATTACTGAAATCAACTTTTGGATCGTGACTGGTATACCGATGGGCTCTATCTTGACAATTTTGTGTGGAATGGGTGAATTCTTTACCGGTAATACGTTTGGATGTGCTTTATTCTCTGCCGTTGGCGGTATCATCTTTGGTCTTTCGATGCCTTTTTTACCGTGGTCAGGGTGAGTGCAGCACTACCGAAGGGAAGATCATACATCTCTGACATCTTTTTCTCTCTAAATAGAATTCAAACAGCATTTGCTCAAACAGTTGGTGGAAATCAAGAAGAAACGTTGAAATTAGTCAACGCATCAGGAGGTATTTATTTAGAGGTAATTTTCGTACCTTTATTAATGCTCTTGATCGCTGCTCAAAAGACAGCATTAGTTTTCGTTTGGAATTTAACGATGATCATTATCGTTGTTATCACTCTTGGAATTTCCAATATGACCGGGAGTGAATCTTGTCTGGTTGTTTCGGGAATCTTTTTATTACTTACAACGGCAGGATTATTTTATGGTGGAACATCAATCCTTTTAGCAGAAGTTGGTCATCCGCTTGCCAAATTTGTTCCTCTTGGAAGTTTGAATTCGAAAGAGAATTGATGGAAAAGCAAGTCATACTCTCATACTCTGTGGCTTGTAAGCAACCGCCATACGTTGGCGTAAGATGCGGGCCGCGGGTATAGTGCGTCACAATCTTTTCTCATGTCAATATGCTGTCAATGTACATAAATAGGTCATTTGATCACTCTGTTCTTTTGTTTGTGTGCGTGTACGCGGGAAACCGTGTTCAGAGTAAGATTTAGCTTTTATCAAAAGAGGCTGTGCGTGCGTATTACCGCGTACGCCTTATCGTTAAACGCGTACATGCCGTCATTTTTATTTGGCAGCGCTGCGCACGTACGTAAATGTCCGCGAGGCACAAAGGGACAGGCGGGCTTTTTTTGTTCTTGCTCCATGGCAATCGTAAATGTTGAACTGCTGCTGTAAATGTGCCTTAAACCCAATTTAGCACCTTTTGATTATTATTTTTTTAATGTTCCTGAACACAGGCTATCGAATCTTCGTCATTTGTGTTACAATTTGGGTCATGCGTATAAACGAGCAGCATACATTCGCTCCCCGCCATACATGTATATCAAGGGCAACGATCCAACCATCTCCCCTTTTCACCAGCATCACTATCTTCTAATGATTTGATTTTATCCAATCAATAATGCTCAAAAGCCCACCAAACAGAAGCTCAAGATGGGAAAAGGATGGAGAAACAACGATCCTGATAAATGATGACGATCGACGGGAACTACCGGTCCCAGTACCAAGGATGACTGCAGGACAAGCATGCCTTTGGGTTTTGACATTCTTAATCTTATCTTCCGGTTTGATAGGCTTAGTTGCACAATCATCCGTTACATGGAGAGGAATAATGCAACCGCTAGAAGAAGATCAACATCTCGCATTCCCAGAAGCATCACCAGCCGGTCTGGTATCATCTTGGAAGTCAACAAATGAAACTATAACTACACCAACCGAATCAGCACAAACTCCCATCTCAACAAGCACACCGACTCCCTCAAACACCAAAGAGATGCCTTGTATACCCGGATTGTACGATGATATGCTTGTTGTGATCAAGACGGGAGCTTCGGTAATGTATGATCGTGCATTGGTGCATATACACACAACACTTCGATGCATACCACACACACTTCTGATCTCAGATGCGGAAATGGATATCGGGAACTACCATTTCGTCGATGTGATACAAGATTTGGATCCCGATACGCTAGCTCATGAACAATTGGAATATTATCGATTACAACAATCAGCTTTGCAAAAGAATGAAGATTTGGGCGCACTGGCCCAAAGATCAAAAGGGAAAGCGTGGGATTTGGACAAATTCAAATTTATTCCAATGGTAAAAAGAGCTTGGCAAGCAAGAACACCACAAACGAAATGGTTCATCTTTTTAGAAGCTGATTCGTTGGTGGATTGGGCAAATATGAAGATTATGTTGGATGCGAAAGATTCTGATAAGCCTTGGTATTTAGGAGCTCCGAGTTGGATAAATGACAATGTTTTCGCACACGGAGGAAGTGGAATGGTAGTTTCCCATGCGGCCATGTCACAATCCGTTGGAAAGTCAACCGAAGATTGGATGGTACAATGGGGTTCAGCAGCTTTGAACGAATGTTGCGGAGATTACCTGCTTTCACGTGCGTTCAAATCGTTCGGTATCAATATGACATCTGCCTATCCTTTGCTTCAGGGTGATAATGTTGCACTTGCACCGCTTATGCCCGATTTATGGTGTAGGCCAGTAGTAACCATGCATCATGTCAAACCAAGTCACGTAGCATCCTACTGGGCGTTGGCGGAATATTCGATGCAACAGGTAGCCGAAGGACGAAGGAATCATTCGCTTCTGTGGAGAGACATCTATACAATCTTTGTTGAGCCGAGCATGCAACAGTATAAACTCGATTGGGACAATCTGTCCTTGGATTGGGAATTCACCTTTGCAAAACACGAAAACGGTAGCGAAGAAGAAAAGAATGCGTTTGCATCTCCAGGAGGATGTGAAGCCATGTGTAGGCGTGAGAATGAATGCAAGCAATGGTCACATTTCGGAATGACGTGCAAGATGAGCAGAGCAGTTCGAGCAGGAGAGCCAGTAAAACGCGAGAAAGGATCAAACGCACTTTTTGCACAAACAAATCATATCAGCGGTTGGATGTTAGATCGGATAAACACTTATACAAAACAACATGCTATTTGCGAAAACGGAGCGGATTTCAAATTTAACGATTAATGAGGATGTACCATATTTGCCCGATTTTGACATTTCATCATTTGTACCATACAAACACAATCCCGAGAAATGAATAGAGAAATGCTGATTCGAGCGATTTAATACGATATGTCGTTTGAGAAAGGAGTACATCAGATACATTTTGTCCAGGCCTTTTCTCTGTCAGAGTCAATCATGCATCGGTAGCGAAGATAAATTGGGAATTTTAGCGTGTTCAACCTTAATTTGCAGGAATGTCGGAACAGCTTACAAGTCAACAGAGCTATAGATGTGTCTCCTATGCGCTGCGCAGCGCGTTTGCTCTCTCGTTCAGTTGTGTGCTTTTGCTTGTATTGCTGTTTGTGGCTCATATTTGTGCATGCATGCTCTGCTTTCATTGCCAGCTGATTCATCCGCAGTGCTGTATGTATATGTACGTATGTGATTATAAGGAACATCTCACCCATCTCCGCATATGCAGGGGAGCTTTGGGGGGGTCAACGGTCCAGGCGTGGCTTGAAGTGGATGCATGAAGGACAAACAAAGGCTCCATAACAAATGATCGTGAACTGTTGTGCATATGCAGTAGTGTTGAGATTGAAACCTTCTTTCGACATAAGTTGAACCGAATAAACTTTTTGACATGGCTTATCTTTGTGTGCATGCATAAACTTAAACCCTTGCTGTTCCATCTATGAACATCACCGATATGTTCAATCCATCGTGGCTTGCATTGCCAAGATTATTTGAAATACAGCAGGATGCATCGTTCAGGGAAATTCATCTTTACGCTTATTTGTGGGTATCAAGCCACACATCGCAGATCTCGGTCATTTTAGTACCGAAACGTCAAAGCTAAATTTCATATGCTTTCGGAAAATGTCAATCCCGCGGGTGGTTTGAGTGGCATCGAAAGCAGGGGTACCAATACGAGGTGTATCTCAACCACCTTTTCGCTCCCGAGTAAGCTTCAACATGTTGGTGAAAGAGAATTTCATTCTCAGCAAAAGCTACTTAAAGAGTCCATTTTCGATTCATTTTCACTTTCAAAATCCCATATCCCATCACATCTTTTGCTCCCCACCCCTTTTCCTTTTTGACAGAATGGTTTCTACTAAAATCTTCTTTGCTGTTCTTGCTTGCTTTTTATCATCAACCTTGGCCGATCCTGCAACGACCACCTTCACAACGATCACAACAATTGCAACTGAAACAGTCACAACTCCGATCGTAGTTGTGACAAGTACAAGTCAACTAGATGATGTTCTCACAACGACATCTGTAACTCAAACGACTACGTTGCCAGTCCTTACTGATTTGGCAACTACGACTTTGCCACAACAAGTTTCCACAACCACTGCCGCTCAAGCAACACAAACGATCATCAATACTCGTTGTGTGAACTACAAGATCAACTTTGCAAAGAATTGTTGTCCAAAGAAGTACTGCAAATCACGCAATCATCCTCACCCACAACCAAACGTACAAAAGAATGGAAAACGTGATGGAGTTGAAAAAGGTCTTTATCCTCATCGAGTTGTTGAAACTACATTCCAAAAGAGAGATATCGTTGGACCTGTAAGTACAACGGCACCATGTTCAACAACTGCATTCCAAGACTTTACCACAAGTCGTGTTGGAAGTACGACAAATATTGTGACAAATTATGATTTCGGTAATGGTGCAACTATGCGTATTCAAGATTTGTATGCTATCAACGTCTGTGGTGATATCTTCATCGATGGTACTCCAGCTGGTTCAACTTCTTGTCCTGCCCGTGATGATCCAAATGCAAACTTGTCTCAAGGTGAAAGTGATCCTGATAAAGCCCTTACTGAAGGCTTTGGATATGCTTATATCACTGTCCCAGCTGGTATACATACTATCTCCTTCAAAGAGACTTACATGGGAGGTCAAGCATTCTACAAGATCATCTCTTCCGATCAATGCCCAGCAATTGGTTATTATGATCAAAGAACTGCAACATCGACCATCACCGGATACACCACCACAATTGAAACATTGCAACCAACAAATACGATTGTCAATACTGATCTTGTCACAGTCACCCAAACTCTTCCCCATGAAACTGTGACCGCAACGGAAACTCCAGTAACATTGACAACGACAATCGTTCCCGCTCCTATCCAAACAAACGTCGATCAATGTCAAACGGTCACGGTCAATTTGTCTTGCCCTAAGTACCGTGCTCAATCCATGTTGGATGGTTGGATGTTGGGTCAATTGAAGGGATACAAGAACAAGTCCCCCAAGAAAGACGTTGATGTCACTTGTTCTTCCATTTCAGGATCATACTACTATTAGGTAGTTTTCCCCCCTCCTCTCTAAGTTTTTTGTTGGTCACCATTGTCATCATTCCCCCTTCGCATTCGCTTCTTTTGCTTTCTTACATTGCATACATTCATTTTTCAGCTTTCATGCAATTTCATCAATTATCCATAAACACTGTTTGTGTGCAATCATGTCTTCGATTCCCGCCTTTTTGCGCTGCTTCTTTCGCCTGCCCTCCGTATTGCCCAAGTCAATTCGTATGTTTGGAGAGCGTCATCAAACGTACTGAGTGGTTTATGTCCTGCTAGATGTTGACTTGCGTCTACAACCGTGCTGATTTCGGTCAAGAATGGGTCATCAACTTCTGAGAAAGTCTCGATCTCTGCGGTACCAGGTTTGATTATGTCCAGTCTTGGTGTATCTGTGTAGGCACCGCTCAATCGGAAAAGCCAACCATCTGCTAGGACTTCTAGTTGTGTGTCATATCGTGTACCGTGCAACGATATACCATGACAGATTGAACCTATTGTACCGGTTGCATGTTTCCATGATGCCATTGTTATCCTTGGAACTCGATCATTCACATCAATCAACTCTTCATCAAAGCCTTTTTTACTCAAATGACCAGCTTGTTCATCATGTTCGACAATATGTGCTTGAACGGTATCGAAGAGGACGGGTGAATCGGCAAAGTATCGAATCAAATCGACAAAATGTGTTGCTTGCTCAACGACAGGTCCACATGACACACTTGAGTTCCACCAAGATAGCTTTCTTGCATATTCGTATGCCATAAAATAGCGTCCATTGATGAGTGTTGGAGTTAGGTTCTTGGCATGCAAGGTATCTTTGATCTTCTTGACTGCTTTCAGGTACCGTAGCATGTATCCTATACTACAAACTCCCTCAAATTTCTCGTACTCTTTTGAGATTAAGGCAAGACTGTGCGAATGTGGATCGACTGCAGCAACCGGCTTCTCTACCAAGATGGCTTGGGCATGTGAGAAGAATTGCAATACCTCCACGTCGGTATTCTTCCCTTTTTCCAAAGTACCACGAAAGTGTGGCGGGCAACCAATGACGACGAGGGCTATCACACTACTTCCGAGCTGTTCTTTTGCTTCTCTGACATCTTTGAATGCTAATGTATCTTTCCATGCCGTTTGTGCTTCTATGGATTGTCGTACTTTGTCATTGATGGCTTTTTGTGCTCTTTCAGTGTCAGGATCAATAAGGCCAACGATCCGTAAATTGGACCCTAAAAGCGCCTCTAGACGTGCGGTATGATTCCATGGTCCTTCCGTTGATCCAAAATTGATCTCACCTGCTCCAACAAGCAAGACGTTGAACATTATTGCACTTATTGGTGGTTATGGAGAAAGTCAAGAGGAAAGTGTTTCTCTCTAAACTTCAACGCGGGGAATCAGCGTGGGGGAAACGCATAAGCTGAGCAGGCATTCAGGATTTATGAATATGCTCTTTACTACCTTGACACCTTGGAGAGAAGAAGATAACAATGCGGTAGAATGACAAGCAATCACAATGGCTCACAGAAAAAGCGATAGCAAACATGCAATAGGATCGTATGGTAAAGCACTACGTTCAAGTTGTAGATACTGTAGAAGGAGAAAGATAAAATGCGATTCAAATAATCCATGTGGAACACGTACAACAAAAAAGATCGATTGCGTTCATGATCAAAAGTCTCAAATGGGAAGGCCACGTAAAGGCGAGGAGGAAATCGATCAAGATGCACAAGCATGTATCAGTGTAGGATCCATACTGGACTCAGCATTCGAAGACACATTCGGTGGAAAGGTACCCAGTACAGCATTTAGCGCTGCTGTACAAGGCTACGTAAGGGAACATGGCGAATCTTTGGTGATTGATGCTCAAGCAAGAGCACAGCAAAAGATATGCTCACCTGATGTATATGAAGTTCTCTATCCGATGATCTTCAAAGATGTTTTGGATGGTTGTAGATGGCATTTCAGTTCTATGGATACGAACAAAGAAGCAAGACGGCCGGCATACTTTCCCGTGGGTTTGCAATGCGATGCTTCTCAATCAATGATACCCCTCTGCTCGGATGCATTCACCGAAGTAGAAGAGGACGACTTGCGATATTTGTATAAGATTTGGAGCCAGGTCCACCCTCTATCTGCCGGGATTTCATTCTCGTCTCTTCTGGGAGAGCAAGGAAAAGCTCTTCGACACCTAATCATCTGTGAAGCTAGACAACTGGAAGGTGATTATCCCGAATCAGAAGCTCATTTTGGCTATGCATCTAGCCAGTATCGTAAAGTGCAGATTCCAGTCTTTGACAATGAAGCTCAATTGGCTGGAACAGCGCATACACTGATCTCAGCCTGTCAAGCAGCTTTGCTTTTTGGATGGCGGGAATTCTCTTCAGCTCGTTCCAAGCGTGGTGCCGCATACATGGCAGCTTCTGGGCAGCTGCTCGGTCGACTTCAAAGTCTCTGTAATCGGATGGAGATGAGCGCAGAACAATTGTCGGTCATCAAATCCCTTTCAAGTACATTTTCATTCATGACTCTTTGGGCATTTTCACAATTGGATCGATCAACAGGGAATTTGGGAGCTGGATGGCTCGGATTTGAGGTGAATGCTACTCGATCTGATGAAGTGATCATCACAGATGCGGTCACACGGTTGTGTAGCACACTACTCAATAATCACCCACGTATCCTTTCCAGCACCCACGGAACTGCAAGTGGTCTTGATGGCGAGAACATGATGCAATACACTCAAGCTGTAGCAATGCAGCTTTATACTCACATTGCCTCAGCCAAACTTGCCGAGAATGGTGAGCTTACAGATGAATCGTCGGAGAGGACCAAACAATTGCTCGAAGGCGTACGATGGTGCATCTGCTTGATTCTGCTGTCAGCAGGACAGGAGGGATTTCTGCCGTTGCCCGAGGTCGGACAAGAACTTCTCAAGGTCTGTAAAGTGGCTACTACAAGTGTTGTGGAGCTGTGTGGCTTGACTAGATATCGCAACGATGACGTCTTATTCACCAATGTAGCCTTTTCACGTCAAAGCAAAAAAGCACGACAGCCAGACAAGCAAGAACCACTGCGGAAAACCATTGGTGCATATTTGTATGATTTGTTGTCTCATGTAGCAGCAAGGATTGACGTTTGTCTTGAGTCGCCTTTGCTAAAAATGGAGTTTGTTGGTCAATTGGATGAATGGATGTTATTGCTTCGTCCACTGGCTGACGCTCCTTTGGATCTGCTGGATACAGCAACGCTCATTTCTGCCCGTGCACTGCTCACGAACAGCGTTGAAAAGATGTCATCGCTAAGCGATGCTGTCAGTGAACCCACGCCAGAGCTTTCTTCTACTACGTCTTCGTCAATCGCGACACCCAATAACGGAAATTTTCAAATGGCATTCCCATTGGATGCGGGTTCGATCCTGGATCAAATCTCACTCGATTTCAATCAAGTCAATGATACACAACCAAATCAAATTGCAGAAAGTGCGCAAAAACCAGATGGCGAAGATGAGAGCTTATTCAATCTTTTGTGGGGATATATACCAGTGGAATTTTCAGGAAATTGATTATATTGAAAGAATGTACAAAGACAGAAAAAGGCCAGGAAACTAGTAGGAGACAACGTATCCGTTCCCACCTTCGACAGGTGTCTCACTGACTCTGTCTGTCAAATGTAGACAATCACCGGCAATGAAATTACCAACATCTTTTCGCGAGACGGTGTAAGCGCTTGGCAATGTTTTGGCAGAAGATCGCACAGACGATTTTGCTGCCCCACTTGTCAACAAGGAAGGACGAACCACGATCAAGCGTTCTTTGACAAGGGCTGGATGTTCTTTGCTTTTCTCAGCGCTTGGGATAGGGTTGAAATCACTGCTTTGAATGCCGTACGAAGTGTGCAAGAATCTTTCCATCTTTTCTTTGTCCATATGAGGGTATTTCAAAAAGTTTCCGTACATTGGCTTAAGAAGCATTGGAAGGGCATCATGGGTGGATTTGCCAATACCGTTTGAAGCAACAACAATCAGTGCAGGAACCTTTCCATCGGGTTGTTGAGGTGCCACAACTTGTTCTAGTGCATCAACGATGAATTGCATCGTCTTTGAACAAATATCTTCCATCCCAGGTGCAAATTGAACGGGTGCAAATGGTTTATACCATTTTACCACAGGATAAGCGCCAATACTTGAAATGACGTTATTCAAAGGTCCATTGTTAATCACGGATTGGAAGAAAGATTGAATGGATGCTTTCTCCATTGCATCTCCTTTAAAGATCACAAGACGGGTTGTGGCGTTGACGGGAGCGTTAATGAGTGCATCTGCATCAATCCCTTCTCGGGAAAGCGCATCGATTACTTTTTGTTCATTGCGAACCAAGGCATGAACCTCGATTGGACTACCTTCGGGGCTGTTGCGCTTGATCATTGTGACCAGACTGGCAAGACCGCATCCTTGAGTAGAGCCAAAGATGGCAATTCTTCTCACGGAAGAATTTTGTGTAGCAACTGATGAAGACATTTTGGCTGTTTGTTTGTTGTAGCTTGTTTATGAATGCAGTGGATTGAATTGTTTGATGAGGAAATGAGAGAGATGATCTTTTTGTGAATTGGCTTGTATTTATACCTTTCTTTCAATCCATTTCACCATGACATACTTGATGATGGCAAACAATCCAATGCATAAGGCACTTGACCAGTGTACGGAGAGTTTTTTCACGCGTTAAGCGGCGACTTTTTTTCCGCTTTGAACACTAAAACGCGGAGAGATTTTGACGGAGACTTTTTTTCATCATCATAACGCGGGGCAGTGGTGCTGTGTAGGAGAAATGTCTCCGCTTCCATTTCAATCAAAACTCTCCGCAATCATTGCAAGCATGACTTTGGTATGTATGACATAATAACAATTCAAAAACCTTTTATACAGCCACGTCACTACAAATAAAATATTGTCTGCTTTCTTTGTGAAACCATTTCTCAACGGCCATTCGTATCTTTTCATCTTCTCGTAAAGTTTCAATGATGGATAAAGCTTTATGTGCTGCCACTCTGCCCACATTATCTTCCACATGAGCTTCATTTTCATCTTGCCATGGTTCATCAATTTTGAGATCTTTGATATTCTTTGTCAATTCTTCATCATCTGACCATATCACTTGGCCTTGTGCCCAATACCGCTGAATTCGATCATCTTTGCGTAATCTGTCCATGACTTCTTCCACCCATCCTTCTTGTTCAAATCCCCGTCTGAGCGAGAGAATCGCTCTACGAACATAGCCAAAACCTTTTGCCCATCCTTGTACCTGTAATCCTTCTTCGCCTTTACTGCCTTTGATTGCGTCTGTATAGTTTGGCGCTGTAAGTTCAAGAGAAAGCCAGAGAGGGTATAACAATTCGATCGTAAAGGCGGCAGCATACGGTATTTCAACTTGTTGTAAGTTGTGTTCTGCTCCTATTCGACAATGAAAAGCCACCCAATGAACGCAATTCTTTCCATGAACGTATAATGCTTGATCAGGTTCTTTCATCGAAATGCAAAAAGGCTTGTTTGCATCCCACTGTACCCAATAATCGCTATCTTCATTGTTGGGTAATCGAGATCCAGTTGGCTCATCTTCAATTCGTAGCGTTTTGAGATTTTTGGTAAGACCGGGTATAACGCTGGTGAATGCTTCACGATGAACGAATTCGTTCTTGATTTCGACGGTGTGCAACTTTGGACATGCTTGTTCGATAATCTGTGCCAATGATTTGGGTAGTGGCATTATATATGCGCACCAATCCAGATGAGTGATGTTTGGCATCCGGGTAATAATCCTGCCGATTGCGTCGATCAGATCTCTAGCCTCCTCAAAAACGGGATGGTAGTCGTAATTGTCATGATTGAAAGGGTCTTCCAATTCCACTTGCTGCTTCAAAGCCTCTTTGAATAAGCCATCATAGCTGTATTCATCTTCCCATATCCATTTGAATGAGAACGTTCGAACGTGAACGCCATACGATTCCGTTGCGGATGAAACTGTTTCCAAAAATCTGACGTAATGCTTCACATCCCCTACTTGTTCTAACTTGACCGATTTCCATAACAGCGGTAAACAGATTTGCCTTAATGTTCTACATGTTTGTGCAAAACTGTGAACGGGTATATACCATTTCCTTCCACGTAATCCGAATGCTTTGCTCATATCCTCATACCGTCTCGGAGCGGGAACAGAGATTCCATCATCAAGGACATGCTGAAAGATTTTGCTGTTTTTGGACAAGGGGAAAAGGTCAGCGAATCAATACCGGATGTAATTGGAGCAAGGATACTCACCCTAACAACTCTGGCGGCAAGGAATCCAATGACTTTTTCGATTTGTTTGGTGAATTGTACTCTTCCAAGCCATTTGAACACATAGGAACGTGTAGTGGCAAATGGTAAAAGTGATGGTTGTTGGTAGTTGGATTATGAACTTTGAGAGCCATTGTTGATAATTAACTTGAAATGCAAACGTTCAACATTCTTTCCGGTTGTTATTTTTATCGATTGCCAAGAAGAGTGTCAATCAGATGCGGGGATCAAAATAACTGCTGTTCTTTTGTTGTTGTTGTTTGTCTCCGTCATCTGACGTCATGAAGGAATGCTATTGCGATGTAATGACAATCTTTCAAAAATTAATCAACTTGTCGATTTGCGTAAAAGTGGTTGGCGTAATGAAGTTTTACACATCATTGACAAGGAGAGAGGGAGTCAAGTGTGCGCCGCTGTGCCTTTTTAATGCAAGAGCGGCGGTTCCTTATGTGTTTGAGAAGAAGAAAGAAAGAAGAGAAGAGAGGTGTCCGTGTATGTACACGCATTTATCATAAGCATAAGCCGTAATATACGCGGCTTGGCAGGCAAATCAACAGAGAAGAGCTTAAAAATTAAACTAATGTAATTTTACAGCTTATGGACCCCAGGGTATATGCATGCAGACAAGAAAGACAATTTATTCTCCTCAAAAAGGGTTACGCAATGTTTGGATGATTGAAACGGCACCCCCTCCCTTCATACACTATTCCGCCTTTCCCATCGAGTATTCCAACTTGAATTGAAAAGATCATCATCAAAAAAGCTCGTCATCGGTTCCTCATCAAAATAACCACCTTGAACATCATTACGCCATTCTACAATTTGTTGAAATTCATTACTTGTTGAATTTTTCACTTCTTCCGATCGATTTGTTGGGGGAGTCAAACAGAATGCTTGCCATATCCTTGCATATTCTTCATGATTCTGCTCAACGCTATTGATTTGTTCCGCATTCTCATTCTCTAACCGTTCAATCATTTGTTCAAGTTGAACTTGCATACTCTCAACATCTTCTAACCAATCAAAATGCGAAGAAGTCACGATTGGCGTTCTAGGTCTTTCGGGTGGTGATGAGGATGGTATTGGCTCCTCTTCTTCTTTCTTTGATTGATATGGTGCTCTTGGAATCTGTGCCGTCGTTGGTGTGAGTGGCATAGTTTCAGTCGTTGATGTGAACCCGGTCGCTTGACTTCGAGGCGTTTGCAGTGATTCAGTCCTTCCTTTTGCATCTTCGGTGGGAAAATGCTTTTGTGCGTCAATAGAAAGTGCATTAGCTGCAAGAGAAAAAAGATGAACAGATTAGTGCACCTCAACGAGACATCAATCAAATCACACCACTTACGCAAATCATCATCCTCATAACTCGAAAACTCTTTTACGCCATCTTCCAGAATTCGACCTATCTTACGATTTCGCTTACGTTGTTTGATCACATCGATGTTGCTATATGATTGAACAGCTCGTATACGTAAATCTTGCCATCTCTTCCCTTCCTTGAGACCAAGGAATGATTCGTATGGCTGATCAACAGCGGTGACTGAATCATGTGATCGCTCACCCACAAATTCGTTTGTTATTGGTCCGATTTGGTAATTTTCAAGTTTTGGTAATTGTGGGGTAATTTCAATTCTTTCGGCGGCAGGTTCTTGCAGCTTTGGACTGGAAAGGTCCTTTGCAGCCGAAGATGTTACTTTGTTCTTTCTGCCAAACAGCATCGATTTTCGCTTTGTCAGTGGTCTAGTAGGCGGCTTGTTCGTGATTGATTGCATCTCTCCAACGACTTCTTGAATCGTCCAGCCTCTGTTTGGCACGTCAAGCGCTTCAAGTGCCAGATCACCAGAAGGAGCACCACCGAACGAAACGGGCTTACCCACTTCGATCGTGCCAACATTGCGGAAGGTGCTGTTCTTGAATCCAAATAAATCTCGATCGAGCCAAACGGATGTTGATCGATGCCTGTCGGACAATTTTGATCGGGTCGGCAACCATTTGGATAATTTAGACGAGCCTTTGTGTTTGGATACGCCTCTGTCAAGATCGATGATGTGAATTTCCGTCATTGATAAAACATGACTCATTTGTCGTTGAACAGGAATAATATATTTCCCTTGCTCTTTTGCAATGATCGAATGAAGTTCGGTGTGGTGTACGATTGGATAAACAATTTGGCTACCGAGTAAGCTTTCCAGCTCTCTTGCACAGAAGGACAATAGCGTCACCGAATCTGAAACAAGTGCTACCCGCTTGTCGAGGAGGATTGCATCAAGACATTGTTCTTTATTGATCGCGGCCGTCAGAATGGCTGGGATTGGGTCAGGGATGGAAACGTTGTCGTTGATGGTGCAAGTGGATACGTGAGTGAAATGAACATCATCTTCCAACGAAGAAATCTTTATTTGAATTTGTCTATCAAGGGAAGTAACGGGAGTAAGGAAACAATGATTGAGAAAGTCGATCATTCGGCTTTTACCGCCATATCGCAAATAAGCAAATCGCAAGATATCAGCAAAAAGAAAGTGCAACGGATACTTGGAGAGAAAGCAGATTGCTCGAGGTGCAGTCAACTTCAACCAGGTCACGTCTGCTTCTCGCCTTTGTTTTGAAGATTGGGTTGCTTTCTGATATTGCTTCAATTCTTGCTTTCGTGCGCTTGTCAATGCTGTTCGGATAGTAAGAACGTGTGCGTACAAGGTTTCATCAGCCCTTCCTCTCTGTTCTTGTTGAATCGATTTAGAAGGTTGTCTTGTCAATGCATGATCATGCTTGATTGGGAAAGAATGATAGGAGATCTGCCGAGAGGATGTAATGGTACGATCCTCTACAATACTGCAGTCAAATGGAAGACATTGCTTTCAAAACGAGAAGGTCAACAAAGATTCATTTACGGCGGTTTTCACCCTAGAAATGCTCACCTTTCGACATTTCTCGATCAAATTCTCCAATTCGCTCTCCATCTGCAAGATACGTAAATTAATACAAGATAATCCTGGAGGGAGTTCGGAAAGTACTCACATCTTCGAGATCGATTTCTTGGAATTGCATGATCGTTCCTTTATATCGTATGATTGCGCTTTGCAATATAGGCTTGAAAGTGGGATGATTTGACGTTCTATTTTTCATGCTTGAGCAATATTTCCAGCCATGTTCTTGTAGACGATCGGGAAGCTTTCCAAGAGAGGCAAGAAGGTGACATATCAGCTTTCCATCATAACATTCGCTACATTGTTGCAAACAACTTACTCCAAGGTACAAAATTCCCTCGCCCAACATCTCCTCATACTGAAGACAAGGATTGGTAAAATTCACAAGGTCACCGATATCCATATCGCGGGACTATGAAGATGAATGGTTGTAAGAATGGTATTCATGATCAAACATCAATTTCATTCATCAAGAGTAAGGATTGAAACGATTTTGTGTCCGCAAAACTGCATTTGCACAAATTCAATTCATTTTGAAATACTGTTCCTAGCGGATTGGTAATGCTATCCGAGCGTATTGTCGATCATTAACGAGTACCTCATGATTCATTTCATTATTCACCACGAGGTCATAGAGTTCATATGTGTGTATGTATGAATGGACCTTCGATGTACATAATACATGCGAATTCTGAAACAAATCAGAATGCATAAAGAAAACTCCCGTTGAGTGTTGGACTGACTAATTAAGCGTGAGATTATCGTATGAGTCTAACTGATTAATAGCGTGTGATTGATGCATGAGATTCTTCGCTGGAGAACTTCGTATTCTCTGCGAATAAGCCACACTGTCATTCCCAAACAAACGGCCGGTCGAAGGGCTCGATCTTTCATCATTCACGAAATTCTATAAAATTCAAATCAAGCCTATTGATCGACATTACCACTTGGGACCTTTCAAGAATAAAACTACATTATATTTTAGTCCAGTTTTGATTGCCATTTTTCCCAGCCTTTACACATCTTTTACTTTTTTCTAGTTTAATGTATAAAAGAGGTCCTAACTCATCATAATTAATCAATCAGATTAATTGACATTTCATTCATTCATCACTCTGACCCCTTTTTTTAATCGTAGATCTTCTTTCCCCTCGGTTTGGTTGTTATCTCCGAACGCGTTGTCCGAATTCAAAGGGCTCAATTATTTGTGGAGGCAACCAAAGGCTTACTCACAAGATTGTAACGAAGGGTTCTTCTTAAAGAGGGGGAATACTTATTCTCTCAAGACTTTCCCTTACATCATTTCTTCCATCAACAAGATAAAATGTCACATACAGCTTCACACGTAGTCATTGGCGCTTCTCGCGGAATCGGAAATGATTTAGCAAAACAACTTTTTGAACAAAATGCTGGAGGAACGATTGTGGGAACCATGCGTAAAGCTGATGAAAGTGTTTTACCAAAAGGCGTTCAAATTGAATCTCTTGATATGACAAAACAATCAAGCGTTGATAGTTGTGCAGCAAAATTTGGAGCGATTGATACTTTGATCGTTAATGCCGCAATGGGAAGTCCTGATACAATGTTGGGTTCAGATGCAAGCTTACTCTCTTCTTACCTTGAAACGAACGTTGTTGGAACCCATCGTGCCGTTTTAGCTTTTTTACCCGCTTTGAGAAAGGGAAAGAAGAAACAAATCATTCTGCTCTCCAGCACAAGTGGAAGTTGTGACTTACAGCGAAACGAGCCATCTGGATTTCAAGGTCCTTATGTGAGTGAACTGTATGCATGACTATTTAGTGGTTCATTATTAACTTGACATTTCTCCACAGTCTGTCTCAAAAACGGCAACGAACTCACTCGGTATTCAATATCACAACGAATTAAAAGATGAAGGTTTTACCGTACTCTTAATTCATCCAGGTTGGGTAGCGACTGATATGGGTAAACAAATTAATGATGGACGAGGTGCAAAAACGACACAACAAAGCGCCAGCGATATTCTCAAGATCTTATCAAACTTAAAACCTGAACAAAGCGGTTCTTATTTACGCGAAACTGGCGAACCATTGAATTGGTAAGAAAAAGCAAGAGATTGTACATCACCAGATTACCATGGTATCGTTTTACCTCCTTGTTCTACAAATGTATCAGAAGGACCATTGAAATTAAGAATTGCATGAGTGTATGCGCTTGCTCCTTCTTCGGGTGTTTTGTATCCAGTGTTACCGTTGAAGTTTGTTGCAGTATACCCGGGATTGACAGAAATGATACGAAGATCGGGAAGCTTCTTTGCATAAACGGTTGTAAACATGTTTAAAGCAGATTTTGTAGAAGGATAAAATGCGAATGGAATTTTGTAGTGTCTCCAATCTGGATTGTTTTGATTTCCAAAGCTTCCTAAATCGGAACTGATATTGATGATTGCCGGCTTGACGGAATGCGTGCCCGTTGTTAGCAAAGGTAAAAGTGCATCGGTAAGTGCGACTGTACCGAAGATATTCGTGTTATAAACATTTTGAAGTTGTTTACGGATGGCAGAAGCGCCTTTAGCTTCTTCCATTCCACCCGAGATAGCCGCATTATTGACGAGGATGTCTAGTTGTTTAACTTGTTTGGTAATTTGATCGATCGAATCATCATTTGTGATATCCAATTCAACTAGCTCCACTGAATTGCTTGCTTTTTTGTCAGATTGTTCATTCAGCTTCTGTAAAGCTTCTTGTCCTTTCTTTGGATCACGAGCGGCGATATAAATATGCAAATTATCACCTTGACGTAAAAGTTGTTGAGCGCTAACGAAGCCTAAGCCTTGGTTTGCACCAGTGATGAGAATGTGAACTTTTTGTGTAGAAGACATGTTTAATGTAGGAATGGTGAGGTGTAGGATGAAAGACGGGAGACTGATGTGGTTTATATACCTTTCAATCAGGCACACAAGAATCAATAAGCCAACGTCAGCAATGCAGCAGCAGCAGCAGGAGCGGGAATGCAGTAATCGAATCATCGTTCTTGTGAGTGGAGTTGAGCGGACTTTGATTGAATGGCTTATTCTCTAATTCCGCCGAGTTTTAATGAAGGCGAAAGAGCAGCATGAATTATACAAAAGCGGCGCGCTCCGTTTTACTATAGAGTCGAGGTTCGTTACACTGCTTTTATGCCTGGCGGGTCTAAGCTTATTCCCGTTCAGCGGACTTGTACACAAACTCCATTTATGTAATCAAAGCACTCTTAATATAATCATTCATTCATTCAATTAAGAGTATTATGGATACTTCACTACTGAGGTTAAGCTTTGATGCTCTCACATTTCTTGCTTGACATTCTCACAGAGTTGCTGTCAGAGAAGGAAAGTTAATGTTAGCACGTCCCGCTCCTCTCATTCCACATCTAATACCGCTCACCTTTTCCCAATCTTCGTGGTTTTTCCAATAAACTTCCGCTACTGGTGCACCAAGTTTTTTCTTGCCGGCAAACACACCTAATTTCAAGAAAGTCTTACCGGGCACGTTTGGAGATTGCGAATGAATCGGGCTACCACAATTACCGCAAAAGTGTCTTTGAATGGTTGCACCACTGCCTGTTGCGCTATCACCATAGCATGAAGGTGTTCCACTGATTTCCAAATCATCCAAATTGATCATTGAGACCATACTGTAGGCTGAACCTGCTGTGGTTCTGCAAGAGTAACAATGACAAACCATCGTTTGCAATGGTAAACTGCCATCTTTTACTGTCACTTTGATTTTACCACATAGGCATTGTCCTTTTTCGACCATTTTGAGAATATTAATAGTAAGATGAAGAGTGGTACTTCAGATGGTGGAAAGAAGAGCGACTTGATTGATTTTCTTGCTGTCGTACGACATCATATTCCATGTGGGGAGTGTCACACTATAGCGGCGTTTGGATCGATGCATGGGCCTTTCGGATGAATGACCTCCCGATCACGTGTCAAAAACGGAGATAGACCCGAAAAAGCGGACATTGCATGAATGCAAGCTAAAAGTGCTCAGCATCCGTTAAACTTTGAAATGGGGCACAAACTCAGCAGTACGTCACTCGTTTCTCGTGAGCGGGCTTTAGCTTGCCACTTTCATTAGGGATATGCACTTTATCAATGTAAGTTTTATTGCACGTCACCCATCTCCGCTGCCCGCACATTATCATAGAGAGCATGAATACTTCCGCCGCTTTATCTTTTGCGCGCAACAAAAGTGTTTTACTCTTCTATCTTTCCTGCCACCATAGAGCAATAATCATGTCTGATTCAATTCAAAATCAAGTTGGTGATTATCATCATCATGGTCCAGAAATGTTAACGGTAAAACATTCACCTTGGGCAAGCAAACCAAGACAACGTGCACAATTATCTTGCGATCGTTGTAGAAAACTCAAGCGAAAATGTGATCGTCAATTCCCATGCACAGAATGCGCAAGTTTCGCATCACCTTGCTCATATGAACGAGCACAAAAGACAACAGAAGCATTACATGAATCCAAACAAAGAAGAAAATTCGCCAGAAAAAGCAGATCTAGCCGTACAAATGAACCTTTCGATACGTCATTGGCAGACTATACTGCAGAAATGGCTGCATCCTCTTCTTCACGCTCGCCTCAGGACATCAAGTTCGCAACCGGCAAACGTTCATCAACGTCTAGTAACATGTTTGCCCAGCCTGGATCATACTCATCTCACGAAGGTCACAGCAGCAGTGCATCGAATACTTCACCATGGAATACTACCCCTCCAAGCATTCATACAGCTGAAACCTCGCCTGAGACAAAGATGGACACTGCTCCTTCAGCCATTGGTCAAACTACTGCTGTATCCCATCCTCAAGAGGCGCTCAACCCTATGCAACCTGCTACGAAGCAAGATTTTGACGGCTTGGTTCGAGAAGTGACCTTCCTTCGACGAGTATTCTCCGTTTGGTATCGCGATATCGAATGGATGCATAGCTTACTACGGGGTACGGCTTTTGACAAGATTATAAACAAAAATCTGGAATTGGTCAACAGCGAAAAACATATGGAAAGATTTGGCGGTTTGATCTATTCTATCATCGGATTATGTGCGCTCATGTACCCGAGTGACGTTGAAGGTTGCCTTGTTTGTATGCCAAGCGGCTCTGAAAGACATGGCTTCTACACAGCATCATCTGTTCGCGTGGCAGCTTACGAGCGAACAGAACAGTGGCTCGAAGACTTAGCCAAAAGATCCCCTGTGACCGAATGGAAAGCAGAAGCATTCCAAACTTCTCTCATTCATGGCATGCACATCAAGTACACGGGCAATTGGAACTTGTACAGAGAAGTAGGCGGTCGTGATATGGATCGTCTGCAACGTGCTGGTTATCACAATCTCAGTGATATGATTGCAAAAGATTTGAATGACGATGAAATCGTGGCACGATATACGGTATTTTGGCGTTATTTCTGTCATGATCGTATCTCATCATTGTTTGATGGCATCCCATACACCATTCAAGCGCGCAATTCGGATATGTGGTTGTTCGAAGAAGGTTTGGACCCTATCCACATTCGTCAATTATGTCGAGACAGTGGCGCGGGCTACATTCCTGAAGGTTCAATCAGTGAGAGTCCGCCTGTGGATAACCGCTTAGCTCGTCGTTTAGTGGAAGTATTATCACCTTATACACTCACGATGAACAAATTGGCCGCTTTAGCAGGTCGTTGCGGTGATCGTCTCAACACGATGAGTCAAGCATCTCTTTCGGATAATTATATGCGTGCTGAACATATTGCTGCTGAAACGGATGACGACTTGTTTGATATGGAAAGCAAGATCGATATGAATCAATTCTCGATGGGAGAATTACCGATGATCACGCTGACAATTGCACGTATAAGAAGAGATATTACTACTCGTCTAAGTCGTCACATTGCGAAACTTCACAAAGCTGCACCGCAAGGTGAAGAAGCAATGGTTCAAACGCTGAACAGACGTTGTCTCAACACGGCAAAGAGTCTCATTCGGCAAGGAACGTCGGTTTTGGGAGGCACACCAATTCGAGCGATCGCAATGCCTTTCTTCAGTTTGTTCGTTGCAGAAACAATGGTGGAATTGCTCACCTCTGTTGAACAGTCAGTCACAACATCGAGTGGTCATGCCACTCTGGACTCTGAATCAAAAGATGATCTTAAACATGCACTGATCGGACGTAATTTCCTCGTTTTGATCGCAAGGGTTGGTGAAATTTATCTGAACACAATGGTAACGCAAAAAGCATGTGCTCATATCAGTGTTGTTTTGCAAACATGTTTACCGGGCAAATATGCAGCAATCCACAAACAAATCATGGACGTGAATCAAGTTATGGATCCAGAACCAATCATTATGGCAATCTCTTCTCCGCCTCAAGCTATGGAAACTGGTATCGCTCCTCAACGTGCTGAAGATGTTTTAAACTTTTTAGGAAGCTTGACATCTTTACAACGTATTTTCGAGATGGGCGGTCAATCGTGGTCGCAGTAAAATGTTTTCCTTCTTTTAATTTCTTTCATTCTCATATCTGTACAATTCTGCCTGAATGCAGGCTGTATATCATGATATCGCAATGTTCATATTTCATGTACGAGTACCTTCCAATTTGTCGCCATAAGAGAAGTTGTTTTGTTTCCTTACAGTATCCAAGACTGTCATTGTAGCGATTGAATCTGTCCAAGAACAAGTATCATCTTCGATCTTTCCATCGCGCAAATCTCTTGCACAAGCATCTGCCTCCCAAAACATTCCTTGACCAGGGATGTCAAAATTGTGTTTTTGAGGTTGACCAGGGTTACCGTCTTTGTCATTGAGATACACGGTAAAGCCTTCAGGACGATAAGGTTGACCTTGAACTGTGATTGTACCTTTTTCACCTTGAATGATCGTATGGTGATCGTTGTACAATCCTTCAACTTCTAACGTACAAGAAAGTGTTCCGATCGTACGTGCTTTATCGAACACGAGCGTTGCGACTGAATGAGCATCAACGCCAGTTTGTGGAACTTTGATCATTGATGAAGAGATAGAAGAAGGTAAAGATTTTCCGTTTTCCGGATCACTGAAAAGTGTCATCATCAACCAAGTTGTGGGGTAAAGACCAAGGTCCAATAAAGCACCACCACCCAAATCTGGATTATAAAGACGATGTTTTGCATCAAATTTGAATTGTTTTGAAAGATCTGCTTTGACTCGAATGAGTTTTCCGAGAATACGATCTTGATGAATTGCTTTTTGTAACGCGAGTGTGACTGGGAAGAACCTTGTCCAGACGGCTTCCATCAAAAACAAGTTGTTCTTTTTGGCAACTTGTGTGAGGTGTTTCGTTTGTTCTGCATTGATCGTGAATGGCTTTTCACAACAGACAGATTTTCCGTTTTCCAAGCATAACAATGTGTTTTCATAATGAAACGTATGTGGTGAAGCAACATAGACGATCTGCACCTTTGGATCTTTGACTAATTCTTCATATGATCCATATGCTTGTGTGCTTGATGGACAACCAGTCTCTTTGACAAAGTCTTGTGCTTTTTGTACACTGCTCGAACTGGCAACTGCAACGACTTCATGTTTAACATCTTTCACTTGACGTGAAGTAGGATCTAACAGCAAATCTTTTGTGAACTTTTGTGCGATTGAACCGCAGGCCATGATGCCCCATTTTGCCGTATAAGGAGATGAAGAAGACATTGTGGCAAGATGATGATGGTGGTGGTGCGGAATGAAGTCTTGAGAAGTTCTTCCGAAGTTGTTGTATGTTGATTAGGTGGAGTAAATGCATGCACACCACCGGCGACTATCGTGCATGCATTATCAAATTCCCCCGCGCCGATATAAAAAGACGGCAAGAAAGATGATTTATAACTTTCATTCTTGATGGAAGCTCACTCTAATGAAGATAGTGACAGAATGTTATATGTTTTGATCAAAGGATACAGCGTGTGATTATGTAAAATTTTGTTATGATGCGGTCTTACAATTCTCCCATCTCCCTAAGCTCAATAATTTGTTCAATTTTTGCTTCTACCATTTCCCAAACTTCATCTTTTGGCCAACCGGCAACGATTTCAAGAATGTTACCTTTCTCACGTGGATTCTCGCGAAGTGATTTGAGATTGTTTTCAATCTTTTTATAGTCATCTTTGCTTTTTCCCGTTCGCTTTGTCCATTCATCTTCGTCCATGTGGAAGTAAGCAAATGCAAAAATTTCGCACAGCTTCTTTTCCACGTCTTGTGCTTCCTGCCAATTACGAGGGAAGCCATCGATCAGCAACGATGATTGTTTACCCTTGTCGTTCTTACGTGCTTCTTCAATCGCTTTCTCAAGTTTCTCCATACTGTCAACATTCTTGATCGCTTTCCAGCCATCTTTTCCCCATTTATTCTCCAGATTCTCGACTTGGGTAGTCTTCCCACTTTGCGGGTATCCAATCAAGCACAACAAGCTGACGTCATCTTTTTTGTACTTTGTTGAGGCTGCACCGCTTTCCTTGTTTTGCTTGGCTTCCAGTTTCAACTCGTGTGTGTTTGTGTTGAGCAAACATGTTGCTGCCAACAATGATGCTAAAGCGATTGCTGTGTTTCCTACCGTGTTTGACCATGCATTGCCATTCTCAAACGGTATCCTCTGTGATGCTGCATGTACTTTTGTGTTGGTACGGCTTCTTGTGCTAGTGGAGTAGATTGATCTCGTCGGGCTTGCCAATGAAGAGGTTGACGGCAGCCTCAGAGTTTGACCAGCTCGTCTTATGATCATCTTGTCTGCTAATGATGGTGAGAAGAGGGAGCATACATTGAGGACATAAATTTCTCTTTCTTCTTGATTGACAAATACACTGCCCTGCTGCCACACGCGTCATTGCGCCTTTTTTATTTAACCCCGCTTACTCTAATGCATTTCAATCAATAGTGGAGGAAGTCGTGTGTGTATGTAAGAAAAGGCTCATTCTATTTACAGAGTAACAACTACTACTACATTCACAACCTGGCTTTTCCCGTATTCTTTTTGAATTTACCACCTTGTTCCTTGTATTCATCATCAGCATCTGTATCCTTGAGATCTTCCGGTTTAAGACTTTCTTGTTTTTGACTGGATTCCAACTGTTTATTTGTGGGAGGTGAAGTGGCTGCAGCTGCTTCTCCACTGCCCGTTGCACTTGCTACACTTCCAGTTTGTTTCCTGAAACCTTGTTTATTTCCTTCTTTATATTCATTTTCTACATCTGTATCTTTTAGATCTTCAGGTTTTTGTTCGATCTGTTTATGTTCTTTTTCCAATTCTTTGTTTGATTTTCCTGGCATTTTGAGTTCAATTGAGGTATTGTTTATGGTTTAAGATGTTGATGATAGTGATAAAGATGCTCAATTCTTAATTGTGTCTATGATAATCCCTCCCATCAATTTGAAAGCCATAATTGTAACCTTGAAATGCATTGCTTACACAATCTGACATGTACCCCGCCTGGGGATGGCGTGCGTATGATGCAGACCCTTAATGATTAGCGCGGGAGGGGGCGACAACAAAAGGCACCGAATGTTATATAAGCTTGTTCCAGTCATCGAATGTGTATCAATTGACCATACATGTCCTTGTTCAGAGCTAACAATGATCATAGAGACATACAGAACTGCCAGTTGAGCTTTCACTTAGTCACTCCCAGTGATCACATGTAAAGATGTAGTTTGTGCGTATTGCGTGCTTGGTTTGACCCTCCACAAGGCTAGGTTCGGATAGCTTCCCTCCTTCTCTCAGCACGATCACCCTCGAATAAAGATGTCAGTAACACCCAAATTCGCCGCTCAGGTGGTACAGGCTGTTGGCAATAGTCAACAAGCCGCATTCCGATCACCAAACACGATTGAACTATACCTGGATTATGTTTGTCCATTCAGTGCAAAAATGTGGACGACATTGAATGAAGGAGAAATATTCAAAAAGGTAAAAGATGATCAAAAGTATGCTGGAAAAGTTCGTTTCGTTCTACGTCAACAAATTTAACCTTGGCATCCTTCTTCTACCCTCGTACATGAAGCTGCTGCTGCTGTTATGCAAGTTCAACCGAACAAGTATTTCGATTTTAGTACCCTTCTTTTCAACCGACAAAAAGAGTACTTTGACGTGAACGTGGTCAATGAAACACGTAATCAAACATACAAACGTTTATCCGATTTAGCAGGAGAAGTTGGCGTTGACGGTAAACGAATGTATGACCTACTGCACATCTCTGATAAACCGGCAAACGATGGATCTTTGAATACAGGAAATGGCGTAACGAATGATATCAAATATATGGTGAAAACGAACAGACTCACTGGAGTTCATGTTACTCCAACTGTGTTGTTCAATGGCGCAATCGAAGGAAGCATCTCTTCAAGTTTCACTTCCGATCAATGGATCGAATGGCTTGATAAGAATTTAGTAGAAGAGCATCTTTAGGGGGGAATGCTGTATCTGTACATAGTTTGAATAGATATTGTGTGCCTGATCGATCGATCATGACTTCTATCAGGGCTAAGAACAAAAGTGCATATACACTTCATCCCTGACTGTGCGTGCTGCTATTGTATAAAATAAGGTTTACTGTATGTTTGATTAGCTTATCCCTCCCAAAAAGGGAGCAACAAATAAGCTAAAAGTAGGGTCCTCTCGCAATTTGATATTTTTGCATGCTGATAAATATCCACATCAAACCGAACTTTATTCTTATGCACGATCCCCCAAACCCCTAATCTGGCTCAAGACGATCAAAGCAAAAGAGACGATCTAGATGTTCTTCTCCACACAAACCTGTCGATCATCCCATCCCAACACGAAAAGATGACGGTGACAAAGGTGGTAGAAACGTCAACGAGGCATCCATTACGCCTCGTGTCAAAGAATGTCAACTTGGGTCTCAAGATACGATTATGGCATGTAATCTTGGTTGGAATTGTAGCATGGCTTCTTTCCGGTCGATTGATGCCGTTATACGAAGATTGGACAGCCGAACCCGTCAACGAAAAAATGCAAGAAATTTGTAATAACCTAGCATCAGAATCACAATTGACAAAAACGGAAATTTGGTTACCCGGTTCAAAAGCATACATTGCAAGTAGAGTACGATACTTTAAACAAACGGCTTTGAGACCTGCTTGTGTTGCTGTTCCTACACAGCCGCATGGACTACAACGATTGATTCAGCTGATCGGGAAGGAACGGATACCGTTTGGCGTCTCGAGCGGTCAACATCATAGCAATATTGGTTTCAGCTCTACGGCAGGTGGGCTGCAGATTGATATGCGACAGTTCAAAGATCTCAAATTGAGTAAAGATAAATCATATGTAGACGTTGGACCAGGATTAACATGGTATGAGGTATATAGAATGCTAGAGGGAACAGGTGTTCAAGTTGTTGGAGGAAGGACTCAATCGGTCGGTGTAGGTGGATTTCTAGCCGGTGGCGGAGGAATGGGGTGGTCAACAAACGTACATGGGATGACTGTAAATACTGCATTGGAAGCTGAATTGGTCACACCACAAGGCGAGATAAAGACAGTCTCCTATTCAAATGATCCGGACCTTTTCTGGGCTTTAAGAGGAGGAGGGAACAAGTTCGGCATAGTGTTTCGATGGCGATTACAAACACATGAACAAGCAAAAATTGTTTATGGAGGAATGCGAATTTATCCACAATCCCGTAAAAAGGTCATCAATCAAGCAATGGTGAACTTTTTGAGTAATAATACCGATCCTGGCGCTCAACTAATCATTTCGTATGGTGTTGCATACAAGCTGATCGGTATAATTTGCTTGCAAGTATATTATCCCCATCAAGATCCTGGATCGATCTTTTCGGAATTTGATGTTGAACGAGTGGGAAAAGCATGGTCAGATTCATGGGGTCCGACAACGTTTGCGGATTCTGTCGGAACGTCATATACGGAAATGCATGCAAATCAAAGATCTTTGATGGACGAACAAAACTTCCAAAACTTTCATTCGGTTGCATTATTGAATGCGGCAGCAGATCTGAGTTACGAGTATGGACGTAAGTGGTTCATTAAAGGTAGATTCATGCCACTTTCACAATCGATTTGCAGTATTGCTATTGAACCTTTTCAACAAGGATGGGGAGCGCAATTTAAAGAGACACAAGGCGTTTATCCATACCACAACAGTCCGATGCCTATCATCTTGTTGTTCTATTGGAAGAATGCAAGGGATGACGAATACTTTACACAAACAGCACGCTTTATGATCGATAGATTACGTCAAATTGCTATAGAAGAAGGGCAAGATTTATCAAACTTTCCAGCTTATCCGAATTATGCTCAGGCGGACAGAACACCAGAAGGATTGTTTGGTAAAGAGAATTGGGAAAGGCTGAGAGGATTACAGAAACGATATGATCCTGAGAATGTTATGGGATTGACTAAATACTTTTCCTAGATTTTTCTCTAAATGGACATTTTGTTGCATGTACGGTTACTTACAATGGGATTCCCTTATCAAACATACCTTCTCCGCATAATTCTTCGGATGTCCGAATTGAGAGTCGTTGTGCCTTCTCCCCCACGATTATTTCGGTCAAATTTCGGACTCGTTACGCGCGATTGTGCATGTTTGTCCTTGCTCTGCTAAAGTGCCTGAGAATTAAACTTTTTGATTGTTGCAGCGTTCTTCTTGAGTAACATATAAATACCACTTGAACCTCGCTAGCAATGCTATTCCATTCTCACTTCTCTCCATCATGACAGTTCCACAAACATCTTCATCATCAGCCATGACTGCAAAGGCAAAAACAGCAGCTTCTCAATTCGCAGAAGCAGATGAAAAATACAAAGACAAATTAGAATCAATGACGATGGAAGAACGTGCGTTGCTAGGATTACCCTATATTGCTGCCGATCCAACATTGGTAGATACAAGAACAAACACACGAAAACTTTTACGTCAATACAATCAATCAGAACCAGGTCCAACATCGCCAAATGAAACAGAAGGTTTCAACGATATCAGTAATCAAGCAAGACGAGCAATCCTCGAAAAATTATTCAAAATCGATTCAGCAAAAGCAAAGAGGATCTTCATCGAACCTCCCTTCTGGTGTGATTATGGCAGTAACATCGTCTTTGAAGGTGACTTTTATTGCAATTTCAACACAACCATCCTTGACGTCGCAAAAGTTACATTGGGACATGGAGTCTTATTTGGCCCGAACGTACATATCTACTCCGCAACGCATGGTAAGTTAGGGTTAGGGTTGTAACACTTCGATCGATACAAGGATCGAAAGAAGATATTTATAAGCTAAACGACTCATACGAAGGTTTGCCGTTTGATGGCACCGGCGCGTTCCTAGAGGAGCTGTCATACTGTTCCCAGCTTCATAAAACGGCACCGTATCTGGCATGATTTTAGTGCCGAAGTCATAATGAAATGAATGAACAACCCTAATAGGTGTTTCTGACTCTAACCCTAACTTTCTCCTCTTTCTCTCTTTTCTTTCATCAGGTACATCAGTACTAGAACGTGAAACAGGTCATGAACGTGCTTTGCCTGTCTCAGTCGGAAGTAATACATGGGTCGGTGGAAATACAACAATAATGGCAGGTGTGAATATCGGTGAAGGATGCACGATCGGTGCGGGATCAGTGGTCACGAGGGACATCCCTGCTTGGTCAATCGCTGTCGGTAATCCTGCTCGTGTTCTGAAAAGCGTTCCAGAAGAAGAAAGAGGTAAACGTGATGGAAAATCAGGCGCAGTTCCTTTTTGAATCACACCACTTCATGTCATTTCATAAGATCAGTAATATATACATATGTTGAGTCTCGTCAATCCTGTCTCGTATCTGAATCATTTCGTAGCCTTCGCAGGAACACAAGCTGCCACCACGTCACCAGGTTGTACACTTTGACCTTCCGGTGCAACGACGTACTTCACCACAAGTGCTTCAGGTGCTTTGATCGGAATCTCAGTCTTCATCGCTTCCAAAATAGATACCGAATCGCCAGCAGAATACGTCTTTCCAAGAATGGCAGGTTTCCAAACAGAGGCATTCAAAGGTGCAACAAGCTTGATAGTTACTGCTGGGTCACTTTGCCATTCATTATCCGAAGCAATGCCATTCTTTTCAGCTGCTTTCTTCTTCTCCAAGATTGCATCTTCTTCTGCTCTCCATTGAGCGAACGATTCTGCCTCTTCTTTCTCACATTGAGCAACAGCAATCGCTTGTTTGCGCTCATATTCTTCTGCTTCTTTGGCAACCTTTTCATCAAATCGAGCTTGCTCTCCAACGTCAAACGTTGCTTCACGTACATCCCATGTCCATTGACCTGCTTTGAATGAAGCTAGAGCTTTGTCCAATTCTTCGGGTTGCATAAGATAAAAGTCAACAACATCAAAACTTTCCAATAACCAAGGTCGTTCTGATGTAAAGCCTTTTGCCGTTCCAAACGTGTTCCAGAATGGTAGGGTTCTGCCTACAAGTTGATAACCGCCAGGTGATTCGACACCATACACTGCACCCATACAGCCACCCCATCCGAAAGCACCTTCAGGAGTTTGCAAGCGGGTTGGGTTGTACTTTTGACAGCGTAATCGTTTACGACGATCACGGGCAAACAAGATTGGCGTACCCAAAAAGAATCCATTTCCAACAGTGATCAATTCACTGCCTAAAATTGCTTCTTCGACTTGTTTTTTGCTTTGTAAGCCATTTGTTCTGGCTAAATAGTTACAATTATCCGTTCCTTTTTCCGAATCCAAATATACAGCTTTGTTTCGTACGCTTTGTTTGTAGCGATCCACTGAATCAAACACCGCAGGATGTGAGAAGCATAAAGGCATTTTCCAGACACGATATGGGATCTTGATAGAGGTGATATCTTGAGGCAAGGACTTTTCGATCTCTTGAATAAAGTTGACGAGATTGTTTCGTGGAAGAACTGATGGATTGAAGCGAACAGTCAATGTACGGATATTGACATCAGTATAGAGAATACCTTCAGGTGACTTTTCCTTGATTGCACGCAGCATCAACTCGACTCTGCTTCTGATAACCATATCAGCGACCATTCCACCAAACTCGATCACCAATCCGTCATCTCCCGCTGCACGTAGCGTCATTACTGGTGAGTCTTTGCCAGATGTTTGGTATAAGATTGGGGAAGGCAGTTTGGTGTGATGCACAACGTTTTCGAGAGTACCCTTTGTTGGTTTTACATTCTTTTCTGTCAAGTCTTTCCCTTGTGCAACTGCATCCATGATGGACTTGATATGCGCATCTTGTTCTTCTGCTAACGCTCGTGCTTGTTCATATGTGATCGGAATGAATTGTACTTGCATTCCAGGCAAAAGTTGACCCATACGCCATTCACTTGAAATAATAGTCGAACTGATCAACAATCCACCAAGATCAGGACCATCAACACCAAGCAGAACGGGAGTGTCGCCATTCCAGTTCAAACCTCCAAGTGAATAACCAAATTCCAACATATTCGAAGGATGACTTCCACCTTGACCACCATCTTTACGAGCCCAAGAAAGACGAGCTCCTTCATAAAGAGACAATCGAATACCGGATCGTGCTGCATTTTGTGAAACCGTCATTGGCTTATCATAGAGTTGTTCTCTTCCGGCAGCAGTGATGTATTCGTCATCATCAAAAGGACCGCGTAAGCAGAACAGCTTTTTGACTTCTTCGCCTGTTGAAAGGTGTTGAATATGTTGAAGGTTCTCTGGCAAGGGACCAAAGAGAGCCGTGGGAGCGTATTGAGCATCTTTGTGTGACAGCGCTGCTTGTTCATCAATGAAGATCACATCACCGATGCGCAAATCTCTTCCTTGATGACCACCTAATCCCAAGGATGCAGTAGTAGATTTGGATCCAAGGTAAGCGGGCACCTTTGGCAAGCCACCTTTGATTGCGAGATATGCTCGTGCACCTTTGACCTTTGCATCAGGTCGCATTGATCCGATCTTCAATGTTGATCCCGCTTTGATCTTATAGGCAGCATACATTTCCAATGCAGTTTCTTTTTGCGATTCACTTGAGAAGCTGAATGCAAATGGCGCACCAGCAAGACAAATGATTGCATCCGCATGAAACTTGAGTGTGGGTCCAGAAAGTGTAATCTCCAATGCTTCTGTTAGATCGTTTTGATTTCCAACGATGGCATTGGCCACTCGCATAGAGAGCTTATCAGATGGACCTGAAGGTGGTAAACCATGTCCGATCGATAGCCTTCCGCCATCTTGAATGGAGGTTGACATACCATGATCAAGCACTTCAAACGCTTTTGGAACGTAGGAAAACCTTTCATCTTTCAAGAATGAAGTCACTGTTTCACCCGATTGGAAGAGTTTTGATTGGATGATGGCAAGCAAAAAGTCTGCATTCGTGGGTCCATAAATATGAGAATCTTGTAAAAGTGCAATCAAGTTCTTGCAAGCCTCTTCTCTGTCTCCGCCTCGAGCGATCAATTTGGCCAAAAGAGGATCATACGATTGCGTGATTCGAGTTCCCGTTTGTACCCAAGATTCAATCCTGTGTTTCTTTGGATCGCTCTTCCAATCAATTTGCTGTAAAAGACCCGGGCTTGGATCGAAGTTTCGCAATGGGTTCTCACAGTAAAGACGTGCTTCGATTGCCCAGGTGAGAGGAGATGGCGGGTCATCACGTTCAATGGCTTCGAGAGCTTCCCGTGATAATGCTCCCTCCTTGCCCAATTGAGCATCAGCTTGTTGTAGCATCAATGCAACGATGTCCACATCCCGCACTTCTTCTGTCACGCAATGCTCAACTTGAATACGAGTATTGCATTCCAAAAAGTAGAATTCGCCAGTGTCATCATCAACAAGGAATTCCAACGTTCCTGCAGACCTGTACTTTGTCTCTTGTCCGAATCGTTTTGCACATGTTGTCATTCGCTTTCGTAAATTGTTTGGGTCGGAAGGATCGGCACGTTTCTGTACAAATGGCGAAGGAGCTTCTTCGATCACTTTTTGAAATCTTCTTTGAATGCTACATTCTCTTTCGCCAAGATGGATCACATCACCTTTTCCATTACCGAATATTTGCACTTCAACATGATGGCCTTTTGCGACGTACTTTTCAACAAAGCAGTTCGCATTGCCGAAAAGTGCTAAGGAGCGTCTGATTTGTGCATCAAAAGCACGTTCCAATTCATCGTCTGATTCACATACCTGCAACCCCATACCGCCACCTCCTGCACTTGGTTTGAGAATAACAGGGTAACCGATGTGACTGTGAATGGCTTTCTTTGCTTCTTCATACGTGCTCACCAATCCAGAGCCTGGCATACATGGCACTTTTGCCTTTTGTGCAAGTTCGATTGCACGATGTTTGAGTCCTAATTGATCGATCACTTCTGCCTTTGGTCCAACAAAGATTAATCCTGCTTTTTCTACCTTGTCAGCAAAAGATGTGCGCTCTGACAAGAATCCATAACCTGGCAAGATTGCTTGTGCATTATGATCTTTTGCAGCTTGTACGATCGTATCTTCGTCCAAATAACCTTTTCCGTCAACTTCTTTTCCATGTAATAGCACAGCAATATCGCCTTGTGCTCGATGAGGAGCTCCTTCATCTTCAGCAGTATAAATTGTAATACATTTCAAGCCAAGAGCATGAACGCATCTTATCAATCGAACGGCAATCTCACCTCGATTGGCAACCAAGATTGTATGAAGATGTTGTGGTTTAAAAACACCACGAGAGCCAGCAAAACCGTTTGAGGCTGTCATGATTGGAGGGGAGTGTGTAAATGGAGGAGAAAGTGTGTGAGGGAGAGAAGAAGATGAATGTGGGTTGAATGAATGTCAAGTTGATGAGTAGTTTGGGTAATGAATACCAAATGAGAACATGGTTGTGGGGCAAGAGACGAATGACCCCAAGTTTTGCTTCATTTGGTCAGCTGTCAACATGTTTGACCAACGGCAAGGCCCCACTTCCGACAAACCGAATTTGAAGAGCATGACCAAAAAGACAATTGTTCGCACGGACAAAGAAGGCACTACAGAAGTGTCCACAAAATGAAATTCTTATCTTCGGCACTAAAATGTTATTTATTTTTATTCGCACGAAAACAAAGAAAGAGTGGAGTATAAAAGTGGGGGACAAACAATTGCCATCAAACAAACAATCAACAACCACCATCAATCATAATACATCATGGCTACTAATCCTCTCAAAAAGATTGAGCTTAACTGTGATATGGGTGAATCGTTGGGAAGATGGATATTGGCTGATGATGAAGCAATAATGCCACATATCGATGCTTGCAATATAGCAGCAGGCTTTCATGCTTCCGATCCAACAACAATTCACAAAACTGTTCGTTTGGCAAAAAAGGATAATATTCAAATTGGTGCTCATCCTGGATTCGGTGATCTGGTTGGATTCGGCAGACGAACTATGCTCTTGAGTCCAGAAGAAGTTGCAGATTTGATCACTTATCAAGCAGGTGCTGTTCAGGCTTTTTGTCAAAGACAAGGTGTCACAATGAGTCACATCAAACCACATGGAGCTCTGTACTTCTACTTGCTATCTGATCAAAAAATTTGTACAGCAGCTGTTGAAGCCATCAAAGCATTCAATGTTCCAATGTACGGCTTACCGAATTCTATTCAAGAAAGCACATGCGCTTCACTTGGTGTACCATTCGTTCCAGAAATATTTGTTGATATCGAATATAGCGCAGAAGGAAACTTGATCCCTCCAGCAAAATCAAAGCCAATCTCTCCAGAAGAATGTGCAGAACGTGTAAGGATGGCTTTTGAAAATGATCATTTACCTGCTCAACAACCCGCTTCCGCAACAACGACAAAGCCACTCAATTTGAAGGGCAAACATTTCAGTGTTTGTCTTCATTCCGATTTCAAAGCAGCTGTTGACAATGTCAAAGCTGTTCGTCAGATGATCGATAGTATCAATAACAAAAATGTATAAATTTGAATGAGATTCAATTTTCTGGTATAAAAAGTAGATGAGCTTGAGAAGTGATCCGGTCTGAGCTCGTTCGTAGAAGATGAACGAGTGGGAGCTTCAATTAAATTGATCTTATTCAGGCACGAATAGTAGCACTGCTAGGTACTGGAAAGAATAGAATAAATTGCATCCATTGTTTGATGAATAATAGACAAGGACAAAAAAGTCGACATGAACAATATCACATATTGAAACACACAAACTAAGTACAGCGCATCCATCATCCAGAACGTTTGAGAACGTTTGCTAATGAACCCATTGGCAATCTTCGTTGTACGCCGATTGATTTCGACATTTGATCGAAAAAGACGTACCAACCAAGCTGTGGGGGAGGGAAAAGAATTTGTTAAGCTTTATTCTTTTGTTCATGACATATGCAGTCTACTCACGATATCCGGAATAAGCAAAATATAACCACCACCTTTGAGCAAACGGATAGCCTCATATGCATCGTATTGCGTACGGAAAAATCCTCCAGCGATCAAAAGTGAGCCAAGGAAAACAGTAAAGAAGATGGTGACGAATGTCAAGTTGATTCGGACTGACATGATTGCCATGATAAGATTGAATATAGCGAATCCTATCATGTATGCGCCTGAAGATGTGAGAAGAATGATGAATAGTCAGTAAAGTGTAAAATGACATCTTACTTATTACTCACCTACTGCATCCGTAAGCATTGGAGAATTTGCACCGCCGAGTGCTTGAGCGATACCGGCTTGAGGTGAGTTGAGTAAAGCAAAACCAAACCAGAAAGAACCATAAGAAGCGAATGTGACCATTTGAAAAGTAGCACCTTGAAGCCATGACATAATAGCAGCGATCCAAAGACCCAAACCGCCAGTGAGATAAAATTGACCAACTAAAGCTACTTGCGATAACGGTGAAAGGGAACCCCAGAAACATAAACATGCAATCGTGGGTGTAAGACAGAGTACAAAGCTAATAAATCCTAATGGACCTGGATCGGCAAAGCCTTGGATGGCATTGCCAGATTGAGTGGCACCCAACAATCTTGTAAATTGATCTTCGCTTAATTGATAAGTTGCATTGTTATGCGCAGGTTTGCCATTAATGTGTTGATCATCGATTGGAGCGTTTGCAGACATTGTTGGTTGAAAGTGGGTTGTTTGAGTGAGTAAATGATTGGTTTCAGGAGTGAGAGTGGTGATTAGGATTCAACTCCACTCGAGTATTCATTCAGCCCTTTTTATCCTCTTCCAACAATCATTGAAGATGATTTTTGCCCCACATGTTTTGCGTTGTCCTGGTAGCTAAACGGAATCATGACCTCCGTAAGGCATTTGAGAAGCCATTTCCGTTCTTTTTTTCGATTCCGATTGTACTTCGGACTGTCATATGACATGACGAAAGAAAAACAAGCACAAAACGGTAATACCAAAAGGACTTCATGCGCGGATGAGGAACGTCGGCGCCGTTGGGTAAAAAGGAGAAAATTAGGTCATTTGACATCTGCCAGCGGAAGCATAACCGGAGAGAGGCTTTTCGTGCGGAAGGGCAACTTGAACTTTTGATTGTGACAGGGAGACACTCGAGTGGAGTTGGTATAGAGCCCATTCTTCAAGGGAAGCATTTATAGCTGGTCATTTCATCATAGCCTCCTGCTTTTCTTTATCACGCTGCAAACGCTAAGACTTGCTACATACACGGCTCAAAGTGCCTGACTATTATCTATCCAGTCAAATTCTACTTTCATTCAAATTCTTAATGAGACAGTCAAGCAAGTACATAACTCTTCACTTCAACACAAATTATCGATCGAAAATAGAAATGACATCATGACAAATAGCATACAAAACAATAATTGTTCTCAACTTTGAAACTCTCAAAGTTGATAACGGAAATCTTGGTGACCTTCCAAAATTTCACCATGACGATCAGCTTGTGCGTTGCGTTTACGGAAATGGAATGACAAAGCTGCACAAGCAAGAATGATATAGATATGGAAGCCAATCGTGAACCAAATACCCAAACGATAAGTTGGTGCATCTTGTTCACGGAAAACAAGAGCAGAAGCAATACCACCAATACCACCAAATGCGATCGTCAAAGCGGAAGTATAAGCACGTTTGCTTTGAGCACGAATTGAAATTTGTGCCCAACCAATGACTAATGGAACGTTTGAATTGCATCCACCTGCACACAAGAAGATACCGGCATAACGACCAGCAGTATTTGCGGCAGGCAAGAAAGCAAACAAAGCCAAACCCATGATTGCACAGAAACAATTGAGCACGATCCAAATGGAACGAATTTGAGTTTTATCAGACATGATACCTGATGCAATTGCAGGAATCAAAGCCCAAACGTATGGAGGAGCAACCAAGATTTGACTGTTTGCTGTACTGAAACCCATTCCGGCCAAAATACGTGGTAAGAAATAACTTAAAGCATAACTTGCAGTCGTTGTACCCATGAACATCAATGCAAATGCCCAAAGTTTGATATCCATAATGTATGTTTTGACTTTTGACCAAGTGACGGGATCATGTTCTGCATCTGCACGATCACGTTGAATACGCACAAGTGTCATCTTCTTTTGATCTTCAGTAAGGAATTTTGCTTTGTCTGGGAAGTCAACAATGACAACATATCCGATCAAACCCAAAAAGACAGTAAGACCACCTTCAATAACAAAGATGTATTGCCATGGTTGAAGGGAACGGTTGATTGTGTAGATTCTTCCTAATCCATAAGCCAAAATACTTGACATACCGGTTGCAAAGACGGACAAAACATAAAAGAACGAAAGACGTTTTTGAACTTGACGACGAATATACCAACAACTGATCAAATAAGCAGCACCAGGGAAAAGAGCAGCTTCGAAAACACCGACCAAAGCACGTAAAGCGGCCAATTGATGATGATCCTTTACGTAAGCCATTGCGATCATCATTAAACCCCAAAGGGTGACTGCCGTACTGAGCCAGATTGCTGCACCAAATTTACGTAAACCGATATTACTTGGAAATTCGAGTAAGATGTAAGGAATAAAGAAAGATAAAACTGCGATTGAATATCTATCACCAACGTTCAATTTAAGTGCCGCATTCATTCCTGCTGCACGGGCTAAAGAGATATTTGTTCGATCGATCAAAGAGATTGAATAGCATGCTGCCAAGAACGGAACCAATCTCCAATCAATCTTGCGAATCGTCTTTTTGAGAAAGTCTGGATCAAATCCTTCATCAGGATCTACTTTTGTACTTGCTTGTTGATAGCCATGTGGTAATTCATCAACGATATCTTGGGTTGCCGTGCGTGGACTATCGCCGTACTTTTCATCTTGACTGCCATGATGGCTTTGAGTACCGGTTTTTGTGTTTGAGAAAAGGTTGGTGGCATTCATAGTGAATGGAGGAAACGGGAATAAGGAAGATGTTGAGGAGGAAAAGGGAGATTCAATGTGGCAAAGGTTGCTTGGTTATATACTTGTGCGACTTTGCATATCAGGAACGTAAATGAAGAAAAAAGATGAAATGAATTGGGCGCGCCACTTTTACAAATTGCATCAGATTCGAGCCAAAGTGCGGGGTCCCCAACTTTTACCTTTTCTTTGGGGGAAGGAAGGGTATGATGGAGAAACTCTCTAACGGCTATCGGTTTTCTATCTTGACCGTAACCGATCAGGGCAAGACACCGACAGAAAGCAGATTGAACAGCTTTCCGTCGGATTATCATATTAATGCTGTACCTTACTGAGTGTAAAAAAGGAGGCTTGCAGTATTCCACGGTTCCGTATATAGGAAGTGCAATTTATGAGTAGAAGGTTTTCGTATAGAGATTGTCTTGGCACTGCAAGAGGTGCATGACGATGACAGTGATGGTGTGCATCGAACAACGGCCAATGGAAATTTATTTGAAATAAAGTTAAAATCTGACAATCAATCTGTCATTGTTGACGGGGAAGGTATCCTAATTTAATGCACTCCGCGTTTCCCGTTTATAATCACATAGTGCTTGTGTGCCTGATACTTTAATTAAAATAAAGACGTGCATAAATTCGCTTAGTGTTAATGCTTACGCTGTCACAGTGCCTTAAAGCCACATTCACAAAAATAGAAATGCACCCCGCACTCATTCAAGTCAAGAGGGAACTTGAAGACATCCTTCATCATCCTTCTTGGTCGTGTGCACTGCCCTGCAGACCCTTACCTTCCACTTCGATCATATAGTGATGTCTCGTTCAAACCCTGCACAGTTAAAACACATGGTATTGATTTGAGCCACGTCACTAGAAGAATGGTCTTTTTTGTTCATATCTTCCAAAATCTTGTGAATTGCGCTGACGTAAGCCCTTGCCTACATCTTGTGTTGTATCAAGTTTGACGATCTCTCAACCACCATCTTTAATGCGGTATAATCTTACTTCGTGATGATGGCTTTCACAATGTCTGAGCACCCGCTATGTCTGTGCGTATGAGCCGGTTAATAATCACAACCGGAAGTAATGAGCCGTCGGCGCTTCTTTTGACACGCTGAAAATGGACATCCCTCTCTTTTCCACATCTATCACAAGCAATCAAAAATGGGAAAAAGTCAACAAATCTTACCAGCCGCAAAACCTCCATCGAACATCCCTGAGGCTATTCCACCTTGGACGTTAGATGCAGAATGTTGGCTGTTTCCATTCTATACGACTAGCTCTCAAATCTCCAGCAACAAACAACAGTCGAATGACCAGACGAGTAATTCAGCTTCAGTCTTGGCTCATAAACAAGGTATTGACGCTGGCGCTTATCATCCTTTAGAAGATGTTTCCCATATCACAACAGACGTCTTCAAAGGTGGATTAGGAGGTTGGATTCTCTACAGGTACGCCTCCAGTCCTGTTGGCCCATACGATGAATTGATTTACGTTGCAGGCAGCTTTCAATCAAAAGATTCAGGTACAAGCGGACTGAGAATCACAAACATTTACGTTTCCACTCACGACAGCGTTTGGAATGGGAGAAGAAATTGGAACATTCCCAAACATGTCGCCAAGTTTGAATGGTCACATCCTTTCAGAGCGCGAACAACCGAACCGCAAACAGTCAAGATATTCCATCCTTCCTTGGCAACTGCAACAAATCTCCCTTCAGCTGTAGATGACCAGAAGCCGTTCTTCAGTGCAACATTCACACAATCGAAGTACTTGCCTTACCTTCCCATCAATACCAAGTACTTCCCATCTCTGCCGCTCATTCAACCACCATTACAGGCTGGCCTGTACAAACGCAATTCTCGAGAAGCACAAGTAGAAACTGAATCTTTGCCGAATGATCTCTATCGTTCAACTTCGCCGACATTCAAAGGTAAATTCACGCTAGCATACTGTCAGTATGCACCCGGACAATCTACCTATGGTGACGGGGTCTCGTTTCCCAAAGCGACAAATACGTTGGGCTATGGTTGTTATATGCCAAATATTGAAGTGGGCTTCCCGTGGTCAGTAGAATATCCGTCAACAAAATAAGTGAGAATGTATGAATTCATAAATGTGACATTTATGTACAATAAAAAGTTAGTGAGCATGAGCAGTAGCGGCCACATCCAAGAGCAACTCTTCAAAATCACCTGCGCACGGAACTGGTGATTGTAGTTTGATACGCTTTTGGTAGTAATCATGAATGTGACTGACGATACTCTTGATTCCGAATCCGAAATGTTCAAATAGATCAGCTTGGGGTCCAGAAAGGCCGAATGTATGCATGCACATGGCAGCATGCGAATAACGTGCCCAGCCATAAGAAGACCAAGCTTCAATAGCAACAACCAAGCCATTATGCAATGGTAAAACGGATTGACGGTATTCCTTTGACTGTTGATCGAACAAGCGTTGGTTTGGCATAGAAACAACATTGATGGCCAAATCGGGAATCAAACGTGATAATTCATCGGCTGCTTCTACTGCTCGTGAAACTTCACCTCCTGTTGCAACCAATGTGAGTGAGGCGAGACCATTGTTACTTGCCGAAGATCCTACAGTCTTGACAATATAAGCACCCCTGTAAACACCTTCGCGAGATGAGTTTGGGAGAAGAGGAACATTTTGTCTGCTTAACGACAAGATTGTAGGAGTATGTTGATTCTTTTCTTCCATTCCGAATTGCCAAGCACCCATTACCTCTTCTGCATCTGCAGGACGGAAGAAGTTCAAGTTTGGAATTGCACGGAATAAGCTTGCCAATCCGATAGGTTGATGGGTTGGACCATCTTCACCAATTCCGATACTGTCATGTGTTGCAATTCCGATGAATCGCAAACCTTGTAAAGCTGACATTCGGATTGCGGGTGCAGCATACAAGAAGAACATAAAGAATGTTGAAATAACCGGAACGATTGCGTTTGGATTGTAAGCTGCTAGACCGTTTGCGATTGCGGCCATTGCATGTTCACGAATACCATATCGGATTTGTCTACCGGCATAAGAGCCATGTCCAGTAACTGGAGGTTGGAAGTCTTCCATCTCTTTCCACGTAACAAATGTCGAGCCAGACAAATCTGCTGAACCTGCCAAGATTTGTGGCATCTTTGGAGCTAATGCCTGAACTGCAATTCCAGATGCTTTTCTCGTGGGGATGGCGGATGTTGGCAATTTGTCTTTGGTAGGCAAGAGATTTGCACTGATCTTGCTATCTAGTTGTCCAGAGAATTGCTGCTTGAATTCAGCGGCAAGCTCGGGATACTTTTGTGAATAGTTTGACATTGTTTCATTCCAGACTTGCTCGTAGTTCTTCCCACGAGATTTGACCGAATCGAATGCATTGTAGACTTCATCGGAAACAACATATTTTGCCTTCTCGTCACGTTTGTGGAATCGTTTAACGTGTTCAACATCTTCTTCTCCCAAGGCTGCACCGTGAGTGGGTGCCAAACCTTGATTTTGAGAAGCAAAGCCGATTGTTGTCCAAATGTTAATGAAGACGGGTCTGCCAGATGGTGAATCTCTTGCTTTACGTAATGCAGCCAAGATTGCTTGAACATCATTTGTTGCATCATCTTTCACTTCAATCACTTCCCATCCCATTGCACGTACTTTGGCAGATGTATCCTCAGTGAAACAGATGTCAATATTTCCATCAACTGTGACACGGTTGTTGTCATAAATCAAGATCAAATTATCTAAACCCAAGTGACCGGCCATGGAAAGTGCTTCGCAGCCTATTCCTTCTTGAATGCAGCCATCCCCTGTCATACACCAAATCTTGTTGTTGACAACCTTGCAGTCATCTTTGTTGTAGCGAGCGGCAAAATGCTTACTTGCCATTGCCAAACCTACAGCATTTGCGACACCTTGACCGAGAGGGCCAGTGGTAACCTCTACACCTTCGAATTCAATTTCGGGATGGCCAGCTGATTGCGAGCCAATAAAATCACGACTATGGTATCGTTTCAACATGTCCATAGTCCATGTTGGATAACCACAAAGGTGCATGTAGATATACTGCAACAAGCAAGCATGACCTGCAGAAAGAACGAATCTATCACGATCTAACCAATTTGCATTCTTTGGATTAAAGCGCATAACATCTCCCCACAGTGCAAGTCCAATAGCAGCCGCACCCATGGCAGTTCCTGGATGACCACCATTGAATTGTTGTACAAGGTCTGCTGCTAAACAGCGAACTGTGGCCAACACTTCAGGAGCTACATCAGATAATGAACTGTTTGCAGCTTTTGGTGGTTGTGTGATTGGGGTATGGGCTGGAATAGCCGTCGTTGGAGCTGGTGTCATTTTGTGTGTATTGCTAGATGATGGTTTGAAGGGAAAGACAATCAGGTCAATTTCACATCCAAATCTTCTCGATCGTCGGAATTTGTTCTTTGTTGGAGGGTTGATATCTCTTTTGTTCATGTGACCATATGAGCAGGCAAGGCACTCTCCGCTCTACAAGTGTATTTCCGAGACCCCAGTTTCGGAAACCTGCTTGCACTTTTCAACGGTTTTTATTCGAACACTGCTTTTGTGCCTTATTGACGCGCATGATTACGTTGTCGGAAATGCAGCATGTATACCTACATCCGACCGTTGGCTGCATACCGTACGGCTGCCATTCAGTCGGAAATTGCATTGGTGGCGAAACAGCATTCAACGGAAAATAAATCATCTATCATCCTACTTCTGGATTAGACAGCCTCTTCCGAAGGTGGTGTAATCAATTCTCAAAGTTTCGAAGATCTTTTACTCGGCATTCACATTCCATCTTGCCGAGAAATAAAAGAAAGATAAGGTGTATATCATATCCATCTTTTCATGCCACCACCCAACTTTGCAATCTCTACAAATATGGCACCAACTGCATTGCCAGAACAAAGGCCATTCGTGCCAAGCAATGCAAACACTAATCAATACGGCGGAACAAGAACACCACCGCGTGAGACGGTCGTACAAGAATTACACGAAGAACCCGAAGTTCCCAACTTGTTCTCTTTAAGTCATGGTGCAATCATCGTGACAGGAGGAGCTCGTGGTTTGGGAATTACCATTGCTGCTGCATGTGTTGAATCAGGAGCAGATGTGTTCTGTTGTGATATCTTACCTGAACCATCACAAAAAGAATGGAAGGCGCTGCAAGAAAAAGGAAAACGGTTCAGCGCATCAATTCACTACAAACAATTGGATATTTGCAATGAACAAGATGTTGAATCATCTTTCCAAGAATTCGCCAAACAATCCTCTCGTCCAATCGTGGGAATTGCACACTGTGCAGGAGTAATGGACGAGCAACCAGCTCTTGATTATGACATGAAAGCATTCAATCGAGTTATGCGTATCAATGTTGATGGAACTATGAACGTTGCCAAGTCAGCAGCTCACATCATGAAAGAAACCGGTCAAGGTGGCTCAATTCTCTTGATTGCCAGTATCAGTGGCTCAATCACAAACCGAGGAATCACAACAACTGCTTACAGTTCTTCCAAAGCCGCTTGCCTGCAAATGTGCCGTTCCCTGGCCGTTGAATGGGGTCAATATGGTATCCGTGTCAACACTTTGTCACCCGGTTACATTCGTACAGCAATGACAAACTTGCTATTAGCAGACAAGCAAGCTTTGCTAAGACGTTGGGAAGATGATAACCCACTCAAACGTATCGGAAACCCTTCTGAATTGAAAGGTCCTGCCGTTTACTTATTGAGCAATGCCAGCACATTCATGAATGGTGCAGACTTGAAAATCGATGGAGGCCATTGCGCTTGGTAAACACCACACCTTCTCACAATCGTCACCGTATTTTCCCATACTTCAATTCCGTGAATATACTACTATACATGAGTTCTTAATATACATGACATGAAATTTGATTAATTGCCAACTCTTGCAGGTGAATTTGTCGAAACTGTAGGATATTGTGAAGATAAGATGGATTGTACTTGCGGCAGTAGAGAAGCCAATTCGTCCAAAGAAGCAACATCTGAGAATTCTAGCGGCGCCCGTGATGGTGATCTTGTGGTGGGTTTGCTATGTCCATTTCCACTTTCACCTACTTCTTCTTGTTCGCCCACACCTGCACCAGACCCACGCCCTTCTCCACTACGCAAACGTTGCAAGAGACGAAGCTCACGTTTGGACACCAGTGCATCGGTTCCAACGGCCAGCTCGACCAAGTCTGTATGAGATCTGCCAAGCTGTCTTTGTGTCAACACTCCATGAATCCAGCGAACGCCATCCCAATAAATCGCAATTCTCTCCAATGCACTTGCGAATTTCTTATAACCATCTTCAGCCTCACGCATCAAATGAATCGAACTACGTGGAACACCTCCATCTCCATTCTTTGCAATGGTTTGAAAAACATTGCCATTATCGACAAAATGTTGTTGAGATTCTTCCAATTCCGCACAGCCTGCAAGGAACAATGTCTGATTTGCCATCGGAACACTTTCCAAGATTTTGTTGTCGTATGCATCATCCAGTGCAACGACATCCGCACATCTCTGGACGGATTTACGTACAACCTTGACTGCATCCAGGGGTAAAAGTGATTTCCGCATTTCCACAATTGGTGATCGATTAAGGATAAAGAGCAAATTGTGGAACCACAAATGAAATTCGAGAAAGAGGTGCTTTTGCGTTGATGCTTTGAAGTTCACGGTGTTTAAGCGTAAATGAGATGGTATCGTTTCGTACGACTCGATCAATTCCGATTCCAGAACGTCTAGCTCTTTTTGAATTTCCTCTCGCGTCAATTCGTCTGGTAAAAGCACAGCGTTGATCGTCTCTGCAATTCGACCTCCAATTCGAACATGGCGGATATAATAAGCAAACAAGATGTTCGCATTATCGGGAGAGTCAACGATACTCGGCATTGGACATGTGATCTCACGATCTTTGATACTTGTCGGTCTACCCGTTCCAACGACAAGAATACGGTCCATCTGATAAACAGACCAGAACAATAATGCGTCATCGATCAAATCTGCATCGGCCATATCTCGTGTATCACGGGCAGTTGGTAAATGTCTCTGTAATCCTAAATCGATTGCCATTCTCAGAGCCATTCCACCGTAATTCCAAAATGCACTATCCAAATTGCATGCAAATTCGTGCCAGGCAATCATCAAGAATGCCAAAATTGTCGTTCTTCCAGGAACGGCTAAAGAAGTTGCCAAAAAATCTTTTGCTTTTCGTGCAAATTGTTTGCCAAACGTATGTGCTCTTTGTACAGATCGACCTCCAGTGATATGCGGATGGGTGGAGTAGCGTGCTGCAAGTGCACAAATGATATTGATCAACATCGGAGGAACGGACTTTGCCGGAGAAGGGCTTGTGCTGTTTAAGCCAAGTCGGGATTCCAGTCCAACCCTGTTCAAACACGGATAATGATCTCCAAGACGATCAAAGAAGATCGGTAAAAGTTCATTGAGAACCCATTGAGCTGGTACATCACCTTCAAACAACTCAGGCCTACTTTCTGCGCCTGATTTGAGATTGCCAAGATCATCTTCAGAGAGTGATTGTGCCTCCCCTTCCCCTACATCTTCCGTCTCTCCTGCCGCACTACTATTTGCTATCAGTCTTTCCCAATCCACCCTTTGAGCACCTGGTTTGGAGGTGGATGGTGAGTTGGAGTCGAACAAAGCTCTGCGAACAGAAGGTGTAAGTTTCAATTCCATTGAAATCTTTTTGATACCAGGTGAAATACCCGTTGGCCCAAGCAAACGGAAATATTGAATCCGTACAACTTCTGACGAACCAGTCTTTGAGTCTTGTTCTGTTTGCGTGGTTAACAAGGCACCCGAATTCGAATCCACAACACTCTCAGCATTCACACCTCCATCAATCGCTTGAATGGGATCCGTCTTTGTATTCCCGTTAAGAATCGAATTTGGCGGATCAACCCAAACGACTTTTCCAGTCAGCATGTCCACCATATCATCCGTCATATGTTCCGGTTCCAAACCAAGTGAAGACCAATCAAATCCAGCCAAGGGATCTGTTACAGCAGGTGAAAGTGCAGTTCCTCTTCTCAATATATTTTGTGCTCCTCCTCTTCGTTCCCACCACATCGGTTGATGAACATTGGCAGAATCTGTGCCTGAAACAGACATTAATGCCGTTGGCGTATTCATACCTGGCGTTCCCAGTTGTTGCGAGAAGGATGATGGGGAAGCATGAGAATCCGGTTTGGGCTGAGGTGTCAAGAGCGATGGAGGAGGTAAGTTTTGTCGCGATGCTGGACTGAATGCGGCCGGTGATCGAATCGGCTTCAGAGAGCTTGAAGCGGAGAAATAAGTATGCGAATCAGGAGGTGGGATAGGCGAAGGTGAAGGAAGATGCCGCTGATAATAGTTCAGGTTGTGATATTTGGGTGAATGCGTATTTGTGGAAAAATGAGGATTTCCATAGTATGACTGCTGAAAAGCTGGCGGAGGTGGCGGCAGGCTATGTTGAGGGTATAAAGCCGGAGACGATCGAAGTTGGTCACCAATCGATGATGTGATCGAAGATGGACCGGGTAAGGCTGTTGAAGGAGGCGGGAATGAGTGTCCCTCTACGGCAGCATTTGCTAGAAGTTCCAGCTGGTCAATCGCACGTTCAGCTCTGATAGATGATTCAGCGACATCTTGATCGGATGTTCTTCTATCCTTTTTTGCTTCTGTTGATCTGCCATCCAAAGCAGCCCAAAAGCAATCCTGGGATCGAGTTGCACATCGATGACACGAAGGTTTGTTGCCATCACATTTCAATTTGCTTTGTCGGCCTGTTATTTGTGTGGAGAGATTGTCAGACAATCGTCCTTTAAGAAGTAACCTTGACAGCACACTTACATGGTATACATGCCATGCCAACTCTACTAGCATTTCTCCCACGCTTTCTTGATCGAGGCATCTCTTTTGAGGAAGAAGGTGAAGCTGATTGGAAATGCAATAAAGTTTAGTCAATAAAGTGTTCGGAAATATAATTTAGTTGATTGTTTTGCCGAAAGTAACAAACGTACCACTGTGTAAACTGTTTGAATCCGACAAAGTACTACTCATCTTGATGATCGACAGTACATTCGGAAATGGAGTAGCTTAAAGAGTGATTTTATGTGGATTTGGATGATATCTCTCTTTGCTCCTCTTGAGGGAGGGAGGGGAAGAAGAAGTTTACCTATCGGATGTACACTTGCATTAAGTGCAACGCGCCGCTTTTTATTTTTATTATTGAGATTTAAACTATGGCTGGCGGCTGTTCAGTGGCACAGTTTAAAGCAAGAGACGCCTTTGACAAGAGACAGACAGAAAGTTGAAAGCGGGGAAACAAGCAGCACAACCTCGGAAAATAAGCAACAAGGCTAGCGTGTGACATACTAGAAATGGTATCAGTGATTAGACAAATTATAAAGTATAAAGAACGAAATGATGAGAAAATATACAAATGAAGAAACACATCCAAAACAATAAGCAACGAAATCAATCTTGTGAAGCAGCAGTATAACGAGGATAAGGTTTAAATCTGGTATCAAGTGCTTCCATCAATTTGAATGCGTCCATAGCTTGTGACATTACGATGGCATAAATTGAATCAGGTAAAGTGGATGTGATCAAAGGTATACATCGTGCATGTGCTCTTTTGCATTTTAATGCTTCTTCTTCTCCTTCTTGTATTCCATTATCATCCAATTTCCATTCTCCCGTTGCAACAGCAAATAAAATTTCATCTTCCGCATTTAATGCTGCCAATAGACGTGCTTTCCAAATAGCATGATTGGAAGGTCCTTGTAGCATTGAAACAGTTATGTTTTGCTGTCCAATTCGAACTTTATCTTCCGTATTGATGATCGACATCGTTGTTCCGCCACCTAGAACCTCCGTTTCCGAATCTGAATGAATCGATGCTGGCCTTGGTGAACAAGCCCTTCGAATGGAAGTGATTGCTTGTTGTGCGCTCGCAATGGACGGTCGATGTTCCAAACAAGCCGGAATACGAACGGCCGATTTCTTGCTGGAGAGAGAGGGAAGGAAGGTTGTCAGCTGTATGCAATCTTTTGTTTCTTGTATTCCATTGCTTCCCACCTGTAATTCTCCGGAATGATGAATATCCGACTTGCAATTATCCTTGCAAGAATAGGATAGTACGATTAATCGTGATCGTACTGAGCAAAAAGGTAGTTGAAGGAAGAGATGTTGAAGTAAAGAGGAGGTATCCTTGCGCCTGATGAAGAAAGGGCGGCAAATTAGCCCTTCCATCTGTGTGTGTGTGTGTGTGTGTTTGTGGGCGTCTTCTTTTTGAATGCAGCGGAGTTGCCTCTTTTTACGCGGTTCAATTGGGCGTCAAAATGTGGTTGGAGCCTTCTCATATCGGCCAAGGGAACCGTCCCCTTTGATGAGAAGAACTCGATCAAAGGTGCTGTGTATGCTATAGTAGCGTAGTCAGTCATGTGTCATGTACCTAATTTTAGATCCTTTTAATCTTACGCTAACGGTTTTGCTTCAGGTAATGATGGCTTCTCCACACTTGGTTCTTAACTTGCTCAGCATGTAATTGAGTATGGTGATCACTAGATCTCGATCAAAGAGAAATAGTGAGAGATATTCACCATCAAATACTGAAACATTTGGCTTAATTCAAGAAGAATTACAGCATAATTTATATCACTTAATCGTACAAGCAATCTTATGGAATCAAACAAGAGGTAAACAAGCCAGACCGATTCTCAATAAAATACTATCATTATATCCAACTCCGGGCAAATTAGCATATGCAGACGAAAGCTTTTTAACAGACATACTCTCACCCATCGGACTACATAAACAACGGGCAAAACGGTTGATCGCAATGGCACAAGAATGGCAAAGAGTGCCACCTAAACCCAATCAACTATTTAAAGCACGAGCTCCCGGTTATGAAAGCGGAAGTGACCCTGCAAATCCAGGCTGGGAGATCGCACATCTTCCTGGCGTAGGCCCTTACGCTCTGGACTCATTTCGAATATTTCACAGAGATCAGCTCCTTGGCTTATCCAAAGGTTGGCAAGCAGATCCCAACCAGGACGCCGCCTTTGAACCGGAATGGAAGCGGGTTGTACCGTTGGACAAAGATCTTCGTGCTTTCCTTCGATGGGCTTGGCAGAAAGAAGGGTATGAATGGGATCCACTCACAGGTCACAAAAAGCCCATCAATACAAATGGATAAAAATAAAATTCTCTAGAAGTGCCTTAAATGCTATACAATCGAAATCTCAAACCGCACCCCTTTGCTGTGCATCCAAATCTTTCCACTTTCTATCATCAACACGATAGTATGCAAACGGTCCACAAGGTGACATATTATCACGTCTTTGTGCTGAACCCCAAATACCATAAATGGGCGATTGTGTACCCGGAGGTCCTGCTTGAACGCCACTCAAAGACCAAGCATCTTCTCCGTCATATCTATGGGTGATTTCCCAATGCAATGCAACGATTGCTCGATTTCGATTGCATACATCTTGCGGTCTCTTTTTGGACAGCTCTGGATCATCATCTTCCGTATCGTAGATCGGTCGAACGGATCCATAACATTCTCCACGTGGGATCGGTTCACCTTCATCAATATACGTCCGTGTATGTCCGCGGAATCGTAAGATTGGATAATGATCTGGACTTTGGAATGCCTGACAGGTGCTAGGACCCTCTTCTGACTTCTTTTCTCCAGTCTGTTCGTCTGTTAGCTGGTCATCATACCCTTCGAAAAAGGAATCATATCGATCATTCTCATTGAAATACCTTTGTTCCTCCATCGGCAAGAGCTCCAAGCGCAATTGTAAGCAATCACCAAGCGCTTCACGTTCTCCTTCCAAACTTGGAGATCCTTGTGTATGTCCATAAGGGAAAGGGCCGAATTCTGGCGCTCCCTGATGATGACTCAATCTTGGGTCCGGTAATCCACGACTGATCGGATCACGAGCATTGAAAGATGCCCATTTTGTCCAGTCCAAGAATGCGTATGTACCAATCCATGTACTCTCAACGTGTGCCCAATCGTATGGCTTTTGCGGCTTTGTGGAATGATTAGCAGGGTCCCGTGTATCAAGGGCACCGCGAGTGTGATTCCATCCGACCGGTAATCCCAACACATTCTTCCACGCTTCATCAGGATTATAGCTGTTTCGAGATTGTTCGTTGTCCAAATATATCTGCCTTGCAAATCGATCACGACCAACCAAAGACGTTTCTAATCCCGGTAATCGAAATGCTTTACCCCATGCATGATTCAGAACCGCATGTCGTATATTGCAATACATCACGATCATGATACTTTCTAGGATGACCCAATCAACTCTCTTGTCCATTCTCCATACTTGATTCAATTCAGTCTCTCCATTCGTATGGTCATACTGTCCACGACCTTTGTTCATCTTTCCAGACAGGTGTGCAGCTTCGGCCCATGGAAGGCATCCTCGACTCATAGAAATAGCAAGAGCACGAATACCAAACAATGCCTCGGTTTCATCATCATCGTCGTCGTCTTCGTCATCCTCGTCCTCTTCTTCATCAGCTTGATCGAGCTGATGTCCAACAAAGTCCGGATCAGCTTCTTCATCTTCTCCCTCTGCCAAAGCGTCTTGTATAGCTCCTTCGTCTTCCTCTTCCCCAGACCGATGTCCATCAGATTCATGTTCTCCTTCCGAAATCACTTCAAAATTTTCTTCTAAATCTCGAGCATCTAGAATCCATTCGCCTTGCCATTCTTCATCTTCTTCATCTTCCCATTCTTGCGTTGAGCGTATCCTTGGTCCATCAATATTCACAAATCTTTCCCGCCAAGCACGAAGAGGGCCGAAGCTGTTCTCTACTCCATATCGTGCAGTATCATACACAATCTCTCTTGCCCTTCCACGTAGTTGTAGATTACCTTGATGTCCCAAGCTGCTGCCTAGAGCAGGTTCCCTGGGTCTTCTGTTGATATCCATTTGATTGATGAAAAATCGAAAGATGTTATGGTGCATCTCATCCGGCTCCTCCTCTTCTTCATCATGTGTATCGGATACTTCTTCATCTTCCTCTTCTTCAGGGATAGAGCCATGGTCAGAGAAGTCGGGATCATCACTTTCACTTTCTACACCATCAGCTCGCGCAGTAGTACGATTGTTCGATCGTTTCTCGTTAGAAGGACGGAAGCCGGGATGAATACCATGCAATACATGCAATTGTGCCGCCAGCTGCTCATCTACAAGCTCTAAAGCCTCTAAGTTGGCAAGACCAGTGCCGTCATCAAGTGTGATGAGATTGTTTCCTCCTCTATCATAAAGCAGATGGTGTAGTTCGGTAGGGTATGCATGTAGTTGTACGCGAGCTGATCTTCTCTTTGGCGGGGACAGCAAGCTGGTGCTTGCTACTTCACTTGATCCCTCAATACCTTCTTGCATAGAATGAGATCGTTTTGATTTCTTTGCCGTATTTGGTGATCCAGAAGAAGCCGATCGGGCTCGCTTTTCTTCCCGTTTCATAACGCCTTTGAGCTTTTCACGTTGTTCGGAAAGGTTTTTCAATTGCCATTGACGTATCAGCTTGATATCATCGCGAGGGTATACCACTTTGCGAAAGATGTCCATGCTTTCTGGATTGGTAAGCAGCGTTGTGAGATACTCTGCACTCAAGCCTAATTCGTTCTCATCATCGGTATCCGCTTCCATTTGAGACGCTTTACGTAAAGAGCGGGAACGAGCAACCGCAATCAAAGCACGAAGAGTTTCATTGTAGTTTGCATACAAGTCTATTGGACGTTTGTATAAATCCTTTAATCTCTTTTCTGCCCACGTTCTTCGTTGTACTTGTCTTGCATGATCGAAAGGTACTTTGTTTGTTCTTTGTGTGCTTTTCTGTTCGGGATTGGCAATTGTGACTGAGCTTGTTGAAGGGCACCCCAGGTTGACAAGATGATCTTGAAAGCTAGTTGAATATGTATCCCATCGATTGGCATATACTTCTTTCCATAAGTGTGCTGCATCTCGGATATAATCATGCAAACTTCGATTCACTCGGCTTAGTGATCCTAAATCCGAAGGTTCACATTTTGCCAATATTTGATGAAGAAGTTCTGATGGTAGATCTGTTAGAGTGCATTTTGATGACGTTGAAGTCATTGTGTTGATTGCTTGTGGAAATGGAAGAAGAAAAGAAACAATCATAAAGACCAACACTCGAATGCATTTATGAGCTAATCTATGCTGAGCACTTTATGCACACTGATCTAAAGCCGGCATCTTTTACGCCCAGGCCGGTTTTATGCGTGTAACCGTGCATTCATGCTCTGGTGGGGTGCAGATAGGCGGAGCGGAGACAAAAAAATACCCGCTCACGTCAAAGAAGAAAGAGAAGATTGCTATGATGATTACCATTATCGAGGGAGCAATCCGTACTTCTGTTATAGTTTATCCATAAGATATGCTCATGATGAATGTGTCTAGATTCATTGTGCGTTCCTATATGAAAAGGATAGAAAGTGTTCATTCTAGCCAATACCAATGTATGACACCTACAAGAGGGAGCTATCGTGTGTAAGAGAGCATCTATACTAGCGTTCGATTCAATGGAAATGAGAAAATGAAGGTAGATGCTCAAGGAGCTACTTAAACTCTTTGACAAACATCAGAAATCAATACATTGCATGTAGCGAATTATATAATCTTACAAGATGCATCTTGATCAGCTGCATTCACACATGCAACATTCATCATCGTATGCTGAACGGTCTACCCCGCTCTTTCAATCGGTATTAAAAGCGCAAGGTAACAATAGGATTCTAGTTTATGAAGTGTGCAGTGCAGACGAAGTGCCTCTAAGACCCTTGGGTCAACAAAAGTCTTTCGTGTGGCTTAGACCCTTTACACAATACTGCATCACTCAATACCGCTTGTGGTTATTTCATGAGACATCTTCCTAAAGCAAACTAGAATGATAGTTATATTCACTTGTTTGGGTGATTGTACCTTCTTATCAAGATAATCATAGCCATATTAACATCGAGAGCATCTTCTTAAAGCATTATAATCCAAACAGAATGCTGTCAGGGCTGTGCAGGATTTGCTCTCCGCATCATATAAAAATGGCCTATCAGACGCGTACACAGCTGATACCCTGCACGTCGGCCATTTCTACGAAAAGGTGAATCCCGACTGCTCTACATCCCACTTCTGTACGCACGCCATCGTTTTTGAAATCACGTCTTACACATCCCTGCAAATGTGGAAATTTTGATAGCGTCAAAGTACGGGCATTGGATTGGGAACACTGCTCTTATGCCTGCTATTGCTGTACCACTAATTCATTGCTACCATCTAGGCCCATCGTTTGATTCTACCGCTAGTACAAATGTCGGGATGGAGTATGCATAAACACTGCTCGTTGACCTATTACTCCTCCCAACTATTATCAATTCGATAGCCCACTTTGATGATAAAATGCCGTGGTTTAAATCAACGGTACTCAAGCCTGGACCGAATCAAGTCGGCGGGCGGCAAAAGAAGGAAAAGACCCAATTTTCAACTTCTTTTTGAGGATCCAGCCACAATTAAATGTTTGGGATGGATGTACCTCATTTGTACCTGAAAACAGGTACCCGCCAGAACTACTAAAAAGGTATAAAGTAGATGCAACATCCGCCCCTTTCCTTCGCTCCAACCTCCCTCTCCTTTACACACACGAACACCTACTCTATCCATATCACACAATGTCTCTCAATGCTCCTCCAGCCCTACATCGACATGGATCGGATGATTCGGAGAAAGGATATATTGATGACAAAGGTCATTTCATCTCTGCTGATGGCGGAGCAGAAGTGACCGTTTTAGAAGCCGATGACGCATTTGATGCATTGGCAGCCGAAGAAGAAACTCATGATATCAAATTACGCACGATGTCTTGGCAAAGATGTGCATTACTCTTATTTGGTGATCAAGTTTGTTTGGCAATCATGGCTCAAGCTTGGTCAATCAAGGTATTGGGTTGGGTTCCAGGTTTGATCACTACTTTCTTGAGTGGGATTTTGTTTTGGATTACAAGTTATACAATGTGGAAGTTCATCATGAAAAACCCGCAAGTCCGTGATATTTGTGATATCGGTTATCTCTTATTCGGAAAGAGCAATACAGCTTACGTAGCAACGGCAGTTATGTTATTGCTCAACAATATCTTGCTAATGGGTTTCCACGTCTTGACTGGTGCAAAAATCTTAAACACTCTATCAAATCACTCAATGTGCTCCGTTGGATTCGCTGCAATCATTGCGGTCATCAGTATCTTGCTCTCTCTTCCACGTACCCTTAACCATGTCAGTCTGATGTCCATCTTCAGCGCTGCATGCATGGGTATTGCAATCTTACTCTTTATGATCTTTGCAGGAATTGAAGATCATCCTGCTACAGGATATGGAGGTGATTACCCAACCGTCGGCTTGGTTCGCACGTATGCATTCCCACAAGAAGGTGTTACCTGGGTTGATTGCTTGAACGCAGTGCTAAACATCACTTTCTTATGGGTACCACAAATCTTGTTCCCCACATTTATCTCCGAGATGAGACAACCCCGTGATTTCCCAAAATCTTTGGCCGCTCTTGCCGTTGCTTCTTTCGTCTTGTTCACCGTTCCGGCAATCGTTGGATTCCGTTATCTTGGTCAATATGCCGAAGCTCCTGCTTTTGGAAGTTTACAAGAAAATTATAAAAAAATCAGTTTTGGTTTTGTAATCGTTCCAACGACCGTCATTGGCGTAATCTATGCAAATGTGACCGGTAAATTCCTTTACCGTTCTATCATGGGCAAATCTCGTCATCAACACAGCAACACTGTACTCGGTTGGGGTGCCTGGGGATTGGTGCAATTTGCCATTTGGGCGCTCGCCTTCGTTTTCGGTGAAGTGATTCCATCAATGGGTGACTTCCTAAGTTTATTGGGTGCTGCTTTCGATAGTCAATATGGTTTCTTATTTTGGTCCATTGCATATTATCATATGTACAAGAACAAGCTATGGACATCTCCTCTCCGTATCGCTTTGACTTTGATTCACATCTTTGTCTTTGCCGTCGGTCTATTCTTATTAGGTCCAGGTTTATATGCTGCTGTAGAGGCAATTATTGTCGATTATAGCGGTTCCACCCGCCCTGCTTTCACATGCAAAAATTTGGCTCTTTAAAAAATGTATAGTAGCTTTTCTCTCTTCTGGGCATATAATTCCATCGTCATTCAAACATTTAATGATTCTGCATAAAAATATAAAAGATAATTCATAGGAGTGGGATTCAATTTAAGATTAAATTTCCTTGATCATCCAATGCACATTAGAGTGCTGCCATAACGACGGCAGCACCAACAACAACTGCTGAGCCCATTGCAGAAAGTGCGAGGATGCCTGAAGCACCGTTGTGGCCGGATCCGCTGCTACCGCTGCTGCCAGAGCCGGAATTTGAGCTACCAGCACTTGTTGATGAAGATCCAGCGGCAGAAGTTGATTCTCCCAATAAGCTATTAACGATAACTTTGTAAGATGAAAGAGCTGCTTCACCTGTTTTAGTACCTAATTGTTGAACGTAAGCGGAAGAAACTTCAGCTTCAAAAGAAGAAGCTGTAACCAATTGACGAAATTCGGAAGAAACTTGAGGATTTGCCAAAAGTGAAGTTGCTTCTGCAAAAGCGGCAGAAGGGTTGGCTAATAAACTTGAAAGTGCTGCTGGATCTGTTGGAATTTGACGTTTTTCTACCCGAGTTGCAGGTTCAGGTGCAACGGCTGCCATGGCTGCTGAGCCCATTGTCAAGGTGACCAAAAGGGAAGCGATTGAGAATTTCATTTTTTGAAAAAAGTGGATTGGAGAGAGACTAGATGAGGTGATGGAGAGAAGAAAAGAGAGATGGGGTGGAATGGATGGGCTGCTTTTGAGTGGGTGCTATTGATCTTTAATGTGACTTCATTCATCATCACAACCGTTCATGTATGATCCGCATGGCTAGGGTGAAACACTGTTGACGTGCCTGCTGTACACGTTTTCAGGATTGATCCCGTTGCTGTATTCATGCGGGGAAACTAGTGACTGTGTACCACGGGCGTGGCGCATAAAGAAAAGAAAGAAAGTTGGCCGATAGACAAGACGTAGCACATGGACACAGGGTGAATGATTGACGCATACAGAAAGAATTACTGACTCCCGTGTTAGGAAATGAGGCGTAAACGCGTAAGACAACCATCCCTACGCAAGCATGCAAGCATGTTAACTCTTTCTATAAGTGCATTCATCCATCTATTCAAGCCAGACTTGACGGGCCACAAATTGCATTGAAAGAACAATCATGGTAAAAAGAATGAGCAGCCACGACTCAACAGAATTACGTTATTCTATTGATGTGTTGCGTCATGATTATCGATAAGCCCCAGTGTACTTTTGCCTCATACAATGCATGACATTATCCGCAAGTTAGGATTGCGTGACAGCTTACACCAACGAACTTGGCAAGTTGAAAGCATATAGATCAAAGAACAAAGGGAGCTGATGTTCTTCTCAGGAACATGATGCATGCATTATCTCCTGCATTTAACGGCCAAAAGTTGAATTTGGACACGCTAGTGAATTGTCTCTTTGTCTTCTTCTCCCTAGCAGCATCGGTTAACTATCTCATTGATAAACAGAACATCACTTTCATGCTCTTTTTTCTTCATTATTGAATACAGTGTTGTTCAGCAGTACAGGTGTGTGGAAGTGATTTATTAATACTTGCCCGACCTGGACAATCGTCATAGCAAGCCGCATCTTCCGTATTCACATTCACATCGCTTCCCTTTGTTCCACGTTTGTCTAGCAAGGGTGTTCTGCATTTCGGTTAATCATGTCAGTAATCCGGATAAACTTTCACTTGTTGGTAACAACTTCTCACCTTTCTCCAACTTCTGACAATGATTTCGGTACCGGTGCTGCAAGCACATTTGTAACGAGAAGCAATAAAGCAAAAGTGCAAAGAGGGAATTTCATGTTCATCTTTCAAAGATTGAGTTGAAATGCTTTCTTGTTTGTAAAAGGGTTTGATTTGACCTGAAAGGTAAAGAAGGAAAAAAATCTTGATGGTAAATAAATTGATCTTCATATCGACCGCGATATTATGAGATTTGTCCTTCCAAAAATAGTTTTTACGGATCTAATTATATCACCGTCTATCCATTTACTGATGGTCTTGTTCCCGGCTTTACTCGCGATGAGCTGAGTTTGTAAGCTCTGTTCATAAAAGCGGACCATAACATTCTCCGCTTCTAAAAAATGGGACACTTACCTAAGCAAATCGGTATACTGATTGAAGACACTGAAGAGCGATTGAGATTGTGATGGTGGTGATAGGGGAAAGCAACTTACTAGAATGAATCTCCATTATATACGCAAAATACATTGCATCTTTGTCATGCTTCTCTTAGCACACTCTCCCTAACGCCTAAAGAGCCTTCTTAGAAGGCTGTCAAAGCTGTGTCATTCGCCACTGGCGTTTGAGACAGAAAAATGACACATGCTACGCAAGAATTGATTGTTTGCAGATCGAGTTTTCTGCTTAAACTGCTTCATTAAGATGCATGCATTGCAATCAAGCCTTTTCCGGGCGCTGGAACATGTGTGATTGTTTTGAGAAAGTTCCGTGCTGTGCTCGATCCTTTTGTTTCACAACTTTTGCTATGAATCGATACGTCGATCTTCCAAGTGAATCGAGGCTTGAATCTGATCTGAATTCCCAAGTGCACAACGAGTCCAATATGAAAGGCGCAAGTGAACGCAATTTTCATTTGCCATTGGCGACCGCAATGCATGCCTCATACGCCAAATTCGGATAAATGAAGTGGGGAAACCGCCGGATATAAAGAAAGATGACATTATTAACGGAACGAAACTACCGAATTATTTTTGTTTTTAATGATTCAGTCACATTTGATGACGATTTGATACATAATTGAGTCCAAACATTGCCGTAAGCTTTTGGATAAATTTGTGTATCTGGATGATGACAAAACGATCATATCAAGTGGGCACAATAAATTTAATGGAGGGAAGAGCGTAAGATGAAAAAGTACAATTTTCACAAATGTGAATATTGAAGGGTTGCAGTGAACAATATACAATGATGATTGCTTATAAAACAATCGCAGACATATTTTCGGAAAGCTGGTAGATCTGTTCGATGGTGAGATTTGCTAAAATTTGAGCCGTTTGAGAGTGAATGTTCGCGGAAGTGCGCACTTGATAATGCAATGACACAACTAGAGAAAGTTTGCCCTCTATTGCATTGATCAACACCAAAAGACTTGCTTTGAACCTTGTCGTGTCTTCATTCTGAATTCTTGATGGAATCATTGTCTGCACTGATACTCAGCTAGGCATGTCGTTTGTGTTAATTTAGCTGCATGACCGCCACAAGTACCGTAACAAGCCCTCTTTTCCAATTTGACCATCTGCTCGTCACCCGCCTCTTTGTCTTTTTTTGAGATAATAAAATAAAAATGTGGTTGGGTTAATTCAAGTGATGCTGATCTAAAAGCAAAAGAAAGGGATAAATTGATCAGTATATAGAGTATGCAGTATAAAAATGGAAACCTACCTTTCGATAATGGTCTCTTGGAACACTTTCGGTGCTGGCATTGCTTGGGTGAACGCAAAATTGGTCAAGAGTGCAGACAGGAAGACTGCTAAAATGTGTGAAAAGCTCATTTTACGGATCTTTATGGTGCCTTTTTGAAATTTAGAGGTGTGTCAACGACTGAAAGTAAAAATTTGAACTATTAACCTTCTTATAAGCTGTTTGACTTTTGAAAAAAGATCGCTCAGCATAATTAATATGATGCTGATTCGAAATGCATTTATTAAGCGATGATGCAATAGCGGACCTTAATGTTTGAATATGTAAGCTTCCTGTTCGTGATGGCAACCAGATAAAAACGGAAACCAAGCTTGGATGAAGAATTTTTTACTCAATTTAATATTTTTCGAGCTCAGAGCGGAGACCGCGAAATGAATCTGATCGATGGTCATACCTGATCACAAGTATTATAATTCAATCAAAGGCACTTTTTCTCACCTTTGTGTAATTAAATCAAAGACAACGAAAACTCGTGTAAATAAGGTACGCTTTTTCGTACGCAGATCAATGACAGAATTGATATTTATAAAAAAGAATATGGAGGATGTTGCTAAATAAAACTTTATTAAACATTCAGAAATACCAATCCTGATCGACTGGGAGCAGTCGGCCAAATCAAATGTATGTTTTTTCATCCGAATCATCATCATCTTCGCTGTACCACCCCTGTCAAAGTAAAGCTGTGTATTCGAAGACAATTACGCCAACTCTTTCAGTCAACGACATATCTAAAATTTCCCATCAAAATCGTTTTGCAACATCTATTGTTGGGATTAATGCGTTCCTGAAATATTTCCGCCGTTTAGAGCGGCCAAACGGATGATCAAATCTTCAGCCCATTCTGCCGCGGATCGGTATACCAGCGGCTTTCAAATGCGTTCCTGAAAAAATAGCACACTCTTATCACTCGGCTTAAAGAGGTTACTTAGGGCTAGCATGAGAACTTTCACCCAAGTAGGAACAATGGCTCCTTTCTTTGCAAGTTTCCCAAAAGAAGCGGGTATCCGTTTTTGATTGCTACATTTCCTGTCCTGATCAAGAGTTCACTTTTACTTATGACGCTGACAAAGATGAAGGATGGCAGGCAAAAGCGGCATTGCGCTTGATGTTATTTTTCTCAATGTTAATGGCGGACACTAATTCTTGTTCATTTCTGCTGTAATTATCTGTGTACCTGCAGTATTAGGTTGCCATGATTGTATCTTAGCATCTTTTGTATGATTTGTATTACTGTTTTCGCCAGCTTTTTACCCGAACTTGTGCTGTTCACATGTCAAATATCACTTAAAACCGCAGAAAGCTTGTTTTAGAGTATGAATTACCAAGATGTGACTCAAGAAGCAATTGAATTGCCTCCGTATTATACTACGAGCTGAACCATGCAGAAGAAAGCATTAATGAAAGTATGAATTGAAAAAGAGTTCTGCGTTTGTATTCATTGCTCGCAATGATTTTCAGGGGTACAGGTAGATTGAGTGTATTTTTCCCCACGGCCAGCACAAGTTCCATAACAGGCAGCATCCTCTACCGTTGCTGACTTACCATCATCGGTGTTCTTGCGCTTCTCAAAAGTGGGATAAGGCCATGATTGCGTTGAAGGAGATCTCAATCTAGACAGGGCGGATCGGGCAGGAATAATCTAAGTAATCCGCTGAATGACATACAATATCAAAAACAAATCTTACCTAATGAGGACTTCTTGCGAGGTGCTTGACAAAGGAAGTGCCTGCGATAAGGCGGAGTAAAGGAAGACTGTCCATAGAAGGGTTATTGCTAGCTTTTGGTAGATCATGATAACCCTTGAAATTAAGTAAGTGTTGACTATTTTGACACTAATATTGTCGAGATGGGATAAGTACAGAGTCGAGCGAATAATTTTCAGGTATTGTTTTTGAAAAGCAGATCAACTGCTACAGTTGGTCCAGCCAATGTTGAATGGTATGTTGTTTGGGGTATAGGTCCAGCCTATGTTGAATGGTATGTTATGTGGAGTATAGGTCCAGCCAATGTCGAATGGTTTGTTGTCTGGAGTATAAGTTTTATCTCAAACAAACTTGGGCTTTTATAGCCATCAGTTTGTTTGCCTGCTCCTCCAAACGGCAAAATTTTCCCGTGAGCCTTACGCCACCATTTCTGTTCCTGCAGCAAAAGAAATCTGGTAACATAATGCTGTGCTTCCATGGCGGAAGGCGTTATAACCATACATTTGGATATGTCATTATAAAGCTGTCAAAAGAGGCCTCTTGAGGTATTCTATTGCGGGGTAGTAAAACTTTAAGAAATGTACAGCCTTGTAGCCGATAAAAGGTGGGCGTTACCCTTTTGTTGAAAGCCCCTGGTGAACGCCTTCTATTCTACCTTTCGCCAGTCTTTTTGTATGATCCCGTTCTTGGGCTTTTGAATAATTCCGTTCTCGAGCTTTTGCATGGTTCCATTCGTGAGCTCGTTGAGCCACCTACGAGGCGCTTGATGTTTCCCATTCTTTGGCACGCTCGGGATGGCATTTCTGTTTGAACTCCATGGACATTTTTTGCCACTTTTTGAATATCACTATTACACTCTTCTCATTAGAACATGCACATGAAAGTGGCGTTGTTGAGGTGTTCATGTGTACTTCGTTTTCATAAAAGCTAGGTAGTACTCCGTTTGCCTTTTATCTGAATTGAAGGAGGGAGAAGCTGAATATGAAAATAATACGTTATCGCACAACACGCACACAGATTGACTTTATCCTTCAATTGGATAATCTGAATTTATGGTCTACATAAACAAGAAAAAGAGTAAATGGTCTTGGACAATGTGGATAAAGTCGAACTTGTAGAAGGGAAGTGGCTGGGTGTGTCATCAGGGTACCTCTTCTTTAGTATCAAACTGAGAAGTAGTAGTGGAAAAGGGAAAGTGAGCTACAAAAATTATAGAATATACCCTGTGCATCATTGCCTGCAATGATTCTCAGGGGTACAGTGATCCAACTTGTATGGCTCTCCACGAGCACCGCAGTTGCCCTTACATTCTTCTTTATCATTCGTAAGGGCTTCTTTCAGCAGACGTCGGATCAAGTGTTCACCTTTACCCCCACCGCTATTGTCGCTCTCAGGCATTTCGAAAGCAGAAGAAGACAAACCTTGAGCTGAAGGATTTCTTTGTCTGATAAGGTGATCAGGTCTGCTTAGTGAGCCTAAAGACAGTTTGAATTAGACATAATCATGCAACTTGCCTTAAATGAATTGGTTCAGGTGAGTTGAATTTGTGATGGTTGGAATGGGTTTGCGTTTGCGTCATCTGACGTGCGACCAATCTATCGCAATCTCCATCACATCCATTATCATGATCATTATTGTGCTTTCCGGAAGCATCAAGAAGCCATGGCTCCTTTACTGGACTTCTTTTCCTAAGCAGATAGGATAAAGAAGTGCGTTTAGTCAACATGGTTGAAGTTTCTATAAATATATAGCTTACCTTGCATGACTTGGTACCGGTAAAGGTGGACTACGATTCTGATGAGAAATGGTTTCATGAGGTTGTCCGAATGTACTCGATGGATCTCTTTGTCTGAGTATTTAAAGGAAAGTATCTAGCGAATCAGTGAATAAGGTGGGATGAACAGAATCATAAAGCTTACCTCAATCGACCTGGTTCGGGTGGGTTTAAGGATTGACTTGGGTGGGAGACACCACCAGAAACTCTCGGAACGGGAAGTGCTTGTATAAAGGTAGAGCGTAGCAGTACTACAGATAAAAAGATGATTGGTAGTTTTTGAAAGATCATGATAGATGATAGGACGTTGTCTCGATTTGCAGTGTGGTTTATGAAGCGGATAGGTCGAGCGAAGTGAAGATAAGAAAATTCTGTGAAGAAGAACAGATCAATTTGCTACTATCGGACCAGCCGAGGATGAATGGACCAGCCAAGGATGAAGAAGTTGTTTTTGAAGCGGATAGGTCGAGCAAAGTGAAGATAAGATAATTTTGGGAAGAACAGATCAACTGCTATTATTGGACCAGCCAAGGATGAAGAAGTAGGAGTGTTTTGTTGGGGGGGGGGGGATTTCTACGGGAGCAAAATTTGGGTCTTATATGCCATCGGGTTTCATTCTTGCTTTTTCGAATAATCATCATTTTCCATTTAGTTTGCCGCATTTTTTCTATTCGAGACCCAAAAATCTGGTTTTGTAGCGGAAAGCTGTGCTTTGTTGGCAAGGGCGTTGTCACCATTTGTTTGGACATATTCTACTTTTGTGAAGTACCATCTTGACCTTTTCTATGATGTGGGGTAGAAAGCTTCAGCCTACATTCTTAGGTAAGATGCACAGCTGTACCGGCGGTAGAAATTCGGCGTTACGCTGATGTTGCTGTTTGGTGAGAGCCTATTGCGGACGCCATCTCTTAATTTACCGCCAAAATTGATTGTTGTACCTGTTCTTTTGCAATGTACCAGTTCCTGAATTCATTTAGCCCCCTAGAAGGCGTTCTTATTTTCCCATGCTTCTGCACGTATAGGATGATGTTCATCATACTTCTCTATCTTTAGCACAACAAACTCATCGCACGCAAGAATGAAGATACAGTGGGCGTTATGAAGAAATGCCTAGCATGCAAGAGATGTGTACCTGATGGCGCTCATCCAGCACTGTTTTCGACGACATCCGCCTTTTTATTTGGCTTGAATGACGGTCAACTGCACAGCTCCCACACTTCCTAACTTCGAACATTACTTTGTAGGTTAAAGATATTGAAGTATCAGAGCTATAACACAGCCACAGGGAGCTGTTACCCTATCTTATATTAGTCGTCGTCATTTTTTGGACACGTAACTTGGACGCCGTTGTGATAGCAGGTAAAACCGCCAGCACGTTTCTGAACGAAATTAGGGAAAAGTATCAGCACTTTAACAAATAGTCTAAGTTAGTTAAGAAGCGACCCACTTCAATAAGGTCGGAGCTACGCTTCATAGGTGATGCGGAAGCATGTAATACGCAAAGCAAAAGAATGCTTACTCAAATGACTTCATTGAAATTGAAGAATGAAAGACGCATCGTAGATTGGTGAAGACCGGGAGAGACTATAGGTGAAGTTATCGAACGTAAAATATTACCTTGGCAAAGAGTAAAGTGAGGTCGAAGTATAAACAACCTTCCGAACAATTGCTTCTCTTTATACTTCTCTATATACTCCTGACTCATTCCTATCCTTTATTATGATAATAACATTCAGGCTCCTATCAAACCTTCAACCCTTTATATTTTTTTGTTCTTAAGTCTGAACTTAAATAATTTCATGTTTTTATCTTTGGCGTTCGAGCTCCTTTCGTATCTCCCATTGATGAAAGGTGTTTGTTTGTTAAAGCATTTATATTCCGTCCTTCAGCCTTAACACTTGAAACATCAAAGCGCCTTCTACCTTACATCTACCCCCTTTTCTTCAATGATCCCCATAGATCTTTTCCCCTCTCACCACCTAGATGGCCTCCTAGCGCCTGTATTAGGTCACAATAGAATTATTAAGCATTCATACTGAATATTTACAAAGGTTGATGTGTAAGGATTACTCTATCGACACTTTGCATCTATGGCCCGACATAGAAGCTCAACTTGCTGCGCTCCAATTTTATCAATCATTTCCCTGAAGAAAGCTTAGGGGCAGAAGGTATGGGTAAACGTACCACCAACAGGAGAGCTACGAACGGCTTGGAAATCATTAGGGTTATGGAATGCTTGATTGGTCGGACAATTGTTGTCTTTGCAAATAACGGTTTGACCGTCTGAGCTGTGTAATTCAGTAGGAATATTGACTGATCCACCGACAAAAGATACTATGCATCAAAAAGGGAGTGAAGTCAGCCATATGTTTTCATATTTGATGATCAAAGACCTCACTCACAGTCCCAATATTCGCGATCATATGACCCATAACCGAATTCGCTCAAAATTGCATGAGAAGTAATCCCGGCATCATTGCATACCAAGCCGCCGTTGCATGCGCCCGCCTGGCAATTCGCACCCGAGCCATCACAGCCTGTACGACCCCAAGCACGAACGCCAAGTGCATGATCATCAATACCGTGAGAGACTGATTAACCTGGACTTAAACGATCACCGAAACGGATGGAATTATTTGGCTGACCGTTTGGTGCAGCACCGATGGCCGGCCAGACGGTGTAAGAGCATTTGTTGACAAACTTGATCGTGTATGCAGATGTGAAGTTGATTGTTGAAATGATCAACAAGGAGACTGTAAACCAGATTTGGGAGAAAATCATCTTGGTAGAGTATGGATCTTTCTTTGATGATGGTAACAAGAATGATTGTGTTTGAAAAGTTCTTATGCCAATTTGAACTTTTCCTAATCCATGATCACTCCAACAAGTCTTCGGGCTTTGCTTCCTCTTTAGGATGAAAGCGGACCAGTCAGGATTTCATGCGTACGTCAAAGTCCGAAATGAGGCAACTGTGCATACTTGCAGGCCGTTTTGATCAAAATAGCCGATATCGGCCATATTGAAATGACACATACCGTTCGGGAAGACCAAGAGTGCACGGTCATGATCACATGGAATAGGCACACAAGTACACCCCGTTCTGAGTGGAAAAAAGGTAATATGATCTCATAAAGCCTCCTGTCGCGTTTTGCACTGCCTCGATCTTAGTCCGATTCATGCAATCAAAAAGGCACGGTCAACTCGGCATACTATGATGCCGACCAAATCAGGTGTGAATGAATGCTGCAACTATTATTTCACACAAAGAATCTTGATTGTTTATTGTAACTTTCCTTTTTTGACAACCACAACATCTTTTATTCTCCAGGATGAAGTTCTTCTACATTTTGAACATTATTTTCATGGCTTTCCTGGCTTCTGTCAGTGCAAGCTCTCACGTAATCGATGTGATCAACAATTGTGGTACACCAACAAGCGTTCAATTGCCTGGCCACGGTATTTTTGGCGCAGGTCGACGTACGATCGATGGTGATGTTCGCGGTGGAATCGCTCAACCGTGCAGCGATATCAATGGCGTCGGTTGTATCTCGGTGGAATTCAGTTTGGTTGATGGAGTTTCATCTGCTGATATCACTTTGATTCCTCCTCATCGTTATGATGTGAGTTGCTAATTCATGCTGTGTTCTTCAATCCTGCTTACCGATAACTTTTCAATTTTTTCTTACCACTCTATTCAGCATAAAGCCTCCTTCTCCCTCAACAATGGTCAAACTGGCGCAACATGTGACAATCCAAACTGTGGCTCGTGCAATGCATTCTACAAGTATGATGACTATTGTGCTCAACGTCAAGTCAATGGTCCAAACTCAAGCATCCGCATTCAATTCTGTTGAGCGAGTCTGTCTCATTCTCAGAGATATTCTGAAAGTTAGGCCGTGCAAATCATTTCTGTGACGAAACCTGTATTAATCTCTACAGCCCGCATAATTGCAAGGCACCCTTAATGAACTTTTTAATGAAAGATAGAACTTGAAAACTGTTCGCACGTCGAACACCTTGTTTGAATAAGATTCACTTACCGATCAGTCGAGACGCTCTTCATCATCACCACTGCTAGTATTAGGCTCGAATTAAAACAGATATTGACGTATTAGAGTGTGTTCAATACAGATAGGTTTGAAGGTGATCACTGTGCAGAAGTGTTCGTAAAAGTTGTGAAGCATAGTAAAATGCTGCTCCACAAGTGTGATTTGCTCTTTCCTCAACTGACGTACACGTTGCCCAAAGAAGTTTTTGAGCCGTCAGCGTTTTGCAAATCACGTTCACCATTAACGCTATTCGGATCAAATCGTGCAAGATAGGCATAACGTTCTACCTTTGACTCGCCATCCAAATATTGAATCACAGAACGGAGAAAATCCGCACCACCTCCCGCAAATACAGTTTCGGGTGATCGACCAAATTCGGTAATCCAAGCAGGAGTATATTTGCCATCTTTGTGGGAAAGGGCTGACGTCAGCTTATGTACCTTAGTAGTGGAACAGGAAACACTTACTTTTGTACTTGATGAAGTAGTCCACTGAGCCTTTCACGGCAGCGGCATCGGGTGCATATGGATGGAAGGCGTATGCATCAAAATGACAACCGGAACAAGCTTCAATGAATTGATCTAACCAGCTCAAACCTTGACCTTGATTGCTTGAAGATGTGATGGCGGGAGCCACAAGCTTTTTGCCTTTAGCACGCAAAGGTTCGAAGTATTGACGCCAGCTGAGAATGAAAAGTTTGAGTCAGTAAGATTCCCGCTCATATTTCGAATTACGTTTCTTTCTTTCTTTCTCACAGATTCGCAGCCTCTTGAGGAGAGAGATTCGCTTGACCTGCATTGTCAGGTTCGTTGAAGCCCAAGACATATGGTCCATTTTGTGCAGCAGCTTGTGCTAATTGACCGATAGAACCATCATTGACTCGTTGCATTACGTCAAACTCCATCCCGTTAGGCACGTTTCCGCCTGTTGGGCGATAATGCTCATAATCATAAACCTGGGATGAAAAGAGAATCAGAAAAAGGATTTCAAAGACAGAATCCATGCTCCTCACTCACCCAGCCTACTCTGCCATTTGCATAGAAATCGCTGACTGGATACTTTTCGAACCATGGCCATGCGATCCCACGTTTAGAAACAGCGAATGCTTGATCGACAAGGAGAAGAGAAGCCAAAAGACAAACAAGAGAGTTTTTCATGATGGGCAGTAGATTGAGGTGGTGTAGTAAAGAGAAAAGTGATCAATTTGATGCATTTATCATGCTTTCATCCAGGAATGATCTTTGGATAGCCCACTATGATGCGGTGTTTCCTTTCCTATCCGCAACTATTTCGGTGTCTTGATTCATCGCATAAATCGCCGAACAGGCCGAATGGTACCCATAATGCAAGCTGTTCGGTGTCTTCCTGATATTTGGATGTCCGAAGACTGTAGCGACCGCATGATCATGGCAACATTTAAACTTTGCCTAGGAATAGCGTGGCACTTTTGCAATGCTTTGGCGCTAATGGATCACAAGCACTCCCCGACAAAACAAAAGACATAGCCCGATCATGATGTACTTACTCATCTACCACTTTCATTCATTGCTTGTAGGGCTAGTTTGCACTCTTGTCTCATTTCATCATCAAGCCGAGAAGTTTGATACAAGCCTTCAATTCGAGAGTGCCAGAATTGCCAACGTCCTATCGTAAATCCTTTTATACTCTCATCAAGCTCGGACTGAGCTCCTTTGCCAATGGTTCCCATCTTTCCAAAGAATTCTTCATTCTCTAAGCAGGCTTTATTCAGTCTACTACCTGCTATTTGCAACCACACTCTTGCCGCTCGGATTTTTGTGATTGATTGGTGAAGTACGAGATCCGCTATCGACTCATGATCTTCAAATGCTTCTCGAATCATCCAGAGGGCATGCAGGCAGTAGTCACCTAGATTTGCTGTGCTGCAAATGGTAAGATAGGCTGAAAAGGCACACAGATTGATGTATGCGTCGGAATGATCTGATACGATATCCAATTCTTCTCGAATGATCGCACCTAGAAAGGGTGGAGGCTGACTATCATCATCAAGTTCATCATCGTTCAAACGCCAATCACGTTTGCTTTCCTCGTCAATTGGAACTTTACGTTGTTTTAAAGTCTCACAAAGGCATACAATAGGCTCTTGTTCTTGGAAAGGTGTTTCTTCTGCCGCTTTTACGATGATGAGCCAGACTTCATACACCGTTCTTCGTTCAGATTCGGACTTGTAATGATGAACTGGCTCTAACAATGTGTCCAGCACTTCGTCAATTGATTTTACTCCTTGACAGTATGCCATCACATCTTCCACGTCTGTTCTCATTTCTCAATGACATACCAAATGATAGCATGAATGTATGCACTGCACACAAGCACACCAAACGTGCAATAGTATAAAATGCGCCGAGAAACGAAACGGTGGGGTGGGCGATACGCGTAAAGATTCATGACTCGATTGGCAGCCTAACCGCTCAGGAAGCCGCGGTTCTACTACCGGACCTGCATTACAAGAAGAAGAAGAAGCAAAGCCACTGGAAAATCGGAGGTCAAAGTTCAGATCAAATGAGAAAAAAATTCAATTTGTGGGGGAGGAGTAAAATGTGAGAAGTACTTTCGTATCACCTTCATCTCACATCAACGCAAGATGGAAGTTCAAGTGTTCGAGCTGGGTAATCTACACAAAGATGGCACTCAAAACACTAAACGTGAACAAACGCCATCCTTACCGGCAACGCCTGGTATAGAGGACACTCCGACAACTTCACGCGGCGTTTCACGATCAGCAAGTCCGATCGGCGCAAGGGATAGCTCGATTGCAAATTTGATGGATTCGACAAACGAAGATGAAGTAGACTCAGCTTCTGTTCTTCCTCCTATTGATGGTGGTACAAGAGCATGGACATTTTTACTTGGTGCTTTTTTGACAGAAGTGATATGTTTAGGAGGCGCATTCAGCTTTTCCATCTTCCAGGACTATCTAGTAGAATCAAAAGAATCTCCTTTGAAAGACGCAAATAACGTTGGTGTGAGTGCAATCGGTACCATGTTGGTCTGTCTTTCCTACTTTGCTCCTCCGCTCGTTCGTGGCATTTGGGCTCGCTTTACGATGTGGAACCGATGGATGGGATTTGCAAGCTTATCACTTGCAGGATTAAGCTTGATCATTGCAAGCTTCGGAAACAGTACCGCTTTTATGGTCGTATTCATGGGTATTTTACCCGGTACATTCTTGGGAATCGGAACGCTAAACTACTTGATCTGGCTTCCACAATGGTTCTTGAAGAAGAGAGGATTGGCAAATGGCATTGCTTTTGCCGGTGCAGGTACTGGAGGTATCATTTACCCTTTCGTGCTCAATGTTGCATTGAACAAAGTTGGCTTTCAATGGACTTTGCGTATTTGGGCTTTCATCATCGTATTCATCGGAGGATTTTCCACCCTTTTGATTCGACCCCGTATACCACCAACCCGTCGTTCAACCTCCAATCAAAGTGCAAACATCGGTAACAGCCAATCTCATGATACCACACAAGGAAAATCTCGCTCAAAAAATGCAAAGAATGCTTTGAAAAAGTCTCTGAAATCTTTATCGTTCGGAAAATCTCCTCTATTCGTTCTGAATGCGTTGGCGACATTTGTGGTTAGCATGGGCTTTTTTGCCGTCTCTTTCTATTTGGCAGTCTATTGCAGAAGTTTAGGCTTAAGTTCTGGTACGTCAACGGGAATCGTTGCGGCTTTCAATGCCGCCGCACTATCGGGAGAGATTATCATTGGACATGCATGTGATCGATTCCCATATCCATCAATTATCTTTTTGATCGGTGCTATGGCTTCTAGTTCGGCATTTTTACTGTTTGGTCTGGCTCAATCACTTGTTGGTGTGATCTTTTTCGTCTTGTTGTTTGGAATGGCAGCAGGTAGCTATTGTTCTATTTGGACACCGGCGGCATATGATATTTCACGCTTATACAATATGCAAACGGCAAACGTTTTATTGGGATTAACCATTCCGAGAGGTTTAGCATCAGCTATTGGACCTTTAATTGCGGCCGCATTGTATCATCCGGAAAAGAATCAAGCGAAAGCAATTTTTGGTGCATTTGGATTTGATGGCTTGATCGTTTTCGTGGGTGCATGTATGGTAGCCTTGATGCCATTTGCACCTCTCATTTCGTACAGCAAAGCAAAGGCTTTTGCTTCAGCTGATCCAAACACACTGCACGAACGTCTGTAAATTAGTCAACACAAAATTAGAGGGATTTGCAATTTCTATCAATGCTCCATGATTTAATTTGACCGCAAAGCGTTAGTCAAACAACGCTTGTGAACACCTCCGTTCAGGAACCACTGCTTTGATTGCGGCTCCGTTGTTTCATTATGTTGAAAGCTCTGATAAGGTCATTCTCACAGTGAATACTACGGCTGTATTTGACTGCTTTGCTTTCCCGGCGGCGATACTTAAAGTGGTTAAATTAGCATATTAGGTCCGTTTTTTGCGGAGACGAAAACATGGCTTACCTTATAAGTATAAGCAGCTTTGGTACCGACAGACAGTACGGTCCGGGTGTAAATCAGTAAACGTGGTCAAAAGAAGTTGAATGTGTATATCCAACTATAACAAGTTTAACGCTTGGCTGCATCGGCCAATGCATCAAGAAGAAGTTGGCTTCGGCGCTTGAATCACTTTGGGAGATAATTTCACCATTTCGGCAACGGACTTAACGTCACATACCGAAGCACTAAATATGGGAAGTTTCTACGTCATTACTTCACAGCTCTAGTCTTGGAAAGTTCAACTGTTGAGTATTCTACATTTTGCATTGAAAGGTTGTCCTTTGTGATTGTACGAGCGTAAATTGATGGTCAAAAGAACTTTCTACTTTGTAACGGAGTTAGAATACGTCATCTCCCTTTTGAAAAACAGGGAGGGTGTTGATGGATATCCGAGACGTACTGTCCTGTACACAAAAGATGTCTCAGTCAAAAAAGCATTTTCCAATTCGATCTGATGTGAAGATCGAGACAAGAAAGTCACATTAGCTTCAGCTTCGAAAGAAATGATTCTGATTAAAAATGCTCATCATGAAAGGTACTTAAAGAACATTTCCCTCATAAAGTTGATCCTCCACCCCCCCCTTTCAGCAATCTTTCATACCAAGCACTTTCCTTTGCTCTTCTTTATACAATAACAATGATGTTGCTAACATTGCTAAAGCTTTCCATACTCATTAACTTTCTCCTCCTTCTAATGCAAGTCGATGGAGCACCAATTCCCACGTTATCACAACGCTCGATAAAGATCGAAGTACCTGAAAGGTGAGTAACGGCTGTGAATTCTAGATCGTTAACGGTTTACTGAACTGCAAGGAGATTCATTTCTAGAGCTTTCATAAATTCGCAAGGAAAGAGAGAGACAAAAAAGTTTCAATTCACTTCTAGAGATGTTGGCGGGAAGAAATCGAAATCTGAATCGAAATCTAACGATGAATCTTCCGATAACGGAAACGATCAGGGTTCAACAGGCGATGCAGCTTGCTATGGAAGCTGTCCAGGTATGTAAATTCAGTAGATCTGACTCAAAAGATTTGACTGACAGAATACTACATTCTTTCAATAGGGAGAGGGCAAGCGTACACTGGAAGAAGCTGTAAAGCCGTATATCACTGTCGTTCTTAGTCGTAATAATGCGCGGGATCCTGATTTGTAGAATCCAAATTTTCGCTTTTTACGACGTTTGGACAGTCAAAATTTCGTTTTGCCTCTATATTAACATACTTTCCATTTGGCCAATACATTCTCCTCTGCCTGGAAAGTGGCGGAGATTGTCTCACAAGATATAGCGAATGATTCAATCATCTTATCTCCGTTATCCTCTTCGGACTCTCTTTTCAATGTAGTATACATCTTTTGGCATTTGGACAGTATGCATGTTCTCATCGGAACTTCAAATATTGTTTCTTTTCTCATACAATCAGCACTTTACCTACACTCTAAAGCCCTTCTTCCTGGCTGTTTGCTTGTGATTATGTCATCCTTCTTGATTTGTCTGTCCGCACTCTCTTAAGTCTGACTCGTTCACTGTAAAGTGCTGTAGCCGTGACCAAACAATTAAACAGTGACACCAAACCGTGCTTCGAAGATACTTAATGCTGCTCCTCACGTGCTATACAAGGCGTACTTCAACTCGCCACTTAGTTCCTCCTCAGAAAGTAAGCACAATTAAAAATGGGGTCACTCTACCTAAGCGTCTCTTCAGTGTCGTGCTTTTTATATTTTCATAGTGAAAACGTTACTATTCCGACTAGATTACGTCATTCCGTTAATTTGACGCAATTCTTCAAGCCATTCTTCACGGCTCCGAGCATTATGGCATAATTAGCTTGGAATAAAAAAATTCAGATTTTGCACGTTCTATAATGAGATTGATGTTAGATATACGAAGAAGTTTAATAGCTGCTGAATACCTAATATGTGGTAGCAGTTTCAGTGGGCCAGAGTACTGAGACATGCCTATAACTCGACATTTGGCAAATTTCGTGACACTTTTTTTGTGCTGTCTGTAGTACATCATGCAGGCACAGTAATGATCATACCGCAAAGTAGAGAGAAATTGTGCTATCTAAGAAGGATGCTTGAAAGTCTAATCTGGTAACTTTCTGTTCCCTAAAAAATACATTTCTCTCTAAAAAAGATTGACAAAATATGTCCTTGAGTACGAACCCGTTTTTGTTGTCATGACAATTTATTTTACTTTCTTGTGGCTTCTGTCGGGTGACAACAAAATAATGATAAAGAACTTGAACGTATGTATATGATGAAGGTAGTGAAATCTTAATGGATAATCAAGCGGACTTTGAACCCTGAGAAAAGTTATAATTAAAAATCTTTTCAAATGCAGGAACAGATATCCGAATTCGGCAATCCCAGTGATTCATAAACCGAAAAGGAGTAAAGTACTAAGAGTACATCATTATCGGATATTTGACCTCCGAAAAATGATATCATGGAGAGAACGAAACCGATATCACGGGGAGCGAAATAATGGTCATGTTCTCGGTAGCCCGAGGGAAACAATAAGAATGACCCTTCGGAGTATTTCGAGCCGTTTCCGCGGACGGCTCACAACGAGCAATTCGTGCCACACTCCTCTGCTAAAATGAAAGACGGTACCGAATATGAAAGAAAAAGAAAGCCCCTAAACTCATTTTACTCCTATAAAGCCACTTACTGGGTTCCTGAATCCTCGGTACCGTGAGAAAAAGGTTCTACTCATGCAATATTAAACACGACGGCCCGAACATTCTGCGAAGAAAGTCTTCCTGACCGAAAGACCGAGTAAGGGGAGTGTGGAGGTGTGTACTTCGGACAGCGGATAAAAACTTCTAAATTCTGTCAAGGCTGTCAGCACTGTAAAGAGTGTAGTGGAATGGCTTTCGTGGATGAAGTTCAAAGTGACTTGTGACGTTCAAGAACGAAAACGCTCATTTCATTTTCAATTTCATTTTGTGATCATGCTGACGAAAACACGGAATGGTAAATGTCGATGTTTCAAAGATTATGATTTTTTCTAATTCCTCAAACACGATTTTTGATGATGATGAAAACTATTTAAAGAGCCTTTTTTCGATCATTCAAATCCCCAACTTCATCAACTCCTCACAACAACTTCAATTACAAACAACCAAAGCTAAATCTCTTTCTTCAAGCTCAATTATCAAAATGATGTCTTCAACAATGAACAAACTCTACTTCATCATTGCCATCACTGTTGTTCTCTTGCAAGTTTCCCAAGTGGAATCCTTGCCTGTCAGACAATTCACCAATGTGGAACAACGTCAAACGTGAGTTAAACAAACGACAAAATCAACTAAATCTTGAATCGCTTTACTGACTAAACCTTACGCAACAGTCCATTCTCTTCAATCAAAAGAGATGATTCGTCGAGTCAACAGCCAATGAATGCAGGAACATCAGCAGCTGCTTGCTACGGAAGTTGCCCAGGTATGTGGATATGCAGAACATACTCAGAATTTATCAAAAAGACTGACTTGATCACATCATTTTTCAATAGGTCGTGGTCAAGCTTACACAGGAAGAGCCTGCAAAGCCGTTTACGGTTGCCAAAGTGGTAGTTCATGATGATCAGCAAATCTTGATATACCCGCATAACGTTTCCCTTTTCATCTTACGTTTCTTACGATACAGTCTTACTCACGCTTTTTAACGATGATTTGATATACTTGTTTTTTCTTTTGCAGAATAATATTTCATTTTTACAAATTTCTTCTTCCCGCATTATCGGGAACATCGGATAAAGCTCTTTCGGCGAATTTGTCCGCAATTAAGCCTTCTAGCAGATATGGAAATGCGGGAAAACAAAAGATTAAGTCTTTACAGCTGTTCCTGATTATGACTTTGATAGTGAGGATTGGCTGAAATTGATGAGCAATCTGAATTTGTCTACTATTAGCTCTTTTGGCGGAGTTTGAGCAGCATTGTATGACGACGGTGGTCATTTTCGTGCTGGTAGAAGTAAGCATATACATTGCTTACAAAGCAATTGGATAGCGACAAAAGCTGGAAAAGCTCAGATCATGTGATGATCGGCCTCGGCTTAAATTTTGTCTAGCTTTTGCCTCTATATGACGTTGCAATGTTCAATCTTCTTCCCGCTAATGGGCATACTTCCCGCTTTTATCTTATCTGACGATCATATAAGCCTACATGACCCATTAGAATTGTTATGTGTTCTTATTCGCACGTGATTCCGTTTTCATTTGTATGCAATGAAGCCATGGCAATGAAAAATGACGCTATATTGACCCAACAGGAAGGATCTTTCGGATCCGAAACTTAATGTACGCTTGCTACGAATAGCCACTCACGTAGGCATCCGTACACAAGTCAAAAGCTCTTCCAACAGAGAGGCTCTGATCTACGGATATCAATGATGAGATAAAAATACCGCTTTGCCGTTCAAAGATCTCGATGTGTATCGAGCAATCTTGCATGTTGCCACAATGAAAGGCCGAACCGATATATATCGATCTACATATGAAGCTACTTGTACCATATTAACAACATTCAATGCCAGATTCATATCCCGCTCCAGTGCAAAAGCTTACCTTTTACCGCAAAAAGCCGTCTTAGTACATTAGATTCTGAGTGGGTATCTGTGGACCAATTTTACGTTTGTGCCTTTATACGCCGGTACCAGACATTTCTCATGAATGACCCGATATACTTACCGTTACAGGTAACGCTTATTTTCTCGGCCGCCTTTGCAAATGGGATAAATCAAACCCATAGATATTTATGGTCAAGTGCGGTTAAGCTATGCTCACATGAAAAATGTGAGGGGATTTCACTCAAATTGGATGGTTAATGCACCTGTAATGTATCATGACTATTCGAGAGTAGAATGATGAAGAGAAATTGTAGCGTGCAATCTTACCGCGGATAGCCGTCTTGACATTTCAATTTTTGAGCGGGTGCCGCTACAAACTGTATCTCTAATTTCCTTCTGAAGATCTAGTTCAATCGACTTCCAATCGTTCATGTCAATGGCAGATCTCAATTGACATCTCATAATCTAGCAAATGGCATCGACACGTAAAACACAGGGGATTAGGAAATTGTGCGAACACGAAATTCTCCTGAGTGTGTTAGACATGAAACATGAAGCATGGAGAAAGGCGCAAACGGGCCGCATTCTTGCCGTTGTGAAAGCCATAAGATTTTCAAAAGGGTGGAAAGTAGGCAAAAACAAGTTACGAAAATTTTTGTAATTACCTCGCTCTCTGTTTGTGAAAACTTTTTTCCAAAAAAAAAGGTTCGGGAACCGAGTTACACCCTTCGATCGTAGCGGCTTTCATGATTGAAAGATCAAAGAGTGCTACATTGGTTCTCGGAAAAGCCGGAAAATTCAGAATGAGGTATATCGATGTTCACTGTGCCTTTGAATAGAACATTAACAGCGGCTCCCGCTTGTTTACTTTGCCTTCTTAGGAACCCGCAATTTTTACTCATTTGAGACAGCTAGGGCTTTCCCATCGGCCAAAATGATACCAAAAAAAGTAACACGGGTTTTCTCTCTCAGAAAAGAGCAGCGTGGTAAAATGAAGTAGTCAATTTTAATGACAATAACACGACATGAATCGTTTTGAGCGAAAACATGCAGACATAGACATTTGGAGTGCGGGTATAAAGAGATATTTCCTTCCGACTTTACCATCCTTTTAGAGGTAGACCAATTCTCTTCCCCAGACTCAAGGTTCCATCAAGTCGGAATGGAGCCACTATTCAAGTTAATATGGCTGATCGTGCCTTGCATACTTTTAGTCAGGCTTTGCTCCTTGTCAATTATTGGTCCAACTCAAACCTCTTGGATAAGCGGTCAAAAGAGTAGGATTTTGCACGGGTGAGAATCGTTCTCGGTAACCGAAGTACATGGGGAATATTGACAGCATATTGGCTTTGTATTTTTAGACTACCTGTACCACCATTCAAATACCAAATAAAGCCCGTAGAAGTGCAACTTTCAAAACGTGCTGCATGTTATGGGTCTTGTCCAGGTATGTGCCGGCTTCTTTAGAACTTTCAACTCTACTCCGAATAACTCATTCTTTCTCCTTACAGGTCGAGGAGAACAATATAAGGGGCACGCCTGCCTTAAGAAAAAGGCTTGCCCGCAAGTTGTATAGAGAGATAAAAAGGAGACAATCATTTCGTGTTTCAGCTGCAGGCAGTGTGACAAATTTTGACGTTCTCAAACATATAATCTGCGAAATCCAGTTCATGCTCTAGGTAGCAGGGGCTCTACTTTTTCCTTTCTCCTATCAAATCTGCGGTTATACATTTGTAATGAAATCATAAATTATTTATACATTTACCATAGCATCGTCAATGGCATGATGTTGTGGTCATGCATATCTTTTTCAGAGTTTCTCGATCGCTGTAGTATTTATTTATTACTTAATGATCAAAAGCGTAACACTGATCGGAATGTTGAATAAAGATATAAAGCTAACAGACTGCATAGGGTCACGTACAACGAGATATTTATCATTCTCAAGACAAATGTAAACCCCTACTTCCTCTTCTATAAAACGCTATCATGAAACAGCTTGTACCTTGAGCTTACAGCGTCATGTAATAGTGACACGCTCCTAAAAATTCCGATCGTGATTAGCCAAAAGAGCCTTCTCCGTGAGTTCATCAGAATGCCTTATATCTTTTTATGTTTGGTCCAAGGAGGTTAGTCGTCATCAAGGAGGCTAGTCGCCATCAAGGAGGCTAGTCGTCATTATAAAGAGATATCAGGTCATATTAAGTAGGAATTTAGGGAGCTTTTGTGCTGGTCTTTGCTTTAAAATACGTATTGAAAAGGTATAAAAACCTCAGTAAATTTCATCACACTTCCTCTCTCTCTCTCTCATCAATACCATCTTTCGCTATTCTTCCCTCCAAAATGTTCAAAAAGACTCTTTTTATCGCTCTCTACGCTTTCGTCTTCTTGGCAACCTTACATCTAGCTTCTGGTATGCCAACAATTTCCGCAGGTGAACACTTCATCGAGTGGTCAAAGAGGTAAGTTATCCGGAAAAGAAAAAGAAATTTTTATACTTATAAATCAACTACTGTACCTTATCAGAAATCCTGCTGCTTGCTATGGCGATTGCGCAGGTCGTGGAGAGCCTTACACGGGACGTGGTGGTGAAGGACGTGCAACTGGATAACAATGCCAAAGTCATGGTCTAATTTCCATAATAGCCAGTTTAGTACGTCAAGAACAAGTAGTGTCCTGATTTCCTATTGCTCGATCGATTTTGCCTTTTTCCCTTTATTACGCTAATTCTGCTCTCAAAGCCACATATCTCTACTATACATCTTCATCTAGAATTAAATCATCTTTTCATTGATAGCAAGTATGTGTGATCCAGTCGAGATCTACATTGGGTTGACAAATATAGAGATACCGTATATCGATCTGACTTTAGCTTCCGTTCCTCTTGCAAAGTAGATGCTGCATACTAGGAATCTATAAAGAAGGAAGATATATAGCGATAGAGCCAGTAAAACCAGTTGAAGGCTATGATCATACCCGCTATATACGCTAGAAAATTTTAAAAGATGAATTAGGGATCAATAAGGTATGAGCGACCTCCTATTTTTGCTACCGTAAAATCTATATCTTCAAATATCCTGTTTAGGGATCCATATCGTCTTAATGAAAGGTACATGAAGTCATGTCTAAGATGATTACATCTCTTCGTACCTCGCTTTAGGAGGCGAGTTATATGATGATGAATAAGGATGAGATCATATCAAAGATAACTAAAGATGAGGTCATATCAAAGATAAAGAAATATGAGGTCACATCAAAAATAATTATATCTCTTCGTGTCTTGCTTTAGGGCGCGAGTCATGTGATGATGAATGAAGATATGGATATATTAAATAAAAAAATTTCACTCTCGATTTAAGAGGGTATAAAAGGCGACTGATAGAATTTACTGTAATCCCCACCTCTTATTATATTTCAACTTTCGCTTATCCTCCCTTCAAAACATGTTGAAGAACACTTTTCTCATCGTTTTTTACGCTTTCGCCTTCGTGGCAATATTACATTTCACTTCTGGTATGCTAGCAAAGTCCGAAGGTGATCATGTTCTTAAATGGGTGACCAGGTAAGTTAAAATAAGACCGAAATTGATTGATTCTAGGTACAAAGCTGACATGAATCTACTTTAACCTTTCAGAGATAAACAAGTTTGCAGCGGTTCAGGCTGCGCCGCTAAAGGTGGTGGTGATGATGGACGAGGATGCACGGATAAAGACCATTGTAAGCACGCAACAGTATAAACAATAACACTATTAGGAGAGCTAGCATGTCGATCCTTCTCTTCTCATTCCCCATTTTCCATCACTTTTAACCATATCTCTTCTTCCATATCATCTCGAATTCTGATTATTGCCTTGATGATGTTGTTGTGAAAGTAGCCCGTACTTGGCGCCATGCACTTTAGCGCTGAACAAACTTTTGTCCGAGAAGGGGGAATGAATGAATGAACGCAAGCAGATAAAAATGAAAAAACGCTAATTTTATACAGTCATGGTGCCCAACGCGTTTGAACTAAGGTAAGTAATCCATGCGTCAATCTTCAAAAGATCACGGGAAGGGTTATGCATATAGCAGCAAACACAGCAGCAGCAGCAGTACCACCAAAGAAGATGATGCACTTGTTCGTCCATACATCCATCTCACCATCACACCTCCCCTAAGATGGACACAATTCCAGAAGATCATCATCAAAATGCTCAAAACGAACAAGAGCCAAAGAGAACAGGTTCAAACCTTTCCTTGTTTAGCCTAAAACGTAGATCTCTACTTTCACCTTTTGGTCGTAAATCACATGATGCAAGATTGGAATCTACTTCATCCGATAAGTCCAACGGAAAGAATTCTTCAAGACGGGAAACAAGCAACGGTACCAATAATGGTTCCTCAACTCCCACAAAATCCCTTAACGGTTCAAGCGAAAAAAATGAAAAAGCAAAGATGCGCAAAATGATGGAAAACAGCATCAAATTACGAAGGATGGAATCTGATAATCGTGCAGCTATCACCGAGACCGAAGGTCAACGGTCTCGCTACGGCGTCGTTACTACTCTTCCAACGGAAACGGTCCAAAACCTTGATACTTTAACCGAATCAACGGAACCAGGAACGGAATTGTCATTCAAAGCACGTCTTCATGCTGTTCGTAATGTGAGCAATAGACTCGCTTTCTTGATCTTGCGTCATCAACTTTTGACCGTTCAAGGTGTTTTGCGCTCAGATGATTCAAATATCACTCGCCATATGGTCAGATGGGCAGAACGGCTACCAATTGAGACCATCGTCTTTGTACGCGGAATCGTACAAAAACCCAACGAAAGGTTGCAAAGTACAGAATTTCATAACGTTGAAATCTTGATCAAAGCGATTCATGTGATCAGTATGCCAAACGTGCCTCTTCCATTCCATCATTATGGAGCATCAAGCGTTCCACAAACTTCGGCAAAGATGGCCGTTTCCCATTCAAACGAAGGATCAAGAGCAAGTATCAGTAGCGGCGAAAGTACGTACAGCGTTGGTGCTGAACCCGTTGACCATAATGAACCCGCTTCAGCCACAACTTCGGTCACAAGCGTGTCAGAAAAGGCAATCACATCAACGAAACCACAGGCCTCTGTCTCTTTACCTGTTCGTATGGCAAATCGTGTCTTGGACCTACGTTCTCCTCCTTCACAAGCAATTTTCCGCGTTCAAGCTGCCGTTTGTCAAGCATTCCGTCAGTTCTTGAACGAACAAGGTTTTATTGAGATTCATACACCAAAGCTGCTTGGTGGTGCGTCAGAAAGTGGTGCAAGTGTGTTCAAAGTGGATTATTTCGGAAGAAGAGCATGCCTTGCTCAAAGTCCACAATTGTTCAAGCAAATGTGCATTTGTGCTGATTTTGGTAGAGTCTTTGAAATCGGTCCAGTGTTCCGCGCAGAAAATTCAAACACACATCGTCACTTGACAGAATATACCGGTTTGGATTTAGAGATGGAATTGAGTGGAGACGATTATCATGAGGCCATGTATATGATCGATGGCTTGCTCAAAAGCATTTTTGCTAAGTTGCAAAAGTCACACAAACTCGAAATCGAAATCGCCAGAAAGATGTTCCCTATTGACGATTTCGTATATTTGGATGAAACGCCAATTTTGGAGTATCGCGAAGGTATTCAAATGCTCTTGGACGCAGGGTATACCGAAGAGAATGGCGATAAGCCGAAATCAGATGAAGATTTGTCCACTCGTGCTGAAATGCGTTTAGGAGCTTTGGTCAAGGAAAAATACAAGACAGATTTCTATATCTTGGACAAATTTCCTCGTTCTGTTCGTCCGTTCTATACCCATCCTGATGAAAAGAACATCGTTGCATCGAATTCTTTCGACATCTTTGTACGCGGTCAAGAGATTATTTCCGGTGGTCAACGTATTCATTTAGCTGATGAATTGGAGAACAACCTCAATAAGCAACATATCGACACACATGGCTTGGAAGATTACTTGGACAGTTTCCGTTTGGCAGCTCCACCGCATGCAGGTTGTGGTATTGGACTGGAACGATTTGTGATGCTTTTCCTCGGCTTGAACGATATCCGCAATGCATCTTTGTTCCCGCGTGATCCCAAGAGTTTACGCGAGACTCAATTGCCAACCGACGATCTACGTCATCCAGAAGCAACAACCCTAGCCCGTAAGAGAGCACCAGAAGATGGCTTGCCAAGCCTGGAGAAGCTCATTGCCAATTATGGTGATTCTTCCAACACATCTTGGCTTGACGATCGTTTCACGATTTGGCGTGAGGAGATAACTGGCGCAGCAGTAGGATATTGCAAGATGAACGATCGTTGTGTGGTGATTGGTAATCCGTTATGTGAAGTTGGTCAATATAGCAAGGTTGCAAATGCCTTTTTAGCCGATATGAAAAAGAAGAAGCTCAAGCCGATCTGGCTTTTGGTTGGTGGCGATTTCGAGTCTGTCTTGAGTCAAACATGCAACTGGAATTCGTTATCGTGTGTAGTCGAATCCCGAATCAAAGGCGATGCAACCGAAGCCGAGAAGAAGGCCCGCTCACATGAGAAGAATTTGAAGGTGACTCATGTTCCATTCGAAGAAGCTGTTAGCGATGAGCAAAAGAAAGAGACTGAAAAATGCATCGAAGAGTGGAAGAGCAAGCGGAAAGAACGAGGAAAGCAGGTCCATTTGACGAATGTATTGCCTTGGCAAGATGAAGAACATAGATCCTACTTTTTCGTCCACGAAGGCACAACTTTGGTGGCCATGGTGATCCTTGCTCAATTATCCACCAGACATGGATATCAAATCAAGTGGGCTCTTGATTTCCCCAATGCGCCCAACGGAGCGATCGAATATGCAATCACGACTGCTATGCATACATACCCAAGCGTAAAATTGACTTTTGGTGGTTCTGCAGTGGAGAATTTGGTAGCGGGATCGAACATTCGTGGTGTAAAAGCAAAGGCATTAGAAGGAACTTATCATTCGATCGTTGCCAATTTGCACTTGCTTAACAAACTTGAATTCCGCAAGAAGTTTGGTGCTTCTTTAGATGAAAGATTATGGATTTGTTATCCACGTGGAGGAATGGGACCTAGAACGATTAAAACGATTTTGTCATTCTTTGGTGCAACGGATTAGGTAGAAGGTTGAAGTTGTTATGTTTGTTGTCGTCGGGACTTTTTTCTTTCATACTTTATATACGCTAGACCCCCCGAACCTTTGTTATACACTTGTTTTTAAGCTGATCAAAAGCGTGTGTCTGACTGACTGCGTGTTTCGGAAGACGGACTTGAGCCAGCATCACCCCGCATCCTTTTCCTTCTTTCCCGTCAACTCAAGGTGATGATTGCAATAATCATTTTCAGGCTATTTGAGCTGGTTTTGCTATTCTGGGGTGTTGTTGCTTCAGTAGCATTCTATATCTCACGAAATCGATTCAACAAGCTTGGAATACGATCTTTATCGGCACCCTCTACAGTAGAGATCAAGTTACAACAATCACCAACAAGATTTACCGGTTTTGATTTGTTTGTTTTGTCGTTATCGGTCTTGTGCAAGTATATCCCTTTCACAAAAGGCTATCATAATGAGCTAATCCCGCACAAGGATAAACAACAAGCATTCGATTTACCCCTAATTCAGGTCAGTGGACCGCTACGATTCGATCAATCGGACATTCAAAGATTCCAAAGAGCACTTCAACCCAATGTCAAAGGCAGAAAGCCAGAGATTGATGATGATGGTCCCGCAAACAGTCTATTTCTGGTCGCTTTGACTGCACCTCTAGTGATCTATGTCCTTGCTTTACATGCATCTCCCATCAAACCACTAGGAGCGGTTAATACACGAAATGCGTTTCACTATCACGATCCTGCGATGTGCAATGACATAACAAAACTCTTACAAGCATCCAATGAAGGTCGACTGCAAGTATCAGCACGATTTGGAGGACCGCAAAATCCAGGCATACGCAAGAAACGTGGGATGGATTTCAGTATGATCATTGAGGTACGCAAACATGAAGAAGTTCTGTTCACTCAAGAACTACACTTTTTGCAATTCCTTAAATCCGGACAGAAGCCCAAATTTGATCCTGAGCAGCGTCAGTCTGAACAAAATAACGATGAAGATATGGAAGATCAGGATTCGTTGGAAACATGTGCTCTTCCGCGGTTCGATGTTACCACGCCAAGACTGTGGGCAAGCAGCTGTGGGGATTACAACCCAATCCATATTCTACCCCTAGCTGCGGTATTGTTTGGATTCCCGTCCGTTATAGCACATGGAAACCATGTCGTTGCTTTGGCCGTTGAAGAAGCAAGGCTTAAAGATCAACAAAGGTTCAATGAAGCACATCAGATATTGTACGGACGCAAACCATTCACACTTGATGTTCAATTTATCAAACCGATGGTCTTGCCGGCAACTTTTCACGTAGCCTGGCAAGTCAGAAGGAACGCAGAAGGGGTCAGACTGATTGTCATGAAAGGCGATCGAGATTGTGTGATTGGGTCATGCTATGTTGACTAGGTAACGGGAATGGTACAATCTATATTTTTAAGCGAGAACGTCTAAATTAAGTGTATTCTATAAAAGGTTCCGTCATTGGGCGGGAATGTCGGCTTCGTAATTATGAGCATATTTGGACATCGCCCTTAACTTGGGTCCGTACTTGTACAATCCGTACAAAGGGATCATCAAAGCGAGGGAAATACCGGCCAGCATTGTATACGCTTTACCCAGTCCTAATTGCTTGAACATTGCCGTTGAGAATAAAGGGAAAGCGGCTGCGATCGTTGAGCGAATGAGATCATTTGCCGTCAAGACTGCATTTTGATGTTCCACATACGAGAAGCTCAGATAGACCAAGATTGATTGGAACAGCAAGAAGACTGGAGTCAAATAAAGAGAGAGCGCAACCAAAGGTGACCAATAACTGATGCTTGCCTTACTCGTCCAACCTGTCCAAACCAGACTGATAATGACCAAAGGAGAAGTGAGCATGGCCAAAATGATACGGTCTTCGGGACGAATGATTCCCTTCTTGATGTTTGCAATGAACCTTGGGTCAAAGTAGTACACCAAATAAAGGATGTAGAACGGTAAAGTGAGAAAGAAAGCATTCACTCCCAATCCCAAGAACGGTAATGTTTGTTCACCTAAGTTGAAATGATGAATTTCACCAAAAATGATCGGAATTGCTTCAAAGGCAGCATAGAAGATTGCATAAACCAAACCCAACAATACCGATGAATAGAGAACGATTGGTTCGAAAGATATGCGAATTGGCATATAAATTGCTTCAACGAGAAAGTCCATTGGTTTCATTGCGAGTTGATTTAATTCGCCTTGACCTCGTAATTTTTGATTTCCAGTCAAGGCCCTCAATCTCTTAGCGCGTCTGTATAAAATGTTGTCGGGCAAAGTTTCCGGGAGGACAAATAAAGTAATTATTAACCCGACACCTGACATTGCAACGAAAATCCAATATGGCAATCGCCATCCAACGTTCATCGCTGCCCATCCAGCGATGACGGGAGCTAGTACGGGACCACAAACAGCTCCGATTGCCCACACCGAAATAGCTTTTGGAAGTTGGAGGTCCAGCCATATATCCCCGAGTGTAGCCCCTCCAGTCGCGAGCGCAGGACTACCTGCCATTCCTGACAGCAATCTCATCGTTACAAGTGTACCATAGCTCTTGGAATGAGCTGCTCCGACATTGAAGAGCACTAGAGCCAGCATACTTGTCCAGTAAGGTGTTGATCTACCAATCTTTGGAATGTCAGCCCAGAATGCAATGACGAGAGGACCGAATCCGTATCCGAAAACGAATGCGGAGAGTGTAACGGTTGCTTGCGTTTGAGAAACATTGAATTCTTGCATTACACCTGGAATACTTGGAGTGATGATTGATGATCCTCCATAAACTGAAAATGTCAAGAAACAGATTGCCAGTGTAACTAGAATCTTACGTCCGAACGTCCAATTTTTTGGATTTTCGGGATCTTGATCGTCGTACCATCCAACGATGATATGGTCATCGCTTGAGCTTTCTTTTGCAACAGGAATGCTAATTGCTCTTGAAATCGATTCTGCTTTTTTGATCGATTCTGCACGAGTAAGATTTGCGCCATCTGATAACACTTGTGAGGTTGCACGTTGGATTAAATCATCCGATTTATTGTGCTCTGCTCGACTTGCTTCTAGATCATCGTACGTTGGCTTCTCCGATTGTGTTTGATCCTTTAGTCGTTCTATGCTATCCCGCTTGGATTCCTGACTTGCTGCCCTAGTAAATGATCCTGTTGTAGAAGACGAGGGTAAACCTGCAATCTTGTCTGCTAGTGATGATGGTATTTGCCAACCTGGAACTTGGTCTGGTGTTTGAAGGTACCTTCCTTTGCTCAACGTGTTGATTGCCCTACCAACGGGCGTTGTTGCAAATGCGGAAGTCATTATGATGTTTGCCTGTCTGAATGTGATATGTCAATGATGGAGCCCTTTGAGCTTGAATGCGCTCTTTGTGAATTTGTGATGATGAGGATGTGGAATGAGATTGACCTGGAATCTGCTGGGTATTTATATCCTATCCAATCTTAATCATTTGTTTCAACCAACCAGTCTTGGCAAACATGGTGACTGTTTAAAGTCCGGGCCGTAATCAAAGATTCTAAGAAGAAGAAGATTTGATCGTTTATAGCAAAGGGGAGGGGATGGATGAATGAATGTATGCATGCAGCAGTACACCAGCAGCACATACAACTTACTTACTGCCTAGCGCGAAACTTTGATAAGACACGTCAAAAATTCTCGGAATTAAGGAAAGAAAAAGGTTATCATATCTTCCTTACGCATAGCACCTGTCAACGGAGATTAGAACTTTGACATGCTTGGCTTTAATTGCTTATTTTGACAAGCGCACAGACAAAATCCGTACGGAGAAAACGCCTCAATTGACTAAATCCGAAAGTTCTCTGCATCTGGGCGTGGGCGCAGCATTCGGCGACTTTTTCCAGTAACTCTGTTGACATTTACCACTTGGCCCGGTGATCAAAGTCTTCATTCTCTCACTCCATCATGCTATATCCGCTTTAGCATCATCAATGAACTGATTACCCCCGGGGGATTACTCCTTCCTTTGTCTTCTATTAGAACATACTAGAAGCTAACACAAATGAATGAAAGAGAATCCATCAAATTCAAAAGAACAAACAAACGACAATGAACCTAGCAGCACAAATGCGCATACATTCAGGAACAAGAAAGAAGGACGAAGTGGGGAATAGCAAAGGGTGAACTATGAGATAAGAAAGAAAAGTGTTCATTGGATAAACTTGACTTAGGCTGGAAGACCAGTAGCAACAGGGGTAGCAACGCTGGAAATGACATCTGTGGCAGTGGAAACAGCTTGAGTGATAGTGCTGGTGGCTTGGGTAGCCGTACTGGCAACATCCGAAACGACACTGTTGATCGAACTTGATTTTTCATCGGCATCTTTTGTTGCATCATTGGCAATGCTACTGATGGAATCTGTTGCTTGACTGGCTGCACTGGTTAAAGTGGATGTAACACTGGCAATCGAGCTTGTTGCGTCACCTACAACACTTGATAAAGTGGATGTTGCTTCATTACCAAGACTGGTAGCTGCGCTGGTAGCACTTGAAACGACTGAACTGATGGTGCTTGTGGCACCGGAAGCTTCTGAATTAACCATGCTTACGACGGAAGAGATTGCACTTGTAGCACTGGAAACGACAGAGCTAACGGCCCCGGTTGGCAAGTTCGATGAAGGGACTGGAGTGGTTGTGGGGATGACGCCGGAAGAAGAGCCGGTTGAAGGGTTGTTCAACGTTCTTGCCAAAGCATGTTGTGTTTCCATCTTTCCATTTGCACATTTGCATGCCAAAGTGTAATGCAAAGCAGAGTTACGACGACAAACAACGTTCTTTTGATTACTGTTTACACGAGCACATTCGGTTTCACATGCGCTCAAATAAGAAGAACAAAATGTTCCACGGTTCTCACGTTTGCGTTGATCGGCAAAACGACCTGCAGGAATGACGACGTTGATCGTTGGAACGTTTTGACTACGACGTTGCAAAGCAGGTGTATCTTCATTTGAGACTTTGTCTAAAGCTTCTTGAGTGAAATCATCACCGTTGATCTTGCAGTAAAACGTAAAGCTGGTACTATACTTGCCACCATTGCGTTTGCAGTAGCTTTGTGATTTCACAGTTTGCAAACCGTTGTTTGCTGCATTGATTAAACTATCGCACTCTTTACGGAATGCAGGGCAAAAGGTTTGTGTGGGGTTGGAGCGTTCGATCAAAGAAGCTTGAGCAAAGCCAATCAAAGCAAGTGCTACGATGACGGTGAAAGCTGCAATACGTGCCATTTTTATTGGAGGATATAAGTGGTGCGAGAGATAGGGTGAAGGGATTGGTGGTGCGAGAAAAGGGAATTTGATGGGAAAGAAGTCATCGAAAGCTGTACAAGTTGCGGTTTATATATCGTCAAAAGTGTCAACAACTTTTCAAATGGTCAAACAAGACTGTCAAATCTAGAAAACACACACAACATCGTCAGCCTTAGAGCAAGTCCCGACAGCAGAATCGAGAGATAAAAAAACACAGGAATCGATTCCGTATACTAAGAATGTTCTTTACCTTCCTTTCATCTCACACTGATGGGAAGGCAATAGTGTAATGGTTATGGGAATCTTTCATTGAAACACTTTTTCTCGCAATAGGAAGGTATAGGCGGGGAATGAGCTCATGTCTGAGACCGCCTGCGGAAAGATTAATCAGCGTGGGAAGCGAGAGATTTCGGAAAGCTAAAAAACGCAACTTAAATCTAATTTTCCGAGAATGGATAGATCTTATCGAAAGTTGGAAGATTTAACCCATCCATCCCGAGACATCTTATCTAAAAGCTTTTCCCTTGAAAGTGTTATATCTTCAAAGCGGAGCATTTCGGTTCCAGGGAATGGTCCTTGCAGTCTATCGATAATCAGGTTTACGGCGATCAAAAAAGTCTTGGCGCACACATATCAATTTAATCTGTCACTTCGGCCTCCACGCAAATGATCCATTTGTTCCTATTGCTAGGGCCCAAATTGAAACATGGCCAAACCCCACATCCCTTTACATGTGAGATATCATTAGACTAACTATATGCGAGTGAAACTTCTATCCGACGTATATGAATATGCTATATGTACTTTTCCTCCGCACTAGATCTCATTAATCTGTCTGGTACATGCATTGATCTTTTAATCTCGTACCTTTCCCGTGTAATTAGAGTTTGAATCTCGATCTTTCTTGGTTTCTCGGATTAATCTAGCATGGCATGATGCTCACTAGCCTCGATCTTACTCCAACATTCCACGCTAAACGAAGAATGCGGCGAATTAGTTCAAGATCTTTGTTAAGCGGTTAGAAGAATAATAATAAGTTTCGCTTGTGTGCACTTAGATTAGGATCAAAATAGTGTCATTATAAAACAAATTGGTCAATTTTATATACTCCGATCCGCATTGCAAGACATGTTCAATTGCCACGTGCTTTGGATTAGGGCAGGTAGAATATCTTATCCGAGTATGTACATGTGATCTGATAGAACATATCAAGATAGCGTGAGAAGAGACACGGATAACATTAACGGCCAAGAGGGAAGGGAGGAAAAGTAGATCGAATGACCGAAATACGGAAAACAGATTACGCTGACCACGTTTTAGATGTGACTCGCTTACCTTATAGAACCCTCATCGATCCGGATACGTTTAGACATCGGAGCTAGCCTCGGATAATGATAAGATCTATTGCAGTGGTTAGAGCAAACAAGCTTTCAAATGCTTCAGTGCTAAAAACTTTTTTTTCATTCATTGCGATCAATAATGACTGCTCTATCGCTTCAAAATGATCTTATCCCTTTCGGGGTCGTTGAAATTGGCTAATCTTTTCGAGTTAAGAAGAAAAAAGACCTGAGTATATCGTCTTATAATCGAGAAGACAGATCGAAGAATGAAGGCGTGAGAATAAGATTGTATTTGATACTCGCTCAATACAACTTTCAGCCTTTCAAAGAGCTCATTTTGCCCGTGCCCTTTTTTTTTGTGTGAGTCTCCTATGCAATATTGCAAGTACCATCATTGCAAGGGCAAGCAGGGTTTCCACATTGACCCGATGGGCACGTAGGTGTGCTACATTTTACACTATTGAGCAAACCATTCTTGTAGAAGAGGTCCTGTATTAGGGAAAGTCAAGAGAAGGATCAAAACTCGATTCGGCAAATGACTTGTTACAGCAAAAGATCAACCCACCAAGTCGTTATCAGCTGGCACAGCCTTGCAGTACAAGAGAAAAGCAATAAGAGCAAAAGTGATTGCGAGGAACAAGTTCATGTGAAATTTGGCGATCATCTTGATAAGGTTGATTGGTGCAGTAAGTACTCGTAGTTATCAGACGAGGAGGCAAGTGTTGATACTGAAATGATGAGTTGTACTGAAGTTCCCAGTCTTTAAATATTTTTGTACCTATCGTGAGAAGTGATGAAAGCCAAACGTTGCGCACCTAATCGTGCCACGGATGATACGGACCCGCCAACACACGAAGACCCGGTGATATGAGCGGATCCGAAGGTACATAAAGGCTGCGGTAATGTTTATATGCTCAAAAATGTGTATCTTCTGCTTGCTGTGTCATCGCGAATTCTAATATCTTTTTCAATAGCAAGAAGATTTCGTCATCTTTTCGGCGTAATGCCCCACAAAAAAAAGCGGTCAAAAGCAACTCGGCAAATCGGAGTTCAACGAAACGGAGGCGTTTATAGTGAAAGATAAGAAAACTGATAGCTGGGAATTGAGCATTGGGCTAAAGACGGTGTGTAGTGGACTACAGAGAGTAGACTGAATTAGAGGAAAAACGAAGAGCAACCGCCAATACACGAAGGTTCAGTCACACCACCGAAAGCGAAGGTGTGCAAAGGATTCCATCATGATGATTACTCGTAATTGCAAGCCTGATATTGGTGAATGGCATCAATACACAATATTTCTTTGATATTGAATCCTTTTTGATTGTTGTATACAGCATCGCCAACACAGCGAAATGATCGGTTTTACTCGCTCTCTTTGAACCAAATGCCGGCTGGTGCTTTTTCCGCAAAATAAACTGTTGCAACGGGAGTGGAGAATGAGGCACTTGAACAGTGTACGCCAACGCGGGGTATATTAGCATCAATGTTCGCAATCGGAAAAAGGCCATCAAAGCATTCTTGACAACCATCACCTATATCACACCTCCTCAAAGAATGAGTAAAGCAGCTCAAACAATCAAGAATTTGGCAGTTGATAAACATACGCCATGCATATTTCAAGGATTTACAGGTAAAAGTGTGAGTATTTGTCAGTATGATCGGACCGGAGGGGATGAGCAACTTGCTTACACTTCTTCTTTCTTTCCCAGGCCACCTTTCATGCTAAATTATCACTAAGCATCGGAACAAATATCGTCGGAGGCGTAACGCCAAAGAAAGGAGGCCAAACGCATCTTGATAGACCAGTCTTTGATACAGTAAAAGAGGCCGTTCGTCAAGTTAAGCCACATGCGACTGCCGTTTTCGTTCCTCCAATGTTAGCAGCAAATGCGATCATTGATGCGATCGAGAATGAGATCCCTCTCATTGTCAGCGTTGCAGAAGGTGTCCCGCTAAAAGATCAAATGCGGATAATGTCAGCTTTGCATTCTCAATCAAAATCAAGATTGGTCGGCTGTAATTCACCCGGGATGATGAACCCTGCCGGTTGTAGATTAGGAATATCTCCTTTGAGTATCGCCGTTCCAGGTCCAATCGGAATCGCATCTCGTTCAGGAACACTTTCTTATGAAGCAGCATGGTCAACGAAACATATGGGACAATCAAACATTTTAGGATTAGGTGGGGATTTCTATCCGGGCACAAGACATGCAGAAGCTGTGGAATTCTTCATGAATGATGAACAAACTCAAGGGATCGTCTTGGTCGGAGAAGTGGGCGGAGTGATGGAAGAAGAAGCTGCAGAATTGATCGCGAGACAATACACTGGCTCGGATGGCAAACCGATCAAACCTGTCGTTGCTTTCATTGCCGGCAGAAATGTCCCACCAGGTCAAATCTTTGGTCATGCAGGCGCAATTTGGCGTGATGGTTTATCATCGGCAGAACAGAAACGGACAGCACTCAAGAACGCAGGAGTAGTAGTCGTTGATGCAGTTGGGGAAGTAGGACAAGCGATACAAAAAGAACTTGAGAGTAGAGGCATCGATCCGGTAAGGAAGGAGCAATAGATGCAATTTTCGGCAATCTGTACTTATAATATCACACGTGAAAAAATGGAATTGAATTGACAAGTTTTGATAATGAACATACATTCACTCTTAAGCAACTGGCTCCAAATCTTGCTTGAGGACGAAACGGTAACGGATATCGTTATCGTGAACACGTGTAAGAGCACCAGGGCATTCTTTCATGTCCAAAACTTCGATCCAAGGTTTGATGTTCTTCTCGGCTGCCAAAGCCAACATCTTCTTCACATCTTCCTTTGATCCGATGTGGCTTCCTTGAATACCAGCACCGTTTCCTGCCAAATGTTGAGAACGGAGCTTCCATGCATCTTCTGGCATACCGCACATGACAATGTTACCGTAGACTGCACATGTCTTGACTAGAGCGGTCAAGTCCAAAGCACTTGAAGAAGCAGTGTTGATAATGATATCGAATGGTTTCTTCTTCATTCCGTATTCTGTGTACCATTGTTCATTTTCACCTGTTGCAACGAATTCTTTTGCTCCCATTTTGAGTGCATCTTGCTTCTTCTTTGGTGAATGAGAAATGACTGTAACGTCTGCGCCCATTGCAGCGGCAAACAAGACGGCATAGTGACCCAAACCGCCCAAACCAACAACTGCAACATTCTTGCCTGGGCCGCAACCGTTACGCAAGAGTGGTGAGTAAACAGTCAAACCGGCACAGAACATACTTGCAGCATCTTCGGATTTGATAGCATCTGGGAGTGGGAAAACGAAACGTTCGTGTGCACGGATTGCGGTTGAGTAACCACCTTGAGCAGGGTGGCCGTCAGCGTACTTTGAGTTGTAAGTGTCAACGCAACCTGCTTTACCGTCTCCCAAGCAGTAGTTCTCAAAGTTTGTGTTGCAAGAAGAACAGTTCATGCATGAACCAACTTGAGCACCAACACCGACACGATCGCCAACTTTGATGTCTTTGACGTTCTTGCCGACTTGTGTAACCTTTCCAACGATTTCGTGACCTGGAATGACTGCTGGAACTGAAAGTTCACCCCATCCTCCGTTGATTGTGTGCAAATCAGAACCGCAAATACCACAGTATTGAATGGCAACAGTTACGTCATCATCAGTTTCTGGTTTGAGATCGAAATCGATGACCTTGAAATCGGTCCATTTCTTTGTGTCAGAGATTGAGTAACCTTTTGGCATTTTGATTGATTGTTTCTAAGTGAATGATGGAGGGGAAAGAAAAGAAGATTACACATCACACCCTTTCTCTTGCTTATAAGTAATGTATATGGATGGGTTCTTTTGCCTTCTTTTATTTCTTCTTGAATATGAAATTGGATGTCGTGTGCACGGTCGCAGTGTTCAATTGCTGTACCGGCATTCTTACGTCAATGTGCTGATGATGCACACAGCATAAAGGCACTGTTCCTCGGAAATGATTATCAAAACGCGTGCCGCGGAAGAGGAGCACACAACGGAAATCTGTCATTCGGACAAGTGGAGATCACCGGCCACCGATAATGCACCGACCGGTCAATGGACACTAAGTGAATACCATTTCAAACATATATAAACAAAAAGCCTACAAAACATCCAAGTCAATCGCTCTTCTACGCAAAGAATCTAAATGTTGTGACGCTTGTGCAGGGGAATCAAAAGAACGTTTCTTAAATTCTCGCATTGCTACTCCAAGATCTCTCAATGATGTCTCATCAGATCGACGACAGTACTGGTTACTGCCACCACCTTGGCTGCCTCCATTGAAATCTACTGATCCTCCAGGAGCGTTTGTAACGTAGTAATAGTAAATGGTTGGATCTCCATTAGAATCATGACCGTATTCTACTGCATCCGGCTTTCCACTTTTACGGCGATGTAGTATCATTTCAGCTTCTTGGCGTACTGACCTTTTGCAAGCACTTCCGCCATTACCACCACCGCTTTGAACTTGTCCTTGATTTGATGGCTTGCTGCCTTGTCCTTGACCATGCCCCTTGCTTTGACTTTGACCCTGGTTCTGGTTCTGGCTTTGGTCTTGTCCTTGCCCTTGGTTCTGACCATGACCTTGCTGTTGTCCACCTGATTGACCGCCGCCGTTACCATCATCACTGCCACCATCTTGATTAAAGACCATCGTACCATCTTTTGCATTCTTATAATTATTTGTTATTGATCCATAATTGTTGTTGCTGTTGTTTCCATTATGGCTCCCATTATCATTATTTGTCGGTGCTGAGTTATTGTCATTATTATTGACATTGCTCGATTTGCTCGAAGATTGATCTCCAGATTGACCTTGATCACCCTGGCCCTTATCCGGTTGTGCTGGCGGTGGCTGACCTTGTGAGGATCCTTGACCTTGACTCTGACCAGCAGGAGGCTGAGGCTGTCCTTGACCATCCCCTTTACCCTTTGACGGCTGTTGTTGGTCATTATTTTGCTTTGCACCTTTCTGTTGTTGTGGATCGGAATGGTTATCTTTCGTTGATCCGTAGTTGTTATTGCTATGATTTCCATTATGGCTTCCATTGCCATTATTTGTAGCTGCTGAATTGTTGTCGTTGTTGTTCACATTGCTCGTCTTACTGCCATCTTGACCTCCTCCTGAGTTTGTTCCGGATGGTGGTTGATTCTGTTGGTTCTTGCCTTTATCTCCGCCTCCTCCTGTTGAATAATTGTTGGTCTCTGATCCGTAGTTGTTATTGCTGTGGTTCCCATTATGGCTGCCATTGCCATTATTCGTTGCTGCTTGATTATTGTCGTTGTTGTTCACGTTGCTCGTCTTACTGCCATCTTGATTTCCTCCTGATTGTGATCCAGGTGGTGGTTGGTTACTCTTATTTTTGCCTTGATCCCCGCTTCCTCCTGCTGAATAATTGTTGGTTTCTGATCCGTAGTTATTATTGCTGTGGTTCCCGTTATGGCTGTCATTGCCATTATTCGTTGCTCCCAAATTATTATCATTATTATTTGAATCAGTCGTTGTGAAAGATGAAGATTGTTTGGCTGGACTAGAAGGATCCGAAGAAGGTGAAGGTGATTGATCTTGTTTACTCTTGTCACCCGAAGCAGAAGGTGGTGGAGCCTGCTTGCTTTTATCATCCGAAGGAGGCTGAGAAGGTTGAGGTTGCGCACCAGATGGAGAAGGAGAAGCTTGCCCTTTATCTTGCTTGCTGTCCGAAGGCTTTTCACTACTAGAGGGCGAGCCGTTTTGCTGATCTTTATTTTGTGCAGGCTGATCTTTGTTCTTGGAATTATCAGGCTGCTTATCCTGTTTGTCCGAGGGTGAAGGAGAAGGTTGAGATTCCTTTTGTTGAGGCGCTCCATTCTTCACGGTTGATCCGACTACATTGCCGCTATGATTATTGTTGTGGCTCCCATTTCCATTATCCGTTGGTGCCATATTGTTATCATTATTGTTCACATTGCTTGTCGTTGACTTTTGCTGGGTTTTATCTTGCGGTGCTGGTGCTGAAGGTTGAGGTCCTTGAGCACTTTTATCACCATTTGGATCTTTACCTTTTTGGCCCGGTGCTCCATTGGTCACCTTCGAACCAACAACATTGCCGCTGTGATTTCCATTATAGCTATTATTCCCATTATCAGTTGGTGCTGAATTATTATCATCATCATTTACATGCTTTGTAGTGCTTTGTGGTTGTTGTTGTTGTTGTTGTTGTTGCTGATCCTTTGGATCTTGCTTCGGTCCTTGGTCTTGTCCGTTAGAGTCTCCGCCATCTGGCTGCTTGTTCTGATCATTAGGTTGGTCAGGTTGCTTTGCTTTGTCATCAGGTTTAGGCTGCTTTGTTTTATCATCATCATTCGATCCAGGAGGCAGTGCTGTCTTGTTCTGACTTTTGGCCTGAGATTGATCACCTTTGTTTTGACTAGCATCTGGAGAAGGGCTAGGGCTCGGACTTGGTTTGCTCTTATCATCCTGCTGCCCTTGCTTATCCCCAGATTTAGTTTGATCAGCATTTGGACTCGGGCTTGCACTTGGTTTCGAAGCATTTTTGTCTTTCGCATCACCTTGAGCACCTTTGTCTTGTTGACCAGCAGAAGGCGAAGGGGATGGATTGGAGTTTGATTTCGGCTTATCACCATTCGCAGATTGTCCACCTTGTTGCTTTTGTTGTTCACCCTTTTGTCCAGCTTGATCTTTATTCTTCTCAGCGTCAGATGGTGCACCAGAAGGTTTGTTTTGTTGTTGCGAGGAAGGCTGTGAACCTTGACCATCCTTATGCTGATCAGTAGAAGGGGTTGGAGTTTGTTTTGGCTTCTGAACGCCACCTTGAGCGGGAGAAGGAGACGATTGTTTGGACTTGTCATCAGCTGCAGGTGAAGGTGAAGGAGATGATTTTTGTGCGTCAGAGGGTGACTTCTTATCTCCCTCATCACCCGAAGAAGGTGATTTCTGTGCATCAGAAGGTTTTGAAGCTGCTGGTGATGATTGAGATTTGTCGTCACGTTTGATAAATCTTGGAGGAATGCGGTTGTACTCTCTCCTCTCCTTTGTGATCCTAGCTTCCAGGATCTGCCTTGCTTCTAAGCCACTTCTAGATTCGGATTGAGAAGTATGTTTGATACCAGATTGTAAGCTCTTCTTGCTACTCGATCTGAAATCAATTCTTGGTTGCTGTTCTTGTTGTGAGAGTTGCCTTGTATACAATGGAAGTGCATTACAACCAATAAGACATCCTATACAGATCAAAAAGATCAGAAGAAATTGTTCGAGCTTCATGGTGAAAGGAATTTCTTAGTAGTACATGTATTGTCTATGCGACCAGCGCAATAAGTGTTGCAAACGAATGTCTTGAATTGCAGTAAAGAATGAACAGCTTCAAGCCGTACTTCTTAATCTGTTGACGGCCAGCGTCGGTTTGAAAAGGTGGAAAGAGGAAAAGATGGGAAGAAATCTAAATTTGGGGGAGACATTGTCCATTTATATTGCAACGGCATCCGTTGGAATGGATGATTTGCTTGTGTACCACAAATTTGTTTCTTAACGGAAGGCGTTAACGGATGGGCGTTGGAGGATCTGTCATTTTTGGCCTTCGGATAAACAAATAAGCAGAATAATCGAATGTCACACTCTGCCTGGATAATCCTTTAGCGTATTTTATTGAAGGCGTAAATTACGCCGCGTCTTCTTCCCGCCCTTCCCGCGTTTATGTATCGGCACGCTTCTCTCATTCCTCTAAATAGAAACAATTCCATTATAAACAAAAGACGCCAAATAATGATTGACGCCATTCCATACATGTACAATCAACATTCCATGTCAACGCCTTTCATTCATTCAAGCAAAGAAAGCTAGGATATCTTCCGCAATCTCCTTCGGTGATTCTTCTGGCATATAATGCCCACAATCAATTCCTTTTCCTGTAACTTTTTGTTCACAAACATTTTGCCATAAATCTATTGGACCTTGATCACCAAACAAAATTTGATTTAATCCACGTTTACCCCATAATGCTCTAAATGGTTGAGTAAGCTTCTTGCCTCTCTTGCGATCGTCTTCATCTTGTTCAAAATCAATTCCTCCAGGTGCTGAACAACGATAATCTTCACACATTGCATGAACACGTGGCGGAGAAGAAAGGTTGGACAAATAAGATTTGAGAATATCTTGGGGGAATAACTCTTCGTCTTCTGATTCGTTCTTATCTTCTGTCTCTCCTTTAGTACGCGGGAAACGGGTTACCATTTTATCCAAGTACGATTTAGGTGAATGAACAATCAATTCTTCTGGCATTGGATAATCTTGAATAAGGAAGAACCAATGCCAATAGGCCATTGCAAATCTGGCATCGGCTTTTGTGTATAGGTCATACGTTGGTACGATATCCAACGTCATCACTTTTGTGACTACTTTGGGATGATCAATTGCCATCCTATGTGCAACTCTGCCTCCTCGATCATGTCCCACGACCGCAAATTTATCATATCCCAGCTGTTTCATTGCTTGAACAAAATCACGTCCCATCTCACGTTTAGAGTACCGAGCACGTAAGATCTCTTCTTGGGGAATACGTTCTTCATCCTTTTCCCTTCGATCATCATGTGTGTGTCCAAGTCTGATGAAATTCCTTACCCGCGGTACGGTTGAGTGACCATGTCCGCGCAAGTCCACCAAAACGATATCTCTTTCAGCTTGTTTGCTCAAGATTGGAGCAACTCTATGCCAAATGGATAAGTTTTGTGGATGTCCATGGATAAGTAAGAGAGGTTCTTTAGTCGATCCAGCATGTTGATAACGTAGTGTATAAATTTCTAGGTCCGTCAATAAAGGATCACTTTCAGATGCCGGAATTGGAATCAGATGAGGTGCAAAACCGGCAGAAGTGAAAGAAGAACGAGTTGAGGCTGTTGTGGCTGTTATAGAAGTCATTGTTGCAAGGCGATGGATGATGTGTTGGAAAGAAGGGTGATTCTCCCTCTGATTGTTTGTAGAGAGTATCACTTCATAAGCCGTTGGCTCGTGCAGCCAATTCTCCACAACAGAGAGAGGCATATGCGCAGCCGTTGAACAAAGAACAATCAATACTCTGCTTGGCGGCAAGGGTCCGTGCCATCAACTTCCCCACAAAATGATTTAAATAGGAACAGGTAAACCCTCTGTCCGGATCAATGGTTCATCAAACTTTAATCTTGAATACTCACGTCGCCTTGATCTTGTGACCAATGCTTTAATTAACTTTTTGAGAGTGAGAAAGCGTGGGACATTTTAATCAAATACTCACTTCCATTGTCTTTTCGCACACGACAGCAAGGAAGGGCTGAGTTTGATCAAAGCAAAGGCCGTTTTATTGGTTCAACTTAGATAAAAGAGTCACTCTTGATCCTTTTAGGGTCATTTGACCGACAAAGGAAAGCCACTGCTCTGATGTCGTACGACATTTTTTGGGATTAGCTTAAGCTTTGACCACAAAGAAAGCTTCTTTGAGTGATGTGCTGCCAGTTCATGCTTCGATCACCAAAGATGCGGGGTAGGTGTGCTCACTTCTCCAAAGCTATATAAGTCCTGTGTCTACCAATTTTATATACTGCACTCCCTTCCCAACATTATCCAGTTTCTTATATTCCAACTTCAATACTCTACTACTCAAAATGCCAGCTGCACTTTCCAAAGCCAAAGTTGACGCACGAGAGAAAGAATTAAAGATTCCTAATGAACAAAAAGCAGCAATCTGTCGTGAAAAAGGTGGAAAGGTAACGATTGAAAATGCACCAATTCGTTCAAACGAATTAAAACGTGGTGAAGCTTTAGTTCGTTTAATTTATTCAGGTGTCTGTCATACAGACTTACATGCAATCTTGGGTGATTGGCCAATTGATGCAAAGATGCCTTTGATCGGCGGTCATGAAGGCGCAGGTGTGGTTGTTGCTTTAGGTGAAGGTGCAGATGAATTTGTTAAAAAAGGTGATCGTGTTGGAATCAAGTGGATTGCTGATTCTTGTTTGAAGTGCGATTTCTGCAGACGTGGTCATGAACCAAATTGCCCTGACGCTCAATGTTCAGGTTATACTTGGGATGGTACCTTCCAACAATATGCTGTAGCTTCTGCTAGACATCTCTCCCACATTCCTGACGGACTCGATCTCGAAAGTGCAAGTCCACTCTTATGTGCCGGCGTGACCGTTTACCGTGCGGTAAAGGAAGCCAAATTGTTACCCGGTAATGATGTGGTAATCATTGGTAGCGGTGGTGGCTTAGGACATGTGAGTAGGGCTGTAAAGAGTTGAGTTGGATATATTCATTGACCTTTCTTTCTTATCTTCAGCTCGCTGTTCAATATGCTTCTAACGCTGGTGCTCGTGTGATCGGAATCGATACCGGTTCCGAAAAGGAGAAGTTGTCAATTCAATTAGGTTGTGAAAAATTCATTGATTTCCAGAAGGAAAAAGATCTCGTCCAAGCTGTCAAAGAAGCTTCATCTGATGGTCATGGTCCACATGCAGCAATCGTAGCAGCCTCTTCTCCAAAGGCCTACGAACAAGCTTTGGATTATTTACGTCCTCGTGGTACTTTGGTGGTTGTTGGTTTACCGGTAACAGACATTAAAGCAAACGTATTTTGGACTGTTTTCAAATCACTCAATATCGTAGGAAGTTACGTTGGTAATCGTCAAGATGCTCAGGAAGCATTAGACATCGCAGCACGCGGAAAAGTCAAGGCGATTTATAAAACTTTAGGATTGAGTGATTTACCGCAAGTATATGATGATATGCATCATGGTAAGATTGCCGGTCGTATCGTTTTGGATCTTGATAAGTGATGAGTGGGAGGTGGGCTTTCTTTTGTTCCATGGAATGTTCTTATGAATGAAATTTTTTTTCTCAGCTCCACTTTTGAGGAAAACAATTTAAACTTTCTTTTGTCTCTCCCGCTCGATTGAATTTCCCCGCAGAAGCGTGAAAGGGAAAGACAGTGCTTACGTGCCTGTTTTATAACTTGCATAGAGATGCATCTAGAATCCATCTGACATGTCGATCTTATATTACCCAAAGAAGCACTTTTCACTTCCATCCACCATCTACTACCTAGTAATTACATATACCCAACCATGTCAGAACCAAAAACATGGAAGCCGAGCAAGTTAAACAAAATCCTGGGCGCTTTATGGTGCGGAGCATTATTGCGAAAAGGACCAATGTGTTGTACGACCAATTGTTCTTGTTTCAATGATGTCGAAAGTCCAGAAGCATCACAAGCAAGAGCAGATGAGTGAGTAAACTGCACCTGATGAAGTATAAATTATCTCACGCACACCTCTCCTATAGGGCAAGATGGAAGTATAGAAGTGAAAAATTGGCAGATCGTCAAGAATCTCGTGCTCAAGCTGCAGAAAGACGTGAACAAAGAAGAGAAAACAAGAAAGAACGTAAAGTTGCAAAAGCTGATAGTAGAAGAGAAAAGGCAAAAGCTAAATCTACGAGAAGCTCTTCCAGTAATCCCCCGATTACAAATCCACAATCGAATGAAGTTCAACCTCCAATTTCAGAAAACACAGTGAGTAGAAAACACAAAGAGAGAGTCAGATTTTATGCTCACTCTCACGAGATTGTGACAGTGAAAGACACATGATGGACAAGCTGGTTCTGATGTTCTCATCATTTTCCTATTTCTCAAAAGCCTGTCACGCAACCCGTGTCAACGGAACATGTAGTACAAGGCGGTGCCACTGAAAAAGAACTCGGTCCTAGCCTCGAAAATCAAAATGAAACAGTCGAGCCTGTAGCAGCTCGACTTTCGGACGAGGCACAATCTGTACCAAGTCCAAGTAACGTATCCGTCCCCGCATCTGGAGCATCAAATCGTTCTCAGGCAAAGGCACACAAAAAAGCAAAAGAAAGAGAAAGACGTAAATTGAAGAAAGAGAAAAAGCAAGAGAGAAGGGATAAGAAAGTCGATCGAAGAAGATAAGAAAGGAATGGAAGCTAGAGTTGTTTGAGACGGTAAATTGATTCACGTTCGGATCTCTTGCTCAGAGAAGTTGATCAGATGGTCATAGTCTTTAGCTTGTACAAGCTAGTGGATGGTGCCTTTATAATAATCATCAGGCGTACCTGAAGCACTGACAGGGACATGGCCTGCTCATGGCGATCTGATATTCAATCAAGTAATCATCATCGTTAGCTTGACTTAAAAAAGCTGTTCTAACTTTATCTGGCATGCTCACCTTTTCTTCCAGGGATCCATACTTTGAGTGTCATCTGATGGTGGATGACCTCTTTTAATGTTTGATGTAAAGATGTTGATAATTGTTAGTTTGACTT